TTTGTCGGATCATCGATAAATATTCTGTAAAAAAAACAGCTCAAGTTATTTGTCTTTTAACCCTCGAACCGACACCCGGGTCTGGCCAGACCTTTTTCGTTTTTAGTCGTTAATTTAATATATTTCTAATTAAGCTATCGACTTGAGCTCAGAGTTACCTGACTAAAATTTCATTGGCTATCGATCTAGCACCAAAACCATTTTTAAAAAGTCCTTAAAAAGGATGATATAAGTATATGCGAAAACTACACCTACTTCTTCATCTGCTTTACGACTTGGCCAAAGGTGAAAATCTCATATCGCTTATCAGTAACGTGAAATAGGCGATGAACCTCAGAATACCGCTAACAGGATGGAGTTTTTGAGATTATCATTTTTTGCGCGACTGATAAAAGATAAGTGATGGGTGTCTTTAAAAAAGAGGTACCTCGGATTGTTATGTGTTAACCTTTATATATCACTTTCATATTTTGAAATAGTAATGATGACATTGGTAACTTTATCAAAATTGTATTAATGAAATTAAGAATTTATCTATTCCTTTGTTCATTGAAAATGAAGTTAAGCAAATATTGTTTGTAAATGTAAGTCAGAACAGTTGTTTGAACAACTTATAAATATTGTACGGGCTATCTATATATGTTAAAACTTAGATTGCAAAGTAGATATGAACCCGTGAGCATAAAAACAACGTATTGACTCTTCGCCAATGAATACGAAACGCAAAAAAATCGCCGAACAAAGTGAAACACCAATCTGTTATTGGATCAATATGAAACATGAAATCGTTGGCCACTATTTTATTTACGTTGCGCTTTGTTTCGAAGCGCGGCAAGTGTTTCATTTTGTTCCAGTAACAGAACGTTGTATCACTTTGTTCGGCGACGCGCTCAATGTACTGTTTTGAAAAAATATGCATGATTTGATACAGTTTTGTGCGAGTGCAACATAAATTCTGTTCGCTTGAATCGTGAAATATCGGCTGACTATAGAAATTGTGTTTCACTTTAATTGAAACAAAAATGTTTGATACACTTTTGAGTCCATTGGTATGATGATTCATTTTAATGGTGGTTTTGGTCGTGATTTGTCTATGAAGTGAAAATTAACTGATAAGGAGCGCGAATTTCGATGTGCCGATAACACCAATAGAGCAGAAAAAAATACTATATGAAAATCGAACAAAAATTTAAACTTTTTTTTCGACTGTTGCCTATTTCGGATCGTCTACATGGGAAGTTTGTATGAAATCCTCGGAACGCGGGTTCACGCCGCTGTGAATACATTGGTTTATATAGTGAAATCGATACATGGCCAAAACACGGACGCACAACACCCATTCTATTTCGCTCACACTTACGTGCAATTTTTACCCGTATAACAAAGTAGTCTGCTTTATTGTTAAAAAGATGTGCGCAGTAAAGAAACAAGAACGTACATGTTTCAGCAACGTTAAAGTGCACGTAAGTGTGAGCGAAATAGAATGGGTGTTGTGTTAAAATGAATAGTTTAATATACTAATGGACTCAAAACTGTATCAAATCATGCATATTTTTCCAAAACAGTACATTGAGCGCGTCGCCGAACAAAGTGATACAACGTTCTGTTACTGGAACAAAATGAAACACTTGCCGCGCTTCGAAACAAAGCGCAACGTGAATAAAATAGTAGCCAACGATTTCATGCTTCATATTGATCCAATAACAGATTGGTGTTTCACTTTGTTCGGCGATTTTTTTGCGTTTCGTATTCATCGGCGAAGAGTCAATACGTTGTTTTTATGCTCACGGGTTCATATATAGTAAAAGTGGTAGATAACAATGGATCTTTCACTTAAAGTGACAATTTCAACAATTTCAAGTGCAGACACGATGACAATTTGATTAAGAAAACTTAAAATAGATTAAGAAAACTTAAAAGTTATATTAATACTGAGCCACCTCTTTATAGGCTTGATAAATAATGGCAATTAAAGAAGGAATGACTCATGGTACAACACCAATTTGGGATTGGTAAACAATTTTGCTACACATTGATTCGTTGATTGCACCGATAATATTTTAATCTAATATTCATATACTTTGTGTGCTTTACGTCTGCATTGTGCACAGAAATGAAAATTATTTTGACTTAAAGTTATCGATGTGAAACTATTACAAATCTCGAAAATCTATAACTATTTCAATTGAATTAAACATATTTTAACGATGAATATTCTAGTGAGTTATTTTATAGTCAAAATTTTGTGAGATTCATATTTTTTAACGTGTATTTGAAAAATTTAAAACTTCAGTCATCTGAAGAATTAAAAAAATTAGAGAATATTGAAATGATTAAATCGGCGTTTGATTCAATTGAAAAAATGTTGATGAAACTACCTTAAAGTAAACTTTTCCTAGTAACAAAATGCAATCTATAAAACGTTACGTTGGCCAAAAAAACAATGAAAAATCCATCAAAACAAATATTACAAATTTGGCATTAGTAAGTACATGTTTCTGACGATTGTTAAATTTTGAACTCAATAGGCCACGTTGTTGAATAAGACACAAACACAATGTATTGTACAGGTATATTCAAATTTATCCACGGTAACGTATGCGATTTTGATATCTTTCTCGTCCACATTTTCCATCCGTATGATTATACTACAGCCTTTTAATGATAGAACCGCTCATTCAAAATTATAATGCAGTCGCACCGTACTCATTACGAAAATAGTAAACAATAATCAATAACCATGTATCCTACAATTTCTTTGTCAACTGCTCCAGTTGAGTAGAAATAGGCTATAATTTGAAATGTGCTATCAATATTTAAATGCACTGATTCATTTGCTTGTGAAAGTGGAGCCCATGTAAAATTCCAAACATTCTGTGTAACACCATTGTTTGATTATATTTGGTTGGATTGCGTGATCCTTGCACATGTGAAAATATTTCATCAGGGAAAAATGTGGAAATCTGACATTGTTATACTTCTTTTTGGGTTGCTACATACCAACGTATATGCAAAAAAATAGTTCGATGCACAAAAATCGTACCACGTAGACAATTACCATGAATAATTGAGTATGATTCAATTTTCGTTCGATTTTCCTAAGTTGATGATGGCCCAATCGACGGAATATGTTCTTATGACTATTTAGTATTTCAGAGAACTTCATCGCATCAAGACGTTATTGTGAATTTGCTGAAATATAATTCTTTTGGTGACACATAAAAATATTCAGAAATTTGAAATTTCTTGTGAAATCATAAAATCTTAAATCTAAACCAAGAATAAAACAACGTACTTTCGATGTCAATATTAAACAGTTTGAAATGAAAATTCATAAAATCCATTTAATTTGGCTTGTAATCTATTTACTGAGTGGCACCACAACTGGACAAAATGATGAGCAACCGAATATATCCATTGGTATTCATATGTCATGACTCTGTTCTTTGGAATTTTCCATCAATTTTTATTTTCAAGTTCAAGACTGTTTTGTGATGACACGATATATTTTTTGTCATTGCAGTCATTTTCCAAGAAATGCAACAAACCGATTTAAACAGTGAATTTGACAGTATATTTTCTAATATTGGTCACTCTGAGCAAATTTCGTTCAACGTAAACTATGTTCAATTGGATCGAGATCAACGTGATCAAAGTTTTGGCACTTGTGAGTCAACGCATAAATAAAACACAATTCAAATCATATCAACACTTCCATTCTAATTTGATCTTTAGTGTGTTCGTTTTTATCGTCGGGAGTGACTTTAATAATCGACGTCACTTGGGATCTAGCCTGGCCAGAATTGACAAATTTTCTGCGAAGCACGAATGTACCATACATTCATGTTGACGTCACAATTCGACCATTTGCTCGAGCCTTTTTCAAATTCATTGAATTCACTGATACCCATGACGTGGCGATGATTTTTCAAAATGAGAAAGGTAGAAATTTTGAATTTCGAATTGAAATACAATTTGTGCCGTTCTTTTTTTCGCAATTTCAAACTGATTTTATATTTTTATACGAAAAATTGTGAATTTTTTTTAAATCAAATTTCTGTGATTAGAGCAATATGAAGGCATATACGAAGTGTTGAATCAATATTCCATACGTTCGATTACATTTGATGGATTGAATGAAACCACCGCCGATCGGATAATAAAGATGCGACCGATGCCTTCGAATTTCATTATTTTTGCACGTCCCACGGAAATGGCAGTAATTTTTGAAAATGTAACAAACATTTCTATGACACTGCGATAAATTTTGAATTATCTGACCGATTCATCAAATTTCAGGCCATTAAATTCAAAGTAATTGAACGCTTCAACCGCTGGCGTTTGTTTTACTTGGATTTTGTAGACACAAATGTTGTTCAAAACCTCGTAATGCAATACCCAGAAATTATTAGTTTCACACCAAGCTCTGATATGTGTTGCGTCTATTTGGGACAAAGTGTGAGCGAATCTTGTGTTTGCAATGGAAAAATAACGGTGTGTACCAACAGTGATAGTTTATACTTCATTTTTTAATGGCCATATGTCTCTTTTCATGCCAGCTTTTGAACACCTTCATTCGTGATCTCGTTACCAAACTGGTAACTGTGCTACGTGTGGATAATTTCAAGTCACATCTATCGGATTGTTCGGCACTCACAAACGGATCATCAGATTCGAGTGCAACATCATCAACTTTAGATCCGAATGAATTTGAAACTCGTTTGATGGAAGCAGTTACAACGTCTCCGGCTCTATTGCAATTCTATCAAAATTCAACTTTCAATTTGGAATACTTTCTAAAAATAATGGTGTTTGGACGAGATGGAAATGAACTGCGAATGCCCACCGATGAGTCGGTGGTCCTTACTGAACTTGCAATGATTGATAACGCGGCATTCAGTATTACACCAAATATTTCGCTGAAATCACCGCGTCGTTTCTTTCGGATTGGAGTAGCTCAAGTAAATCTAGCTCGACATTTTCCGTGAAAAAAATCCGTTCTGTAGTTTGGTACCGTCTTTATCATTTTCTGGAAAAAAAATATAGGCGATTCCGTGGTCGTACCTAAAAATGGATCCCAAAACATCGACGCCGCTCTTAGATGAACAAGGAAACGTGCAGTGGGATGGATATTGCATCGACTTTGCTGAGCGTCTGTCGGAAAAATTAGATTTTGACTATGTTCTGGTTCCTCCGACACGTGGCTCATTTGGTGATCGAGTTCCTGGATTGAACAATACATGGGATGGTCTTGTAGGAGATCTGGTCACTGGGGTAGATTGATTTATCGTTTTGAATAATCATTTTATTTCCATAAGAACAAATTCGCTCTTTTTCAAACATAGCAAATCGATATTGCTGTTGCACCTATGAAAATGACGGCCGAACGAGAGGAAGTTATTGATTTTGTTGCGCCATATTTCGAACAGACTGGAATTTTGATAGGTAATATCATTTTCTTTGGTTTGTCTAATATCAGGTTTAGAATAACGGTAATTTTTTTAAATTTCTCCAGTAATTCGAAAGCCCGTACGTCAGACATCTTTATTCAAATTTATGACTGTGCTTCGTGCTGAAGTGTGGCTGAGTATCGTAGGCGCAATAATTACAACCTCTATAATGTTATGGATACTAGATAAGTATTCGCCTTACAGTGCAAAAAACAATAAAGATGCCTATCCCTATCCATGTCGGTAAGTGCGCGGGTGTGTGAGCTTTATTTATTTCAAAAGGGGTTTTCGAATAGTAAAACAATTCCAAATTTTCTGAATTTAATTTCCAGTGATTTTACATTCAAGGAAAGCTTATGGTTTTCTATGACATCGTTCACCCCACAGGGCGGCGGAGAAGCACCAAAATCACTTTCCAGCCGAACATTGGTTGCAGCCTATTGGCTCTTTGTTGTATTGATGTTGGCCACATTTACGGCCAACCTTGCAGCATTCCTAACCGTTGAACGTATGCAGACGCCTGTTCAATCGCTGGATCAGCTAGCACGACAATCCCGTATCAATTACACAGTTGTCGAAGGATCGGACACGCATAAATATTTCATCAATATGAAATTTGCCGAGGATACACTGTATCGTATGTGGAAAGAGTTAACCTTGAACAGTACCTCGGATCAAACGCAATATCGTGTCTGGGATTATCCGATCAAAGAGCAATACGGCCATATATTGCTCGCTATAAATTCATCAAATCCAGTTGAAAATGCCACGCAAGGTTTTCAAAATGTCAAAGATCACATTAACGCTGACTATGCATTTATTCACGATTCGGCCGAAGTGAAGTATGAAATATCCCGAAGTTGTGAATTAATCGAAGTTGGAGAAGTGTTTGCGGAGCAACCGTATGCATTAGCTATACAACAAGGCAGTCAACTACAGGTGAACGACAATTGAATAATTTTTTGAACATTGAAATTAAAATCATTGTATTCATATCCTAGGATGAACTAAGTCGTGCAATTCTGGAATTGCAAAAAGATCGGTTTTTCGAAGCATTAACAGCAAAATACTGGAACCATTCGTCAAAAGCCGATGAATGCCCGAATAACGACGAAAGCGAGGGAATCACACTCGAATCTCTTGGTGGTGTTTTCATAGGTTATAACAGATAAGAATATTGCAATTTATCCATTCGAATGGATTGATTTTTCATGAAGTCAAACCACAAAATATTGTCGTCAGTGATGCAAATGAAAATCAAATACTCTTCATTGACTTTGCTTTCAGCTACACTCTTTGGTTTGGCTCTAGCCATGGTTACGTTGGTCATCGAAGTGGTTTACTACAGACGACGTGATGCTCGTGAAAATACTGTTAAACCCATTTCTGGAGTCACCCCACCACCATCTTATGATGACCAGCATGTGAATCGATCATCGAAAAAACTGTTTCGACTCAATAACGAAAATTTGGTTACACTAGGTGGAGAAAAATTTGTACCAGCTGCTCATTCACAACGCACACCTTATATTCCATCGTATCGGCGCCGATCGATTCGATCAGCTGAAGAAAATGAATATATTGAGTGAGATTATAAAGAACGATAATTAACTAAAGCACGAAATCGCACGACAGAAATTGCTCATTCAGAGCCAAAACTCAAAATTGATTGCTTTAAACGTAGCATTGAGAATTTTTTCTTGAAAATGTTCACAATAGTTGTTATCACTGCAGAATATCCCACAATTTTTATCTACTTTTTTGCAATTTTGAAAATAAACACTAAATAAAACTAAAAGTTATTTTGTTGAAAGCCAAAAATAGTTTTTCAATGAATTTAATTCAATTTTATTATTTTACAGGGCTTCGGTTATGTTAAGTATATGGATATTATAGTCTAGCACCTCTCAATTACTAAACACGATTCTGTGCGGCAAATATTCGTCGATCAACGTTGCAATAAGATTTATTGGACATAAAAAAATATTAAATTGAATTTCGGAACATTGAATATTACAATCATTAAATACTACACCTATTATTCTTTGAAAACACTAGTATGTAAATTGTATCCCTTAGATACATCATAATCCGGCTCTTTTTCTAAGATACTCTTCAATTCTGATGTGAAAAGTTCAACAAGGCCATCATAATCAGGCTCTTCATGTGATTGAATGGTATCGAAATAGTCGAAATATTTTGAAAATAGTTTTGGACTATCCGAATTATCGATAGGTCTCTGAAAAAAAATGCGAATAGTAAGTAAACTTCAGAAGAATAAAAAGTAATTCGTTAGATAATCCTCACTTTGATGCCATATTTTTCCCAACCAGCAAGTGCAGTGTCCATTTTCACCACAAAATCGTCTCCAGAGTTTATCTCATCCATCCACGGAACAAACACGCCATTCAACACAAGCAGCGTTATTCCCAGTGAAATGAAATCGTCCTTTCGAACTTGAGTATATCTATTCAATGGTTTTCTAGCCATATAACCGGGCGTTCCACTGTACCAATCTGTTGCTTTTCGTGGTTCTGGTTCACCCATTGCATTACGGTAAAATTTGCTGAAAGCAAAGTCAATGAAGAGTATTTGATTTTCATTTGCATCACTGACGACAATGTTTTGTGGTTTGACGTCATGAAAAATCAATCCCTTCGAATGGATAAATTGCAATATTCTTATCTGAAATTGATAATAACCTATGAAAAAACCATTTCCAACAAAATGTTTATCACGTTCGACCTACAGCTTGAATTGCAATTTTGCACAGCCATTTCAATTCGATCTTTCCGGCCTTTGTCCTGTTTCGTAATTCAAAGAGTGATGGTCCAGCTTTAGTCATCACCAATATTTTATAGTCAAGAAAGTCACCAAAATGTACAATATACGGTACACCATGCTGAACAATGTCCGGATCTGAAATAATTGTGTTATTTGTTGTAAAAATTGAAAAGCAATGCTGATAAATGCACTCATTACCATCAGCTCCCAAATATAAATAGTTCACAAATTCATTTTCCAGATAGTGAAATTTATCTTCCGCGGCAAATTTAATAGCCACTTCAGTGCCTGTCTTTGTATCGAGACCTAAGTGTAATTAAATTCCAATTTTTTTTTTAAATTGCAATAGCTGTCAGAATATTTTTTATGCTTTCTGAAGGACAAAATCAGTTACCGCTTCTCACAAATCCGGTATAACCGTGGCCCAAATGCTTGCCCACTATAAATCGATCGTCAATGACAACGCCATGAATATATTTTTCTGGTATAGTCCATTTCAACTCATTTACTACGGTTAAACTCGTCTCTTTGTTATTATCATCAGAATCAAACTTTTCGAAATTATCTGTGTCGTTCGTATGTTTGATTTCGCAGTCGTTCCAGTTTTTATTTGCGAGCTCTTCGGCTGTTAGCTCATTTTCAAAAAGTTGCACCAAGAAATCATAATCGGGTCGTTCATGAGACTTCAGTGTGTCGAAGTAGTCGAAGTATTTGACGAAAAAATTTGGACTATCCGACTCATTGCAGATTGCCTTGAAGAATTAGCAAAGATTAATTAGATTGAACTTTTGAGTTAGTTAACAGTGACTTTCATTTAACTTACATAGATGCCATACTTTGCCCACTGCTCAAGTACAATGTCCATCGTTTGATAAATATCTTCAAATTCATTCGTAAGATTCATCCAGGGGAGTCGAACACCATTTAAATGAAGTAAAACGAGACCAAATGATATGAAATCATCCTTTCGAACATGAGTATTTCTATTCAATGGTCCTCTGCCCATATACTCGGGAGTTCCATTTAGCTCAGTGGCTTTTTCCCTTGCTTTTGGTTCACCCATAGCATTGACGTAAAATTCGCTGAATGCAAAATCATAGAAAAAGATTTGATCTGCATTCGTTCTGCCAACGGCAATGTTTGTTGGTTTAACATCATGGAATAGCAAGCCTTTTGAATGGATATATTCAAATATCCTTATCTGAAATTAGTAACAATTTTTAGAAGAAAATGAAAATAATTATAAATCGAGTGTCAAGTATAGAAACATTCAATGTGTCGATGACATACCGATTGTATCGCAATTTTGCAGATTGTACTGAATGTAAATTTCTCATCGTCTGTTTCGTAAGCTAAATCATATAAATTTGGGCCCGTCTTCGTCATCACAAGCACTTTAAAGCCGCCAAAGTCTCCAAAATGTATGATATGTGGTATGCCATGTTGCACGACATCGGGATCTGAAGGAAACTTCGATTTTATTAATTGCATCATTTCTTTGTCTGGACAAATTGAAATATTCACCATCAGCACCCAAATATAAATAATTGACATATTCTTTTTCCAGCGAAAAATATCGATCTTCCTCTGCAAACTTGATAGCAACTTCTTCTCCAGTTTTTAGGTCAATGCCTGGAAATGTGCAAAATTGACATGATAATTTTAAATTACGACTCGCTCAAAGTTTTAAGGGGCTACTCTTTGAATTTACCACTTCGAACAAACCCGGTATAACCGTCGCCCAGCAATTCTTGAACCAAAAACCGATCGTCAATAACAACATTTGACAAATGCTCTTTCGGTATAATCAATTTTAGTTCATTAACGACAGCTAAACTCGTCTCATATTCGTCGAACCACCAATCTGAATGAACGTGAAAATATTTGTTAAAAAAAACTTCAAAACTATGCTGATTCTAAATTCACTTACATGAGTAAAAATGAATAAGTACAATGCATATTAAAATTTGTTGAACAAACGCTCGGATCCTGCGGAATGTAAGTATGAATTGAACAAATCAACATTTCAAATTGACGTGGACGAATTTAAATTGAATCTTACATGTTCGGGTAGCCTATCTCTGTCTATACTTATTGAAGACTGCTGTGATTTTGCAAATATTTTCTGCTGCAGCATCGAGACGACGACGATGAGATGACAATGCACCCCATTTCTATATACTTTTTCAATTCATTTTTTACGCAACATTTGAAAAGCCAAAAAATGAATTGAAACCAAACCGATTCTCTTGATGAATGACGAATATGAGTAATGTGTCGGTTGTTGCTACGCTTGAATATTTGCACAATTGCTCCAGAGCATACCAAATGTCTCTCGCAATATATTCGTTAAATATAGAAAGGTGAGTGAGTTTGTATCGATATCTTTCACAACATTTTTTATTCTCGATGCAAATTTTCTTTAGAATCTTACTATTTCCATTCTGATGGCTAATTCTTACTAAAACAACTATGGGTTAAACCATTAATGGTCTGTTATTTTTTCGGTGCAAGTCTACGGTGTATATCCCACATACTTGATTTATTGTATTAACAATGAATGAAAAGGCTTCGTTTTGAACAGCTTGTTTTATTTACTTTGTCCAGACATTTTTAAAACGTGCGATTTTTTCCTCGGAAATTTACATTTTTGAATGTCAAGTCGAAATTTTCGACTCGAAAACATTCGATATTGTTTTGACAAAGATATGAGCTAATTTCTCTTTTAAATGTGTGCTATTGAAAAAAAGTGAAATTTTCTGAATTTTATCACACATTTGGTTAAGTTATAGTTTTCCTAACATATTTCGATTTTTTTCAGAAAAAGTGTTTTTCAACAAAATTCGATTTTGAAATTCTGGGGTTTTAAATTCGGATTTCGTTTAGTTTCTCACGAAGAATTTTGTGGCGGTTTCAGTTTGAAGCTTCGATTGAGCATTTTGAAAAATTAACCCAAAGATACCGATCTTATTAACATATTAATTACATATTTTCGTTATTAACCTGGCAAATTTTTCAAAACGACTCATCATAAATGAAAACTGAAACCACGATAAAATTCTTCATGAAAAACTAAACAAAATTCAATTCCAAAACCTCAAAATTTCAAAATCGAATTTTGTTAAAAACACTTTTTCTGAAAAAAATCGAAATATATTAGGAAAACTATAGGTTAAGTTGTTCAAATAAAATATGATGATGATGATAGAGACATGTTTTTGAATGTTTGATGCAATTTTAAATCAAGCTGAACGTTTATATGAGATGAAAATCAACGCAAGAGAAATGCAAATAATTGTTTTATAACATTGCGTCCAATATTCCTAGGCTCTCTTTTTTTAAATCAGCGGGAGTCAGGGCAGCCATGAAGGTAACTTTCAACACTTTGTAATCAACATGCTCGTCAGTTTTGAGCGATGTCAAATAGTCAAAATATTCTTTGAATATTTCTGGAATGTCCGATTGCATATATAACTCCTGCGAATGATGAAGAGTTTCATTTTTATCGTTTTATAGTTGAGCAGCCAACTTTGGCTTTGAACATGCCCATTACCTTCACATAATTTTCGTTCCATTCTTGCATCAATTGTTCAACAATTTCATCTGTGTTTGTAATGATTTGTCCCGTCGATGAAGATGTCATTGTTGGGAATTCGACTCCATTTAAGTCCAAAAGTACCAGACCAAATCCAATTAGGTCACTTTTTACCATATGTTCTTGCGGAATCGGGATACTGGAAGCGAAATCAAACACATAAATCTTATTCATCGTTTCCATTGAATTACCGATCGCCATATTTTTTGCATCAATATCCTGAATCATGACGCCTTTTGAGTGAATATAATCAAAAGTGTCGATCTGCAATATAAAAAATGATTTAAACTGATGAAGAAATGGAAAAAGATGAAAAAAGTGATGCTCACCGCTTGCATTGCAATCTTCGCAATGGTTTTTTTGAATAATTTGTTTTTTCCAGTCCATTCTTTCAGATCATGGAGTGTTGATCCGAGCATTTCCATAACTAGGAATGTATATCCACCATAAGCACCAAAATGGAAAACATGTGGTATGCCAACATCGACATCGGCCGTATCTGGTATTTCAACAATTACACATTGATCAGTTCCGATTCAACTATTTCATTATATTTCTCATTGAAGTTACCCTCGGTTCTCAATAGTAAGTAACTGTGATATTCGTTTTCCAGGAAATGTGCTATTTCACCAGAGACATCAGGATGGGCCAACTTGATGACAACATTTGAGCCTGTAGTTACGTCCACACCTATTGAGAAAATGTTGGATGTATCTTTTGTAAGTGAATGTAAATGCATTTTGTACTATGGCACACCTTTTCGAATCGTTGCAACGCGACCAACTGTTATTATTTCTCCAATCACAAATCGTTTATCTAAAACTCGGTGCATAAGCTGTTCCTCTGGTATAACGTGACTCATGTCTGCATGATATATTTCCTCTGATGTGGTCTCAGTGCTATTATTCAAGTCAGTCTCTTCGTCATTTTTATCTCTATAGTGAACTTTGGACATTTTGATCATTAATAATTAGGCATTTTGAATAATCAGGAGACAATTTTCAAATAAAAACCTGCATAAAATATGGTATATGCCAAAACACATGCCAAAGCAAAGTGGATCAAATTCAGAACCCTATAAAAAAGATGGGTAATTTTAGCTGAGTTGCGAAATCAAAGTTCTCAATCTTTTTGCCAATTTGTTTAAACTATTCAAGTACAAATTGTAAATGTAGTGCCGAATAATACGTACATTTTTGTAAAATCCAAACGATGAATGTGTCCAAATACGTTAGCGCTTGCTTACAGACTGTGTACGTGCACTTGCTGGGTTATTTCTGGTGTGCGAATTAATCTGCCCGTATTTTTGCAATTCGAATTTCTCGAAATGTTTGAACAATTGAAATATAATTTCGAAATTATCAACACGCCCAATAGGATGGTTTTTATTTAGATCGATTTATTTGCACAAGTGATTCGATGCATTGTCATTGGGCGCAATCTCAGTGCACTCTGCTTGACGGCTGACAAGTCTGCAGTGTATGCAAAGGAGCTCAGTTTCTATTTTCTACTTTCTTTTGTAATAAACCATCTTATCTCCATCGTTCATCTTGTGTGGAAATTTTGATTCAATTTTAAATGAATTGATTGAATGTGGTTTTTATTAAAAGTAAGTATGAAATAAATTGTGTATTTGTGTAAGAAAAAATGAGTAAGTCATAAACAAGAAATATCGATGAATATTCAACGATGTCAATCAACTGTATATTGCATCACTTCATGATTTTGTTGCATTGTCGATTCAAACAAATTTCGCTGGGTTTCACGACACTGTCAAATCTATTCAGCTACAACATACACACAAATGTTGACGTTTTATCAAAGAATTTCTGATATTCAATGACTGGAATACTTACGAAGAAAATAGATGTCTACGAAAATCTAGGGGCTTTTTACTCTTTTGCATACTGCAAAAAGTGACCGCATAGCTGCACATAGACGCGCATAATATGTGTGTGCTACGAGGAGTTGCGAATAGTACGCATAGTATCGAATGTGTTCATGCCAATGAGAATATGTATGCGGTTTCTGTCATATAGGCTGAATGTCACAAAATCTGTTGTATCGGTGACTTTGATTTGAAAAAACCTTTGTTGTCAGCATCATTTGTGCATAAGAGAAATTTTTTTCCTGTTGATTAATAAAAATAAATGATAAAAATGGTAAAAGTTAAAAGAAATACTAACTGTTATTGTTTTATTTTTCCATATATTTTAAATTGATTAATGTATATAATTATTTTGAAGCCAAAGCAACAAGATGTATTTGGAAAATTGGTAAATTTCATCAGCGATCAGCTTCCTGAAAACATCATCAAAATATTGAAGGCAACTGGCTATACGACAGAAACTATATTAAAACTCATTAACGAGGAACGAATTAATGAGATTGAAGAATATGTTCGAAAAAATCGTTTCATATTAAAAGACACGAGCTACGAAAATAACGATGATTTTGAGTTTTTGCCTGGCCATAGAGTTTTACTTTTGAATCTGCTAAGTGAAATTAAAAGAATGGAAAATGTCAACAAGGGTATACAAGAAATTGAAGTGAAACAAGCAAATTTGTCGCACTTCTCTTTCATGTTAAAGGCGCTCATCGATACAGCTGAATCGAATTCAAATGGACATCCAAATGGGAATAGATTCAATAAAAATGTTCAGGATTTCGCCACTTACATATACTTGATGTGCGGTCGAGCGTGCTATGACATCTAGATGTAAAGAGCGTGTCAGCGTACAGAATACTTCAGTATGAAGTATGCGATTGTATTGGCAAAAGAGCAACGCTTATGCGCGGTATTCGTGGGAATGCGCTATTGTTCGTAAAATATGTTTGTTCATTTTTAAGCAAATAAAATGCGCATACTGCGAATTGTTTACATTTAGCAGTGCGATTGGCAAATATAATATTTTAAACCGCATAAACGTCGCATACATCGTTTTCGACTTAAATGCCCCTAGACGAAAATCGTGTTTAATTAGCAAAATGAATCATCAAATAGTATCAAGTCAGCATTACCTAGCATTGCATTGAAACAAAAAACGTGGACACTGTCACATTCCTTTGAAATTGAATAGCTTACCATATGTCAAACACATTGTTGGAGATTAAAAACTAGCTTCCATCTAAAATAAAACACACACGACTCAAAGATCTGTTTATGATCAATTTTCACACAAAAACAGATAAAAAACGTATTGCAATGAAAACTAAAACACAATTTGTCGTGCATATTAAGCATTTTATGTTTTTTATTGAACGACGAAATGTGCCAATTGAATGTATGAAGGAATCAATTTTCGGAAAACATTGATCTAAATGCGATAATTGGTTTGTAGTTGTGAAATGTTCACTTTTTAGATAGTTTACTGAAAAATCCGGCTCCTGCCGAAAACAAAGCACCAGTAGTTTTTGTCACAGCGCCAACGGCTCCACTTGCAACAGCTCCAGTTCCAGCGGCAACAGTTCCGACTGTTGATTGCAAGACACTTCCTGTGGATGATGCAACATCACTGGCTGTCTTAAACCCAACAGTAGCCAATGCGATGGGTGCCTCGACGAATAATGCCGTTCCAGTGGCTGCTGCTCCTTTGATTCCTTGTTTAACATCGTCCATATTTGGCCAATAATTTTATAATCACCAAAATTAAACTTCAAATGACTTTAGAGCGTGCAGATGTAAACTGTATTGTGCACAGAGATTTTGCGTTCTACTGCTTTTAATGACGATTGCAAACTGAATACAGTACGAAACATAACCTGTGTATTGGAAAAATGTATACTCCGAAGCCACTAACGCACGTGCACACTATACAATATATATCACTCACAGCGACAAAATCTCCAACACATTCACAAGTATGCTCCAGTTGCGCTAATCATATTTGCATTTGTGTAATAGTTGGTCAGCGGATTGGTCGTTTCACAACGTATATTGCGCATTTGTTTCAACTTTATAATCACTCATTGATTCAACGAAACGACATATTGAAGTATAATTTTTTTGCTGATAAAGCGATCTGCACAAACGCCCGCAAATAAATTGCAATCGTTTTTGAAAATTCTATGAAATAGTTTATCATCTTGTTGATGTTGGTGATGTTGGTGATGTTGATAACATCAAATGCTAAAATGCATTCCGTGTAATACTAGTATTATCAATCACATTTGAATAAAATAATTGGCTTGCATCAAGCAAATACAATTTTTGAACTTTTTTTCTCAATGACATCTTTATTCTTTTTTTTCTAACCAGTCTGGTGAAAAAAAGATGTGAACAAAAACAAAGTAAATGTTTCATACAGTGGGTAATAAATGTTTGATTCAAATTGTTTAGAGTGAGAACCAACCCTTAAACTGACAGCACATATCTGAACCATTTGACATGGCTTTGACAATAGATGAAAAGTAAAGCAATTTCAACGACTTTTTTCGGAATGGATAAGCATAAACAAATCGATCCCCTTTTATATCTGAGTTGAACAAATTACTCGTTTGATTTGAAAACGACATGAAACTCGTATTTGTAAATGAAATAAAAAGAATTACATTGGTAATCCCGAACTTTTCCGTACCGTAGGCCTGCGTTGTCCGTAGGTACTTTTGGTTATTTTCTAAGGGAATTTCACGCTCCTAAATCTTGTGAGATATTTGAGATATTTGAAATAAACATCAATTGTATGACATATTTTCGAATATTTCGAATAAATGAATCAGATTTTTGTGGATTTTGGAGATATTTGAGATTTTTTGCATTAAATCCGAATAAATACATTTAAATATCATTCATAATCACAAAAATCCACAATATTCCGCCGTATTCACAAATATTCACCATATTTCATACGACAGATTCTTTGAGATAAATTGGATTTTTTTGAAATATTTGAAATAATTCAAGCGTGATATTCCCCTAGGTTATTTTTGTGAATTTTCTTGAAATAAAGGCAGTGAAAATACATTAATGAAAATAAAGCGAAAAATCGGTCACTTTAACTAAAACTTCGACAATTTTGTATGAGAGGTACCCGTAAACCGATTCTCATTGGCTTTAAACTTTCTGAAGTTTCATTTTTTGGAGAAAAAATAAGATTCTGAAAGTTTCATGTTGATCGCATTTGCAGAATTGCATTATAGCGAATATAAATGAACGTAATGAGAAATGTAACGAGAAATTACGTTCATTCATAATCACTAGTGAAGCCACGTTGCCAAAACCTGTACGTTCTTGTTTCCTTACTGCGCACTACTTTTCTACGGTGAAGAAGACTGCTTTGTTGATGTGTATAACAATACGGGTAAAACACCGGCGCTCCGAGGTTTTCATACAAACTTCCCATGTAGACGATCCGAAACAGACAAAAATCGAAAAAAAAGTTTAAATTTTTTTTTCGACTCCCATATAGTTTTTTTTTTGCCCAATCCATTGGTGTTATCGCCACATCGAAATTCGGGCTCCTTATCACTTAATTTGCATCATGTGATAAATGCGAGTGACGTCATCAATAGCTCGGGAATCAATTGAAATGAAACACACGAAAAAATATTCGAGTAACGAAACAATGTGATACAGATCCATTCATATGAAACAATGCGAGAGGATTCGTTCATAACGACACTGCAGACAAAAAATCTATCAAAACGGAACACCGCAAAGCGAAATACTTGAAACGGCACATGCTATGTTTCATTCTTACGGATTTCTTTTCAATGTTCCATTTTAATGGATTGCTTTATTTTTGTTTCGTATCTGTTTATTGAGCGACGAAAATCTCATGTTCATTCCAAGCTCATCATTTGTGCCGACCCAGTCACGTGAATTTTCCAATTCCGAAGTGTTATGGCGGAGATCCGACCATAGCTCTTCAAGAGCCTCTTTTCGACTGAGCAATATCACTGCGGTTGTTGTGATTTGAAAAGTATCGATTATTTTTAGCTGAGCTTCAATATCATGAGTGAGCCGCTGTCGTGTGAATTTCAAACGTTCTATTTTGTTTGCCTTTTTTTCTCTCTTTTGTTTCTGTATGTATTTTTTTTTACTTTGGCTTTTTTTCTTTTTTCCCTCTTTTTTTAGCGTCTCTTTTTTTTCTCTTTTTCTTTTTTTTGTGGGGACTTTTTTATATGTATTTTTTTTCTTTTTCTTTTTTGAGGACAACACAAAATAGCAACAAAACACGTATTTTTTTTTCAATATATCTCTGAGTGTCTCTTTATTTATTCACAGAGCAATACTTGTACAATTTCATTGATGGCGAGCGTTGTATTTTTCTCTTTTGACGATATTCCGTTTTTGTTTACGCGTCAAACCAGTCAAGTGTCCCGGCAGCTATGGCTGCACTTGGTATTGCACAATGGATGGATATGGATACAGAATTGGTAGTTGCTCTTGATAATAGTGTTCCGGTTGAGGGTAGTGAATTGGTGGTTGAAAGTGAGTTGGTTGATGAAGAAAATGAATGGGTTGTTGAATCAACTGTGGCTGATGGACGGGCGCCTGTGCTGGTGGATACGGCAGGTTTACCTTGTGAGTCCAATACGACCGCAACGGTGGCTCTCCTGACGGTACGACAACTGGCGGTGGTTGTCGTTTGAATGGAGGGCCCACCTGAATACCAATGCTTACTTCCTTTGGTGATTCTTTTGCCGGAGTATTCGCTACGATCCGAATCACTCGCTTTACGGTATCAATGCCATTTATCGGAATGTTATCTGGTTTTGGAAGTGATGGTTTTTCACTTGGTGACGGTTTTAACGTTGATTGTCGAAGAAGGTGACCGCGTTGATTGTTATTGGGCAGCTCAACCTTTTCATCAATGGTGAGTACGTCGTTATCTACTTCAGCCGTTATTTGCAGCTGTTCTCGGCGCTGTGCCGGTGTTACACGAGGATTTTTTCGCTCGGCGCTAAATTTCACACGGGTGGCTGGTTTATTGATCCGTTTTAAGCCACGGGCGACACTAGTCCATGTGCGTTTCACAACAGCTGTTTTAGCGCGAGCGTAACTTCGCTTTGCTACCAATAAATTTGCTGGCACTATGCACAGCAAATTTGAAAGAAAGAGAAAGAAGAAAGAGTGAATTGAAAGGCACAGAGTGCAAAAGAAATTGAATGTTTTTTTCTTACTTTTTGTTCGGTATGGCCTTTCCAAAGGAATTTTCTGAAATGAATGCGTGATCGTATGCGTGTGTGTGTTTTTTTTTTAAATAATGAAAAAAATTAGATAATGCTAATGAAAATGCTAAGGATTTCACTCCATTAGGAAGACTCTACTGAGGCGATGATGACGCACTGCATACTAATGCATTTAATACCTCGAAGTGCACCTTTAAATCGAGTGTTCGATATAAAACATGAATAGGTGTGTGTATGTGTATGCAGTGTTTATGTGTTTGATATAGATATTGATAAAAAAAATGTTGGAAATTAAAGATTGCTTTTAATTTTTACGCTATGAACTCTAATGGGAAAAGTTCACTTTTTAATAATGGAAATAATGTTTTTGTATAAACTTTGATTGTTTTTGTAACGAAATATATGTTTTTTATGGTTTAGTTTCACAACAATTTTCAAAACGCAAAGAACATAGAATTCATTTCCGTCTTCGGATTTTGCACTCAAAGCGATATTGAAACGCCTGCGATGATGAAATTTCGAAACACTTGTAAACAGTGACATTTTAGAAGGGAGCTCATTCTGAATGCTCGTCAAACGAATCGTCGTCATCTTCGAGATCCAAATGGGCTCCTGCTGGTACAACATTATCATTGGACTCTTCGTCTGAGTCACTATCGATTTTTATTTTTTCTGAAAAGAAAATTAAACAAGACGTTGAAAACTGTATTTTCAATGCAGTTGTTCTGTTCGATTGTTCTTACCCAATTTTTCGATGGCATCGTCATAAAATTCTTCAGACTTGAAGGCATCGATGTTTTGAACAACCCATGTGCATTTCTGAGCTGTGTGTTGTAATCGTGGCCACTTGATTGGGCATGATTTCCGCAAACGTACCACAACGTAAACGCCTCGTAATTCGTGAGTTGTGAGCTTATAGTCCACACAGCCAAAGAAATGTATGATTGCCACAATTTTCTCGTCATTTTCAATGGTACTGGAAATTCATTGAACATTTTCGAATTTTTAATGAGAATTAGTTATCTTGATTCTTTTTCCCAATTGTATATATATGATCCTACCCATAAACCAGCTGTTCAGATGTGACTTCGAGTCCATATTTCACGTTGTCGTGTGCACTGATTTTCAATACAATCATTTCATCGGTTTGCCACCAGAAGACGCGTGGACGTTTGTATACGTATTCCAATTGATGCCGATCACCTGGATTGCCGGAGTCTTCACTTGAATTTTCAATTTGACAATCCGTTGAATTTTCACTTCCTTCGCTCGATCCATTGCTTGTCGACGCATAGCCATTATCCAACTTGTTGTTGTTCCATTCAATTTTTGATTTTGATTCCATTTGTGGTTTAATTGTGGAATCATCGACTTTCATTGCTGACTTTTGCTCTATTTCGGGCTCTGTGCCATTTTGTTCACCACCTTCTTTGTTGGATTTGCACAAATCACGGAGAAAATCTTCTGCTTCTTGCATGAATGAGTCATCGTTCAGAAGCTCATTGATTTTCTCAAAATCATTGCTGATGTCACTTTCCGGCGATTCCGTTCTATTTGGTGGATTATCAACCATGACCCATTTCTTTTGTTGTTCGTTGCCATAAGCTTTACATTCATCATCCCAATCGCTTTCACTGTCGTCATCATTGTCGTCACTCACCAAAATTGGAACATTATCCAATGAGTGTCGTGTGCTTGGATCAAAATCAGCCAACTCTTGTGCCACAAGCAATTGGTTCATATTAATTTGCTGATCTTCGTCTGGTATAGCCAGTAAGACGATGTCGTGACGCACAAAATTTGTGTCGGCAATTTTCGATTTGACCGATTTATCCGTGGAAACCGTATGTAAAACCAGGTCGTTGCCATATCCATCGATTGCCTCGTAAATTGCGTCAATATGTTGTTCATTCCATTGAGCAACTTCACATCCAGCATTTTCAGCTGGTTTGATTCCAACCAAATTACACCAAATTGCCTTGAACGATGAAATGAATGCAAAAATGAAAAAAACAAATATGATCAAACGAAAAATGTAATAAAGTCAATCATTTCGAATGATACCTGGAATGGGAGCATTTGAATGAGATTGTCTGGAATATCGTAGACGTTGGAAATATCAACTATTGGGCAGAAGCCAGTGTCAACCAGGAACACTTTCAATTGGATATCTTCGCCGTAAATGACCTCAATGACTTTGGCGCGTTCATAGCCATCGGCCACGAGTACCAAGCAATATTTGTACACATCCGGACAGCCCATGGAATCATTGAATGATGTATTGGTCATGTGTTCACTAATCGTATCATACATTTGCTTCCGCCTAATGGAATGGTTTATATGAGACAATTGTTGAGAAAACATTCAATTTCCAATTGCAACTTACTTTTCGGATTGCAGAACCACATAGAAATCATTTGGACTGTTAAACTGTGAGATGATGACAGATTTGTGTTGAATTTTCCACGGGCATTCCCACTTGTCGGTACTTTCGTCCTGTGAAATTGATTCGCTGCCCGAGTCATCAAATGATATGAGAGCATCGCTGGATTCATTGCGCGAATATGTTGTTTCTTTTTCATTTCCAACTTTCGAATTTATGTTTGCTTTGGCTGATGGTTCAGAGGTTGGGTTTACCTTTGGCGGTGATTCGGCAATAATTTTAACACCGACTGCCTTGGCCATTTCGACAACTTTGTCCCGGCTAGCGCTCGATGAAATGGCATATTTTCTTCGTTGTAAGTATGACTTGATCGAACAATGGATAATGCCACGCTTGAGACCGGTGAGTCGCATCACATCGACAATGATTGTATTGCGTAGCGTAAACACAATGGTTGCCTCGTAAATTGAATCATTATCATTTGCGTTCAATTCACTCAAATATTGGCGGACTTTTTCACACAGGCATGGATCCCAGTCATCTTCTTTGTCGGCTGGAATTATGCTGGTCAAGTGCAAGTGATATGCTTGATTGGGAAGAGCTTGGAATTGTTCGTCAAGCGTAAAGATTTCGAACGCATTACGACGTTCAACTTCACCAGTATCGATGAAACGCACCTCGAATATGTCAACATCGGTGACTTTTCTGTGAGAAAAAAAAAGTGGATTTTATATAATTTTAATTCAAGATTCTTTCTTCTTTGTGTTTCACATTTACATACCGTTTTTCGTATATTTCAATGATTTCAGCTCGATAGAATATTTCATGGCACTGAACAACACACTTTTGGCCTAATTCCAATGTGTGCAACACCTTTTGGTTGATAGTGTCTTTGTAGTAAGCTTGCATTTTTGCATTGACATCATCGAATTCATCAGAATTGTTAATTGTTCGCCATGTTCCATGTTCCCCCGCTTTGAGTTCCGTTGGTCGAACAATATATTCGGTTGGACTGATGATTTTCAGTACATTGAACCGTAAATGACCACTCGCCATCGGCTCTGAATCGTCCAAAATGTCAGACGGCAACAACAAATGACGATGAGAACACATCGCTTGATGTTCAGTGACGCCATGCATAAAAACGAAGTTGCAAATCGATTGAAAGCGTTGTTTTTTAGCTTTGTCCCTTTTGTTCATCATGCGAGCACTCTAAAAGTAATAAATCAATGATTGTTTTAATTGGATGATATGTTGTTCTATGTACGGTACATATGTTATTTTTCATTCGAAAGATTTGGAGCAAATAAAATTTATTTCAATGAAATGGACATACCTGGCTTAGTTCCATGACTTGCTTTGGCACTTGCTGTCCATCACGTGTGAGCAATTCCACGAGTTTGGGTAACTGTGCAAAGTTATCGTCATCAAGGAATATGGTTGACGTGGCTTTCTCTTTATTTCGGCCCTGAGATGATCAAATAAAAAAAGAATTATCCACATGACTGCATCGGATGCAACTCATTCTACTTACTTCGTCATAGAAGTCCAACAATGTTGAATGGCGTGACAAGAATGAGCGGAACTCTTTTGTGGGAACGCTGAAATGCAGAATATGTTGTACGTTTTTGATTTCCAATCCGGGTAAATGTGCATCGGTGCAAATGAGAATGCCTTCAACTTTGCCCCAGAATGACTTGATTTTAGCTTGTGCATCTGGATTTATGAAGAAAAATCATTAAAAGTTGAACTCATAAAAAGAACGCATCGAGAAATATCAAATCCATGAACACAAGCCCATGAAAAGTAACTCACAATTCGATTCAATATCTTTGGCCCATTCATACGGTATGTTCTTCGAATCGAGGTGTTTGGTGACTTGCTCAGCTTCGGTGCTGCTGTTGCACACAACCATTGTACGTTCCGTGCGATAGGATATCGTTTGGATGTGCTCTGAAACAAACGATTTTTATTACATATTTAGCTACCTCGTCGTAAGTATTAGTTTGTAGGTTAGAATTCTTCTGAACGGATTGGAAAACGAGATTAATTCCAATCCAGAATTTGCAAAGTTGGCATTGGAAAAATCTCACCTGTTAAAATGTCCAGTTTGACTTCATTCTTGCACAGTCTGAAGTGCATCAAAACACCAGCGCAAAATGCGGCTTCCAAATAGTTGCCAATGACGAGCACTGAGTCAGCAACATCACGTTCATTCATGAACTTGAGCAATGTGGATTGCCATGTGCGCGATGTGACAATAAATTGCCGCATGCCACCTTTGTATGATTTTCGCGAGCAGAGATTCTTAACGATGAAATTGACTATGTCTGGCTGTTTTTCCATGATACAGTCCAGATTTTCAAATGCAATGCACTTGAGCCGGTCGCTTTTGAATATATGTTCCGACTTCGTAATCAAATCTACGAGACACGGTGCAGTTGCTACCAAAATATTGCAACCATTATAGAGTTTAACCTTTTGGAATAAACGAAAGTTGCAGCCGTTTACATAAAATTATAATATTCCAGATTGAAAAGCTATAAAAGTGGTTTATCTCACCGTCACACTGACAGCATCACGTGTTCCAATGGCTTCGACGACGTTGCTTTTGAATGACGGCATTTGCAAAATTGTGCGACAATCGTCTGCAATTTTCTTCACATTTGACGTTAGGCAAACAATTATTGCCGTTGCACCCATTTTCGAACGTGGCTTGTTCTTGTCGCCTCTTTCTGCTTCAGCATTTTCGAATTCTCTCTGGAAAATGGACAATGTTTGTTTTAATTATAAATTCCATTTTTTCATCAAGCTCAACATTTTACGACTGGATTTTTTTTTTGCAAAAGCTACAAACCTGAACCATTGAACATAGCGCCGGCAGATAAGCCATAGTTTTGCCACGATTTTGTGAGTCAACCAAAATCATGGAGTTTCCACGCAACAGATTTGGCCTGGAAAAAAGTATCAGAATCAATTTAGACCCATTCAACCAATGGTTGAACGGCTTGTGATGAGTGAATCAAACATATACAAACCATGCGTATCCTTGGATTAAGTACGTCTCTTGCAAATTCATCTTCTTCATGCCAGTGTGGACAGCGGAGGTGAATGGTGCCGATTTGATCGATTCGATTGGCTTCTCAACGTTGTTTCGAACAAAAACTGGTACGCTCTGGATTTTGTTGAACAGGCTACAATGTGTGAATGAAAAATGGACTCAAATTATTGCTCCGAATGCATAAAAGTTCAGAGAAAAAATCACAACACCTTAGTTATTTACGGATTTTTAATGAACACTGTGAATCTCTCCTTATTTTTCAGTGTTATTTAATTTAATTTTATTTCATCTTCAAGAACATACGTATTCAAATGTATTTGGCGTCAAATGTCACAATCCACAAACAGTGCATGTGTTTGTTGTGAATGATTGAAACGCTTGATTCGAATTGTGTTCCGTGTAAGTAGTTTCATGTAGTCGGAACAATAGCAGAATGGTTGTCAGTAAACACAAACTGAGTGTGCGACACACTCAATCGATGTCTCCGACTCGGTGATAACGGAACATCGTGTGCGGCACGCAGCAGCTATTGTCAGAAGATAAAACACTGCCAAAAAATACGGCTAAAATTTGCGTGAGAAACTATCTGAACGGACGGCGCGTTTTTTATTCTTTGCAATTTTTCAGAGAGAGAGAGAGAGAGAGAGAGAGAGAGAGAGAGAGAGAGAGAGAGAGAGAGAGAGAGAGAGAGAGAGAGAAAGAGAGGGAGAGAACAAGGATCCAAGATCTCGAATATTCGAATCGAAATTTGCATTTGGTTTTGAGTTACATTCAAGCTTATGAACAACGTTTATTTTTTCAAGAAATTTTTTCTTTTGCAAACAATGAAACGTTTTATTAATGACATTCCTTTTCGTTTCGCCTTTCTTCTACTTCTTCTGTTTCGTTCCGTTGTTTGTGTTTACACACACAGCAACAGACACAGTGAAGTCAACGGGGTTCAGCCTCTGTTGAGCATGCTCGTGTTTATATTTGCCGTCGCAGTAGCACCAGACAAATGTAAACAAACGAAACATAATCGTCCAGTTATTTATGTAATGAAATTTATGGGCGTTCATACGAAAACGCGATCAACACAAATATTTTTATAAGTCAATTCTGAGAATGCATTCACTTATGAATCATGATTACTGTTTCAGGTTTCAAGCACTCATTGTTTCGATATAAAGGAGTTTTGTTCTCTTCAAGTGGGATGATTTTTTTTACATCAATCATTGAATACGATGTGAACAAAAACCTTGATAAAATAGTCTTTTGTCGACATTTTGGCGGGAATTTTTTCAATAAATATCCATGACAACTAACCTGGCTTCTTCGATTTGTGCCAATGGTAAGCTTTGCGTGATAGACGATGCCGTTGACGGCGTTGGTTGTGTTGATTGCTTCGATTGAACCGACGGTTTTGATTGCATCGACGATGTTGACTGCGTGGATTCTGAATTTTTTTTTGATTTTACTTCCATCTTTTGCAATGATTGCGAATCGAGGGATGAGGCGGTTTCAGGTGTATTTGCCAAAGCCTGAACCCTCTGAATTGTTGACATCAACTGCATACGTGAGACTTTTCGCAATAATTTGTTTTGGTCAATTTCTTTTGGCGCAGTTTTCTCCTCCTTCGGAGACGTTTTGATATCTTTTGACGACGAATTGTCGGTTTTCTGCGATGATCCACCCGTTTTTGGAGTAGAACTGGCGGAATTTGAGTAGAAGCTGGATGGGCTTGATATTGAAATGCTTTTACTGTTGCAATTGTCGATGCAATTAATGTGGCCATTGTTGTCGAGCCAGCGTTTGATTTTTATTGTGTCGCTTGCGGCAATGTCTATGATTTGGAAGTGAAGATCCATTTTTATTCAACTGAATGTATAATTTTACCGAGTAGTAGACAAAGCGCCCCGGACAGATAGCATGCTTCTGTGTTTTCTATTAAATTAGAGTATGCTCCGGGGCGTTATGACCGCCACACATTTTACCCAGTCAAAACTAAGCAAATAAGAATCTAAACTCACCGCGCTTAAATTTTTGCTCTATCACGTCAATGGCATTTTTATAAGCCGTGATCAATATGTTGGCGAATGATTTTTTTCCATCATTATTTTGCCGTTGCAGTGTTAAGTGTCCAAACACGTGGTCGTTGATATCAAATTTCTGTTCAAAGTGAAGCGTAACTTTTGAGTATAACTTCATTTGTTCCATAGCATCGATTACATTTGGGCCCCATTTTGTGTCCTCCAAAACGCGCACTTCTTTCTGCGTCTATAGTAGTTTCCATGGGAATATTTAGTTTTTTCAATTTTATTTCAAAACTTCAAATGGTTAAAATGGTTGTTAAATCTTACATTGACTTTCAATGAAGCCGGCGCGATATTACATATACCGCCTTGTAAAATATTCGATGGTGTTTCATAGCACTGTTTCTTGAGTTCGACACTCAAAAGAACAACTTTGTCAAGGGTTGTTTTCACCGGAATGCCATAATCGGTTGCCCAGATAATTATCTCGTCCTCTACTGCCGGCTCACCGCCGCTCACATCAACTTCACCGCGAATCCACTTCTTTTCTGACACCAAAAATACTCCCACAATCGTTTCGAGACGATATTTCCCATTGCTTCGTTCGGCATATACATCGAAACCATTTTCGACTACAAATTGTTCAATCGCGCTTTCGATCGCCGCAATTTTTTCATCTGCATCTGGATCCGGCACGTATTTGAACCAAAACAAGTGCGCATTTATGATATGCGTAATTTTAATTTGATTTGAGCTAAAAGAACTCATTTTTAATTTCCCTTGATGTTCACTTCCTATTCTACAATTTTAAATGTAAAAAAAATATCAAAAACCGAATGCTAAATAAGACGAAGCAACCGTTCGATGCTGAAATAACAACCGAACTGATTGAATGTGGTGCATCGAAATGTCAAAATACAAAATGAGAACATGTGTGTATGTGTGTGTGTGTTTGTGTGTCAAATAGAGAGAGAGTACTCTGTTCGAAAATAAGAGAGCTCTCGCGAACTGTCAAAGTCTCCATCTTTGTTTTGACGTTTATCAATTGCTTTATTTTTATTCATCTTTTTTTTCTTCTTTCTGATGAAAAAATTCATGGTCGCTGAGAAAAATATCAAAAACACATTAATTGAAACGGTGGTTGCTAGCCAAATGGTTTTTGTAAATGATTTCGAGTGATTGTTGTGCGAAACGGAATTGAATTGTGAAAATCTCCGCGATAAAAAAGTGAGAATAAATCAAAAATTATGGGGAATGCAGGTAGCAGTGGTATTCCACGAGAACGTCATAAGTCGAGTTCAAGTGATATGCCCAGTTCGCCTGTGTTGAAAGACGGCCAGGCATTTGTGTTCGACAAGAAATCCGATAAAGCACTCCATTATCAGGGCTCATCGCACGAAGAAGAAGAACCATATTATACAAAACCAGTTGTTACAACAACCGTTGAACCAATTGTAACAACATCGACAACAACTAGCTCGGCCGTAACTGAACCAATACCCATTGTTACGGATAAAACGGATGTGGATCCATCGTCAAAAGTCCTGCCAACGGTATTCAAATGGGACGGAGGCGGCAAAGAAGTGTTCATTAGTGGGACATTTTCCGATTGGAAGCCACTTCCAATGGTCAAGAGTCATGGTGATTTTGTGACAATCGTTGATTTGCCCGAGGGTGAACATCAGTACAAATTCTGTGTGGACGGCGAATGGAGACATGATCAGAAATTGGTAAGTGACACTTACTTGGAAAAAATATAGAAAAATAGTTGAAATATTCTTGAAAAGCGCTGCAAAAAGCCAAAACCAGAAGTCGAACATCGAAAGAAAAAAAAATTCTTTCAAAAGAGTTTCTTCAAATCCATCCTATAATAGAATGTTTTAATGATGAAATATTTCTTTGTCTTTACAGAAAAATGTCGACAATGACGTAGGAAGTAAGAACAACTTGGTGTCGGTGAGACAATCGGACTTTGAAGTGTTTCAAGCTCTGGCAAAGGACAGTGAAGATTGTGTGAATAGTGCGCAAAAGGAATGGGGTCAAGATATTCCCGTTGATAAACCGTGGGGTGCTGGTCCACCGGTTCTGCCGCCGCATTTACTTCAAGTCATTTTGAACAAAGATACACCACTTTCGGTTTGTTTCATTCGCACATCTTACACTCAAAACGACATCATTGAATTAATTCAGAAGATTCAATTTTTTTTTTTGAATATTTCAAATTGAAAATGTTGACATTTTCAATCAATTTAATGTCCCAGAATATTTTTCCTTCATGAAAATAATGCTTCAAATTCTAAAACTGTTCTCTCTATTTTTGTTTTCCAGTGTGAACCAACGCTGTTGCCGGAACCAAATCACGTGATGTTGAATCATTTGTATGCGTTGTCAATTAAGGATGGCGTTATGGTGCTTAGTGCCACTCACCGATATCGAAAGAAATACGTCACTACTTTACTCTATAAACCAATCTAAGTGCCGCATCAAATCAATCTCTAGAGAAACACACTATACACACACGATGAAAAAAAAACCGAAATGTTTATCAAATTGTATTTATATTTTGTTTGTTTGCACCCAATTTTGTTGTTAAGAATTTTATGAACTTGTCCCAAACACGCTATGCTTTAGCTTTTGGATTACTTTGTAAATTATATTTCACATGCAGTATTCCTGTGCACCAGTTTTGTCGCTACACGTTTCAAATGACAAATAAATATGTATATCAAAACAAAGAGAGAATTTACGTTGGGACAAAACTGTGCACTCAAATACTGATGTAATTACAAGCAAACGTAATAAAGTTTTACTGGTAATTTTAGCGAATACAAAACTGCGTACTGCTTTATTTCATAGACACACTAAAACTGCTGCGCATTTTCTACAGCATAAAAATCATCGGTTGCAATTTTCGATTCGTTCTGTTCGATTCTTTCTTTCAGTCTTTCCTTGATTCGGTAATATCGAATTGGCGCTTCAAATGTGTTGGGAGTAAAAGAGACAAGTGGATTTGGCCGGTGCAAAAATCAACTTCATGCAACACGAACACCATGCGCTATTGCATTGAGCATCATCAGCTCGGTCGCGAATTCGTTACAGAGAATACCATTATATGCAAAAAACATCATAGAATATGTACGCAGAGGTGAGCTGCACAAACCAAAGCAAAAAGAAACAACACAATTCGGTGTGCTGTTTGTGATTCGCCGCTCGCTTGTGTCGTGGCACTTTAAACCGAGTTTTAAATGTGACAAAGGCAACAACAACAACAACAACAACAATGAATAATTTTGTTACTTTTTCTCTTTAATATCAAAAAAAATTCTATGACAACAATTGAATCGCTTCCATTTCTAAGCTAAAATCAGAGTATACAATACTTCTTACTTATTTTTTTTTCCTTCAAAATGGAATTGAATATGGCAATGATCGACTGGCAAAAATATAAAACATGGGGAAATCTCCCGTTTATTCAGCTGTTAAAATTTCGTTTTTTTTTATTGACAAACAAATCAAACATAGGATAAACGAGATAAATTCCGATCAAAATGATTTTGTAGCTAAAATCTCTTGATAGTATTTCAACGAATCAAGATATTAGAAAAAGTAATGCGTTTCACAAAAATAGAAAACATGCATAAACGACATATTGAAATACTAAAAGAGCTAAAAATTGGAAATTGTTCTTATACAAAATAAGCAACAAAGGAATACTTCAAAACTTAAGAATGAATTTGTCAGTCTGTATTCAAATTAGGCTAAATGAGGTAATTCAATTATCTATTACGGTGAATTTAACGAATGTTCGGACGGAACAGACTGTTTGTTCCCAATTTAGTGGCCGATTTCTCTTTTTTCGCTTGATGCACGTCTGGTGCAAAGCAATTCCATAATCTCAGTGTTTCATCAGCGGCAGCGCTCATTACAGTACTTCCATCCGGAGACATGGCCATTTGTAGCACACGAGCTGTGTGTCCCGTCAATTCACATTGCTTCTGCATGGATGGATATTTCCAAATTGTCAATTGGTTGTTGGCGTATCCGTGGGCTGAAATGATCTCTTTGTACCTAATGGAATCGAATAGAGCAGAAAAAAAGTCGTTTATAAAAAAAAACAAAATGAAAATCTTAAGCTTAAACATAAGCGAAAAATGAAACAAAGCTACTCACGTTTTCGACCACAGTAACGAGCAAACTTGTGATTTGGAATCGATCGAATCAATGAGCGTGCCATTGTTTACATTCCAGAATTTGATACAGCGATCGGCTGTACCACCCCCGGTGGCCAAAACGTTTGGCTGCCATGGGCACCATGCCAGGGCTCGAACGGCTGCATGATGCTGATTGAATGTATGAAGTGGTTCGGTTACACCATTCGATGTATTATCACTTGCATTGGAAGTTACCGATGGCCAAATATTCACTAAATTATCATTGCCGCCACTAGCTAAATATTTGAAATCTGTTGACCACTTTAGGCCACACACTTCCTGTGTATGTCCGGTTAGCGTTGTTACTTTGTGATCACGTTGTCGCACATCGTGGTGAATAATCGATCCATCACGACTCCCTGAACTGATGATAAACGAATTCCATGCCAGCGATCCTACTCGTGCTGAGTGGCCATCCATTACGCGTAATCTGTATGAAGTAGAACGAAAACGAAACGTTCAACTAACTTGTTCTCTATTCATGCATTCATTGGCATTCGTTGAGCTTTTTACATAATTATTTCTATTGTGTATTGATCTTAACGTAAAAGGTTCTTACGTTGTGTCATTGCAATCGAATTATGTAAAAAGTGGAATTTCATATTTCAAAGAAGAATGAAAAAAATACGATTTTCCATACCGTTTCTTCGCTTCGGCATCCCATAATTCGACAGTGCCGTCCGATGATCCAATGGCTAAGACATTTCCTTCTTGAATCCAAGCCAACGAACAAGCGTGATCACCATTTTCGTACTCTCTCAACTGTTCAATGTTTCCAGTGCCAGCATTCCACAGGTAAATTATCTTTCCTAATGCAACAGTCACAATGTTTGATGTACTCCAGTCCATTAAATTCAAGTCTGTGTTGGGAAAGAAATTACTGATTAATTTGATGAAAGATTGATTTGGTGTAGTCTGGTGGGTTCTTTCGAATGAAAAAATTTGCAAATTTCACTCAAAAATGCCTAACAATACACAACATATGATAAAGTGATTGTATTTAAATAAAATTACTTCATTACTAGACTTTGAACAATAAATAGGAGGTGTAATTTACGAAGTGAGTTCCATTTGTTGCAAACACATCTGCGTGAACACTAGCACACCATGACTTGTATTTGACAGTGTAGTTGTTACACCAACAACACTACGAACGCATCACATGAAATGTGCTAAAGTTTCCGTATGCCTTTTTAAAACGTCAATTTTCTGAACCGATGATTAAAATGACAGCATAGAACTGTACTTACAGTAATCGTTAATGATGTCAGGAGCGTCCAAAATGCGTTCTGGACTTGTCGGAATATAACGAGAACCACTTTTCGTCGACATTGGCGTTTTGATGGAGTAGACAACACGCAATGGGTTTTGGTGTGACTCGGGCGCTGGCGGCGCCTTTTCTTGATACGAAAAGATGCGTCGTGTGTTCACATCGCCCAGTTGCATGGCTTCGGATAGAATTTTCTGTCGGTCATTTTCGCGGTTGTTTTCTTCATTTTCGTCGATATTTTGTTGCATTTTCAGCTAAACACACGAAGAAGAAAAAAATATGTCAAAACCATATTTATTTGACATATTCATCTATTCACATTTGGCATAGGCGAGCTTAACACAAAAGTGTTTGACATTTCAACATTTTTGAAATTCAAAAGAAAACAACAAAAATCTCACCTTATAATGTCCTAAATCAAAGTTAGATGATGCTCGATTCGGAATGAATCGATCTCCGCCGGCACCGCATGGTGTCTTTGAGCCGCCCGACGAGCTGCCTTTGTTCGGTGTTGGTGTTTTTCTCCCTATTTCAATGAACAGAAAATGGTTCGGTCACATTTCCACTGAAATTCACAGCAAAAACAAAATCAAATTCAAAATGCGTACCTGGTGATTTGCCTTTAAAATTGACCGAACTATTTTTCTGTGGTGTTTTATTGGATGTCGGTGCTGCTGTAGTCGATGTACTCAATATGGAATTGTATGAAATGGATATTTTTGATGTATTCGCACTGGCATTCAAATTGGCTGACGATCCATTTAATTTCTTCTGCCAACGCGGCATGGGTCCCTTACTTATGTCGCCTTCCATAATGAGCGCGCTTTTTATTTCATTCATATAAGCAAACTGTGACATTTTTTTAGGCAAATAAAAAAACAACTTATTTTCGATCCCGTTGTAAGTACTTTTTGTGTGTGTCTTGAGTTTTAAAAATGGAGTTTATGTAAAATCTGCACAGTAATTCACTTTTGATGAATGTGTCTTGATGATGGTGTTTTTCTTGATGAGGTTTTTTTCAAGTGTATTTAATCGTCTTATGAATATAATACTTTTTATCGTTTTTGTTGATTTAGTTCTGGTATCTTTTTTTTTTGTCTCGATGCAAACAATTGAAAAAAAATTGCGAACAAAATAGTTTGCAGCAGCGTTGTAGTCGAAAGACGAAATACGTTAATGCGCCAACTTCAATACACATATATTTCGAAAATTCAAATGCCTCACTCGTCTATGTACACACATTTGACGCACACCAATAAGGTGTTCTTTGTTAACCGACCTCACACCACCAGCACACTAACATTTCAGCTGATTGTCAGTGGATGCGTTCGATGACATCGCAACGGAAATTCGAAGAGAAAGCAAGAGAAAGGACTGAATGGCTTTTATTTTAATATTACAATTTTTTTTGCATTTCGTTTTCTTTTGAATTTTAACCGAAAAGAAATTTTCCACACAAATTATAATTTTTCGACGTTTCAACATCTTTTTAGCGATTGAAAAAAACTCAATAACAAAAAAATCATATAAATTCGTCGTTGGAACAATTCTGTCTCTCTCTCTCTCTCTCTCTCTCTCTCTCTCCTAATGTGTCGTTTGCATCGAACCACACCAATCCATTGAAATGTCAATCAACAGCTTTCTTTAATCTGTCAAAGCCCGTACATTTAATTTTATTATACTCGATTCAATGAATCGCATGAATTTTTGTGTTTGTTATGATCTCAGTCTAATCAACGAATTCAGCGGTAATTTCATGTAAAATTGAATTAAATTGATTTGACAATTAGATTTCTTAGTTTAATTTAATGCATACATCAACTTAGTTGTGTTCTAATAATAGGATTTGATTGAAGCATAGTGTTAGTTAGCAAAATGTGCAAATGATAATGTGACAGAAACGTACAATTTATCTTAATAGTTGACCTCGTACGCAACAGTATTATGTCCTCGAATGTAAGATTATCAGAGAAAAATTCGGGCAGCGAAAGGTGAGTGAGAATGTTGCTGTTGTTGTTTTGTTATTGCTCTCTTCTCTCTCTCTCTCTCTTGCGTTGAATTAATTGAACAACAACATTCGTTTTGCATTTGAGATACATTTGTTTGTGATTGATGTTTGATATGTGACGACGTGTCGGTTTTTTGCTCTAATATTTTTACATTCAAACAACAACAACGATTACATATCCGAATTTTAATGTTGAAAAAAATTTACATAAATACTTAAAGCAAACATTTTTGGTTCTCTTGTTGATATGAAATTCCCGTTCAAGGCTCTGTATGGTTTTATCAGCGCATCAACTGACAACTAGTAATAGCACAAATACCCGTTTGTTCAATTTCGTTATAGTGTTATGCCGAGAAAAACGGTGCCAAAAAACAGCATTGACATTCGAACTAATAAGGAGTATTTAGGCGGTAAAAGTGATGAATCAACGTCGTCTAAGCAAAAGAAAGTTAAAAGCAACAGTACCAAAAGCAAAGTAAAGTTTACTTATGGCCGTGACAAAGTAATTCTAAACATAAATTTGCATTCAACAATCATTGTTTATCAATATGTGTTTTTAGAATGCTTCCACAAGTTCGAGCGGTGCCGAGCTACAAGTACCAAAAGTGAGCAGCAGCAGTAGCAGCTGTTGTGACTTGCCGCTACAGTCTTATGCCGTAGAAAATTCGAAATCCGGCTCAAAAATCTCAGAACGAGCTAAACGAAAATCCTGGTACAATGTCATCTATCCGTCATACAAATCGCGGGCGGAGAATTTTAAAAAATATTTCAAAGAAGTTCCCGAAGATGAACGATTGGTTGTTGGTATGTTTTGTTTTGTTTTGTTTTTTTTTTGCTTGCAATAAACGCATTTTCATAGGTAAAATGTTTTTGTTTATTCATTCATTCTCCAGATTATTCATGCGCTTTACAGCGTGAAATTTTGGTACATGGTCGAATGTACGTTACACAGCATTATATGTGTTTTCATGCGGTTAGTCATATCCACTATATTATCTATCACAAAACTGAAATATAATAATTTTCATTATCTAAAACAAACTAGAATATTTTCGGTTGGGAGACATTCTTGTGTTTGAAATGGGAGAATGTAACAGCTATCACGAAGGAAAAGACGGCGTTGGTCATTCCAAATGCCATTCTCATTTCAACCGAAACGGAAAAGTATTTCATCACATCGTTTGCTGCCCGTGATAAAACCTACTTGATGCTATTTCGAATTTGGCAAAATGCTTTGATGGACAAACCAATGCCACCGCAAGAGATATGGCAGTGTGTTCATAACGCTTACGGTGAACAATTGGGTTTAACGAGTGATGATGAGGACGATTACATCGATCCGAAGAAAAATCCACCGATAAAAGATGCGGAACCAATAATCGAAAAACCGCCTGCAAAGACAGATATGGATCAATCGTCCGAAAAAAATTCGAGTGTAAAAATGAGAGTGGCAGAGACACATGGTTCTGGTGATTCATCCACACTACGCCCAAATCAATCGAAATTGAAAATGCGAAAGGAGGAGAACGAATGTCCAACTGACGCGTCCAATTCAACAGATTCCGAGGAAGAAAACTGTGTTCCGTTTGAATGCACCGCAGAGTGTTCATCTGATCACGAAGGACGCCAATTAGTACACACAATTCTTCCAATCAACGTGGATAGCCTATTGACGATGCTATTCTCAAAATCGAAATTCTTTGCCGAATTTCATAGTATGCGCAAAACAACAAACATGGTCTACAGAGACTGGGTCGACAATGGCGATGGCACTAAAACTAGAATCATCAATTTAACCGTCGCTGTAACACAACCGGTCGGCCCAAAAACATCCAATGTAAGGCGATTTCATGTTTTTTTTTAGTTCTGTTCAAATGTTGATCAAATAGTATTGCGACTTTTCGAACTTCCATCCAATTTTTAATTGAAAATATTTTCGATTGTTCAACGCATTTTTTTCATTTGATTTTTAACTCATTAGATTACCGAAGTACAAGTGATGCGCAACTGCAGTGTGCCCGGTCAATTGTATTCTATTGATATTGTATCAACCAATGCCGGAATTCCATATGCTGATAGTTTCAATATTGGCACACATTATTGTCTGTTGAGGTAAGATGTTTTAAGATTTTTTCTGAACTCGAACACCCAAATCAAAGACAAACATTTTAAGTAGTAAATTTCCTTTTGATTTCCGTTATATTCTTCCAGAACTGTTGATGATCACACAATGCTCTCTGTATACGTGCAAATAAACTATACGAAATCGGTTTGGGGCGTGATTAAGGGTTTTATTGAGAAAAATGTTTGGTGTGGTTTGGAAAATTTCTACAAAGACTTGGTCAAAGCGCTACAAAGTGAATATTGCATTCCTCCAGCCAAATCGAAAAGCCGACGAACGAAGCGTGGTGAGTTATTGATTGTAATAAAACTAGTTCTAATTATAGTATCGTACAGCATCTGGTATTTTACGACTTTTCAAAGAATTATCACAACATTTTTCGGTAGCTGCTATTAAAATTACAATTTTAATGGCAATCAATAGTATTTATTCATTTGTATGTATTAAAAACGGCAGACACTGTGTCGTTACGCTTCATTACGCGAAGAAGATAGTGATGTGCGTATTGGTGTGAATAATCTTGATTCATGTTGACACTACTTGTTGTACAACCGTTGATTTTGCGGTCTTTTTTGCTTTTTTTGTTGCCCTAAGCACCGATGATTGATACCGAATGAATTCTAACACATTCAATTCAATTTTCAGCTTTATCACAAAAGTTGTCTGTGGACGAAGATGCAAGTAAACGATCGTCGCTAAAATCAACAACAAAAACAGCTCCAGCACAATCAACAACTCCAGCACAATCAACAGCTCCTCAACCATCGTCCGATACAACCAAATCGAACACGATGAGCACGCAATGTACGACTGAAACGTTTCCAGACCAAACAAATAATCGCAGCATTTACACGTTGGACATGTTTTCCATATTTTTAGTGATATTGATTGTCACACTGGTTTTACTGAATCTGTATCTCCTCATCGAATTATATGTGCTAAAACATCAACAGAACTATGGCATTCACATCGATCAAGATCTACTGGACAAATTGGCAGCCACTGAGTGAGTTTTGATTTTATTTCCTCCGGTTTTTCTTATATTTTGTTAGAATTTTTTTTTCCTAAATGATCTTTTGTGCATGGTGAACACTAATTTTTGTTCCATTTTTGTCGAAAAAAAAAATTGATTTTCATCTCATTTTTGTGTAAAAACATCAAATAATTAAGATAAAACTTGTCAATTTCCAGTGATCCGAATGAGATGAAGGAGAGATTCCTGAGTATGATGAATGAACAAGAAGCCGAACATGGGGTTGAGCTAGAGAAATGGCAGGGTTTTATTAAAATGACCATGGATTTATTGCAGAATGTTAAAGAAGAGTATGCTAAATTAGACTTAGATACGAATAATGCTGAAAAAAATATCAAGGATGAATTTTAGAACCGTTTCCCTCGCATTTAAGCGTGTAGCGTAATTCATTGAAAGATGAAAAAAAGTCGTACAAGTTTGCGAGAGAGAGAGAGAAATCACCACGATGCAATTCCATTAAAATAATTGAATGATATTAAAACTAGGGGTGAGACACGAATTCTATTAGAGTCTAGTTACATTCAATTTTATATATTTTTGGCTTTATGTCCTCTAATTTTTCTAGTTTTGCTGCAAAAGTGCTAATATTGTGCTATTATTTCTAGTAAAATCGCTTGCAGAGCGTATTACACTGTGAATACAACGCTTATGGAAGACCTATGGGGACTATTTTGTAAACAATAAACAATACGTCCATAAGCGTTAACATTGGCAAAACAAACTCTCTAATTTCTCCTATTGCTCCATTATCGTTGAATAATGTTCTAATTTTACTCATTTAAGTTTCATGTCTCCCCCCTAGTATTAAAACCATATTAATTTCCATGTGATTTGTAGTGTTATACATTGGAGTGGCTGTTGCCCAAGTGGCTGTTGCCCAAGTGTGAAATGATCAATTGAATAAAATGAATGAATATGCATTTAATGGCAATACGTTTTAAATAGTTGCGTTTTTTTTACAATAAAAGTTCAAGTTTTAATTAATTGAAGAGAAATTCAGAATCGGTTTTCTTCAACACTGCCACTTTAGTTGAAAAAAGTTAAAAATTACGTTGATAACAAATTGAAATGAAAAAAACCACATTATCTTCATGTTTAAATAGCAATTGTATTTGTAAACGTTTGAGTAATAATAAAACATATGGTTAAATGAGCGTAACATACGGGTAAATCAGTAAATAAATGGGTTCTCTTAAATCTACAGGAGCGAGGAAAAAATCAATATATATCTATATGTAAAATGATGATGCTTAAAACCAGTGCAGTCAGTTTAATTCTGATCAAATCAACAATTGTAAGTTTAAACAAACAAACAAAACGTAGCTGCCAAAATGATTTAGGAAGAAGTTTCTATGGCGTGACAATATTATTCGGTTCATTTTTCATTTTCTCCGTAATCTCCTCGAATCGTGTCATATAATCGACGCTAGTTTCGCTTATCGTTGACATATTACTGCTCTCCAGCTGTAAAAATGATTAAATTTTACATTTAAAAATCCAATTTATTTAACTACAATGTTACGAGAAATTTAAGAACTTATACTGACACATCGAGGTGAACGAGATCGTCTGCTATTGGCCGCATCACAATTTGACTCCAAATGTCCAAGGAAACTACTCAACGAGAAGTCGTTTATGTGCTCATCCAACCACTTTGAATCAGTTGGTACGGGTGATTCACGAAGAATCCTCATCGGGCTTATTGCTGGCTGACTGTCAATACCATCTGAATAAACTGCAAAAAAAAACATGTTTTTTATCCACCATTCAAATATGAATGAAGCCGAAGAATGAAAACTCACATTCATCCACTGAATGATTGATTGGAATCGGAGATGGTAGTGATATTTCCATGAGACTTTGAATGCCTGGATCTTCGTTAAGCCTTTGTCTAATGCGATTATTCTCTTCCTCGTCACTATCCATTTGATCGGCGTCAGATGCAGAATATTCCGGTTCATTGTCACCCGAATCGATCATGTCACACGATTCGATTCCACTATCACATTTCTGATGTTCGCTGGCGCTTGAATTATCCTCGTTATTTTGTGTTGAACTATTGCTCGAGCTTTTATCAATTGAGCTTGATCGCAAATTTGGATTGTCATCTTCCGATAAATGATTCATACGGCTCAGGTTTTCTTCCGTTAGGATCGATTTATATTCCACTGACGATGTGGAGGAAGAGGCGGATGATGATGGTTTGATCATCGAATTTTCAATCGGATAGTTGATATCAGGTGCAGCGTATACTCCATACGGTTGAGTGATCCCTGGCTGTAACGGAAGAATACGCTGAACAACCACCTGCTTTTGTACGCGCGTATTTCGTCCTTTCACCCAACGATTCTGCTTGTTTCGCGGTGCCTATGAATTAGAAGAGATTTCAATAAGAACCATGATAAACACCACTTGTTTCCTTCGAAAGTAATATCCGTGAAAAAGTCAGAACGGCCAATCGAATTTCACTCACATTCATATTCAACCGATATGGCTCAAAATGAGCATGGCTCGTACGCGTTGGCAAAACTGGCTGTCGAAACAGGGCGCTGTCATTATGCGACGCTGGATAGGTTTTGTTCGAAATAAAGCTTCTGGGAAGAACCTCATCTTTCTGCTGATCGAGCGAATGAAAACAAAACAGAGTCTTGTTAGAATTTTGATATTTCAAAAAAAAAATTGAAATCAATAAAAAAAAACGAAAATAATTTCACCTTCATTTTGTTCACTCCACGATCGCAATAATGTCCGCATGCGCAGCTCGTCTTCCGTTTCGTTTTCTCCATCAGACTGGCCAACATCAGTAACTGTTTCAATTTATTACTCAATGAATTCTTCGGTTTGGCCCCAACGTGAAATGGTTTTGTATCGACGGCATCATCATTGTTTGGGGCGCTCAAAGTGCCAATCATCACATTTTCAGATTTGATATCGTCTTCGGACACCTCCTTTCCATCGAATGTTGTTGCATCCGGTTTTTGTGCCATTTTCGTTAATTCAGTCTTGATTTCATTTTGTTGAGCCGGTGATATCCACTTGTACTCCAATCGAACCTTCGAATCTTGTCCAAACATGATATATAAATCTCCGATCGTAATATCACCAACGTTAAAAATGGTCCATCCCTTGCGAATTTTCTGTATAACCTCTTCATTGATAAGTGGTCGAAATGATTCTCGATTGGTTGTTCTCAAATCCCGCTTCTTATTCATTGCCAAATGCGATTTGTTTTCTGTTTTCTTAGTTGTTTTGTTGATGTTCCGTTGATCAGGTGGTTCTTTTTTGATATCAACTGCCGAGTTCAAATCGTCCGGTGGTTCAAATTTAAATTTGGCACCATTCCACAAATTGATTTCAGTTTCACATTCATCGGCCGATGACGATTCGGGAATGTGACAGTTCGCGTCTTCGATCTCAAACATGGCATTCTCATAGGTGGGCGATGAAAATTCGCGTTCATCAACCAATTCTTCGCTAGTTGACATTCCATCTTGAGATGTGGATGACATTGCCTTTTTCATAACTTCATGCTCGAATTTCTCACCATCTGTGGCTTTGGTTCGTTTCGTATCGGGACTTTTTTTCTCCGAGCCACTATCGTGGCGCTGACGCTTTGTATTTGATTTGATTGTTTCTTTGACATTTGTTATGTGCTCGGCACAAAGACTCTCACCACGAACCGATGCATTAATGCGTTCCTCATAGGAATTCAAACAAATGCTATAGCTATTCAAAAAGTCGGTCAGATTAACATATGGACGATGGATTGTCGCATCAAGTGGTGGTGCTATACACAATACTGGCTCCGAGTATGGGGAATAATTTGACTGTAAATTTCCGTGCGATGATTCGCCATTTGTACTATTTTCTAAAGCATTCGAACAGGTTGAAGTCTGCGGTGCTGCTCCACTTGATACACTTGTAGAACTAGACATCTGTGTGACGGTCTGGTTCAACTTTGGCGATGAGCCGCTCATTGTTTGGTCCCACTGCAATCATAGAGAAAAGATTTATTATTGATTCAGGAATTCAATGGGTTTTATATAGGTCCGTTTTGAATAACATTTCAAAACGATCTGAATTTGTTCAAAAACCTTCTCCATTTCAATCTGATGTATCGAAAAAATTTCATTGTTTCGAAATAACAATTGACCATTTCATTACCATTTTTGCCTCTCGACTCTTCCACTTTTGTTGCAATGTCTTGAGCAGGCTTATTAATCTCTTTTGTAATGGCAACGACGTTTTAACTCGTGGATTTTGTGCAATCGATTGCACGGTATACCATGACTCATTGTCTGATGGCCGTAAATCGACGTCCACTTTTGCCGGTAATTTTATATCCTCTTGCCATTCTGCATTTGAAAATTACAAAAAAAAAACAATTAAAACCGAGAAAATGATTATTTTGGAAAAAACAATTCTTTGAACTTGCAACGATTCGAAAAGATTAGATAACGTTTGAACGAATTTTAGTCATAACCTATGAATGGCCAATTCATGAAAAATGAATACGAAGAATGAAAATAAAATTGGGAATGATCGAACCACAACTCACTTTCAACTTGATTGATCTTGCGCAATGCCGGACATGACGGTGTTTTAATCCTGCAATTTTTCCCTTTGACACGCCAAGTCACTGATCCGCGATAGACTAGCTCACGCAATTTCATATAAAACTTTTGATTATCAACGGGTATTTTCTTTCTCATTTCACCATAATTGATGATTGCGTATAATTCTTGCACTTTTTTGGCCACATCTGAAACGAGAATGCACAACAAATAAACAAAGATTCAGTCGTGTCACTTGAAATGTTCAAATTCAAAAGAGGAAAATTGAAACTAAGATTGATTGAATAAAATCATCTTAAAATTGAATCATCTCCTCGAACTCACCTTCAGAAAAGCGTAAATATTTCGAAATTTTGGTAAATGTTTGATAATACAACAATCTCACGTGTTCCTTAGCTTTATACGTTGGATCCGTGGCATTTTTTCGTTTCTGTTTGCCATTGATGTAATTGGCAATTGATTCAAAATCTTTGCCATACTCATTGATGGCATCAAAAAATAGATTCCGTTCAATGTTATTCCAAATGGTTTTCGAGGGTCGATGTTGGTTTGGCGTTTTCTGTGCATTACGATGATGTTCGTCTTTATCGGCAGGCGGTGGTGTTGTCGGTCGTATCGAGTCCATTTTCATTTTCTGAATGACGCGAGCACTGGTTCGAACCGCCGGACTACTCATCGATGTTAGCGAACCAAGTAACTGCTCCTCTGATGTCTAATGTAAACACTCTTAATTTTAAAAAAAATTCACAATTCACAGCATTTCACAAATTTACTTACCTCCAATTTGAGTTTTTCATCAAACGGTGGTTTCGCCCTTTGGGCGGTGTCATTAATTTTCGTTTCATTTCTCTCAATCGAATTTGATATGTCAGTATCAGAAGACACAATTGGCTTTTTTATCTCTTTTGCATCAGTCGTGGGCGCATCGTCTTTATGCGACACCTCTGCGCAAAGCGATAAATCTGCACTGGATGCATTATTATCGCTTGTCGTCGTCACTTTGCCTGGTGTCATCTCACTGCAAGCGAAGAAAAAAAAATCAAAACAAACCAAAGATAAACAACTTCTTCATTCACCAAATTTCATCTCTAACAACATATTTCTTGTCATCACTTCAAGCACTTGTCACATTTCGCTGCGTTTGACAAATTAAAATGAAGTGTTAGCACCCCCATTTGGCATCTTTGCCAACCAATTAGGATAGTGTGGATTTTGAGTGAAAAGTGCATCTCATTTTAATTGCAATTAGCAGAAATAAATATGGCTGCTCGCGAAACCAACAGAACAATCGCAATTTTCATTCTTGTATTGCGCGCAACAATTTATCGCCACAATTTTTACCATTTGTTTCGTTTGACATGTAGGAAAAATGGAAAAATTGGAAAAAATTGCCACATAAAACCGGAAAATTATTCTTTCAATATGGAAAATTATTTTTTTTTTGTTCAACAAAATCAAAACAATTTTTTTCACTGTTGCCATTTTTCAATGGAACTTGCTGCTATTGCGTTTTCAGGTCAAAGTTTTGTTGGCTATTTTTACACCAATCGCATGGAAATTCCAAGCTTGAATTGTGGAATTTTGTGTAGACAACGATACAAATCACATTTATTATGATTATTTCAGTCAATAACTGTCCCAAAGATAATAAATGATTCAATTGTTTCTCATTCTATTTTCGTCGAATTAAAATGGCGATTGCTTTGTTTTGTCATCTACGTTCATTTCACAAACAGTAGTAGTGGCTCGGATTCACTTACAAATTAAAAAAAAGGAGCGAAATAAATTCGTCGTGCTTAGTTTTTTGTTCAAACGTTTGGCCACATTTCGATTGGGTCAAATGCAAAAACCAAAAATTAATCCAAAACGATGCGAAACAAATTCACAAAATTTAACGACAAAAACACTAAAAGCAAATAAAAAGAAGAAGTCTTAAAATTCATAAACACACTCGAAATGTATCGTATTCGCGCAAAGACTGTATGTGTCAATAAATACCCATGTTTGACATATTCAACTGTCGACTTGAACGATACGATACACTGTTTTTTCTCTTTCTCGGTGATAGAAGTTGCTCCTCGCCAGTCGTGTGTCGATGTCTGTGTGTAAACATTCGACAATGTTATTCACACCAATACACAGAAGAGCGCACACGCAGACGGGCAAAATACAAGTACTTTTGAATTGGATTCGGGTACTTTGAATTGTAAACAAGAAATTTGTTTTTTAAACACACGCGTAGAGACAGAGAGCGAGAGAGAGGAGTACGAGAGACACTGCATAGAAATGGATAGATAAGAACACGAACTCGTAATTAAACTACGGTTTTTTTTTATTCCTGGCTCGCAAATTGAGAGTCACACACTCACTAAATATCGATTTTCAGTTCAAAAAGTTTTAATTACAATGTTTTTGCATCAGCGATTCTAAATAGACGAAAACTTTCGTTTCTGGAATAAATTTAAGCATTTCCAAATTGGGATAGAGGATGAATTTGAATTTTACAAAACCGTAGAGAGGAGACATGTAATGCGATTTATAGTGCAGCTTGTATGACAACGCATCGTATTTCAAGAGTCACCGCAAAATAATTGAGTCTTGGATAATTACCCACGAAAATGGTCAGGAATTTAAAGATGCTTACAGATTAATTAGATCCAGAATTAGTTGGAGCGGGAGGCTTAAGAGACTACAGCATTTTGTCTCTGTCTTCAAACTTGTTCTGTGTAAACAACAATCTCACTCCTCCAGACTGACTTCGACAGTCAGACATTAAACTAGTTTTTGTTTGTTTTGTAAGTTTCTGTTTCGCAAAACAAACTAATCTAAAATGGTATAAAAGATACAAGAGAAAAAGTCGCATGTTTTCAATGTATTTGCTTGATGTTTATTTATGCAAAAATCACGAGAGCCAGAGATTTCGTTTCTCAGTCACAAAATGTTACATAGAGCCATGGGGTTTTGTTGTGTACCATGGGCTCGGAACATATACGCATCTAAACTAAATGTTCAATAAAAATTTGTTCGAAGAACCAATGTAAATTAGCCCTAATGTTTTAAATGGTTGTTGCTGGTGGTGGTGGTGGTGGTGGTGGTTGGTAGTGAAATTGGTTTGTTCTTTTCTCATTTATTTTCTTTTTCATCCAGAGCACTTATTCTAAATTGTAAATCGTACAAATGTTGGTACCTCTGAAATCTGGTAATTATACAAGTAAATTTATTTTCTTGTGAGTGTGTTGTTTGTTGTTCAGTTAAATAACGTTTTGCATTTTTATAATGTGTGTTGTTGTTAATTCGTACTTACAATGGGCGCTAAAGTTAAAATCTTAAGTATAATTTGCGTACTTTGGAGTCGAATCTATTATCTTAGCACGTAATTTTCTTTTTATTCTTCTTCGGTTGTTTTTTTTCAGTAATGTTTATTTTCATCTTCTCACAGATTAAAGCGACAGCCAAACTTATTCGTTATGTTCTGCTTGGCTGTTCAGCGGATTTTTTTTGTTTTTTTTTAAGTGACTATTATTGCACTGTTAAGTCTAAATAACAGATTGGAACTGTTGTGTTTGCATTTTAAAAGCCTAGAATTAAGATGCTATTATAAGTACGCTATTGCTTTTAAATCTCTCCATAATAATAATAATAATAATCGTTCATTTTTGTTTCGTGTTCGAGTTGTAAACATTCTATTTTGGCTGTGGACGTTGAATAATGTCTTTTTGTTGTTGTTGTTGTTGTTAATTGGAAGAGTACACATTTTTGTTACCTATCATCGAAACAAATCTTCGCGCGGCACATTGTTTCCGATTACAAGGGAAGAAAAATGGCTCGATTCCGAAAAGCGTTTGCATATTGGATAAAATCTGATATATTCATTCAATCGATGGCCAAAAAATCCAACGGAGGGCCAACCGGAGTCAAGTGTTTGGACAAAGCAGCCACCGCATTCAGTTCACTGATTCCTTATTGTTTTCTATGTTAATCAAATCAATTTGAATGAACCCACCGGTGATTGCGTCGCCACTCCTTTTTTTATCCACGGTTACCGCCACATGTTTTTTTTCAGCCACCGTATTGAATAGCGTTTAGTTTTTTTTTGTAAATATATATGATGTGTGTGTGTGTTCGAAAAATACTTGTGATGTGTGATTTGATGGAATTATTATGAGGGAACAAAATTGTATGTATTGTTTATGGTTTAAAATCGATATTAGCTTGGAGAATGGACTAAAAATTTCCTCTTTTTTCGATACTTTCTATATGTTTCTTGTTTCTATATTGCTTGTGTACAACACAATAGCGGACGTCGTCTTTTCAACAGATGGATGTTTTTTTCTTTTTTGGATTTTTTTCCACGGCAATTCCTTTTTCGATGAAATAGCTTCAACGATTTTCTACTCTTTGGAACTCGTTCACAATTGTTGTTTTTTGGACTAAAATTTAGCATTTGCTTAGATGTTTCGTTTTAAAAAATAATCAAAATCTGTCTAAAAATCTATCCATATTGTTTTTTTGTTGTTGTTCACAATCATTGTTTCAAAATTAATTCATAAAAGAAGCGATAGTACGAAAGCGATTATTTACAGAATACAAAAAATAGACACAGACATAGACTTAAAAAATAACTGAGTTTTTCACAATTTCTTCTTCTTCCTTATTTTTCTTCAATATATTTCTTCGTGTTCCTTGATCGGCGTGTTATTTTTGAGCAGTCATCTCACCTAATTAGTTTTTATTATAATAATGCTTACAATTTCCATTTTGGATTTTACATATTACTTCCTTGGCCATAATAATTTAATGTTTCGGTTGTTCGACGCGACAGAGTCGCTTTTCGGCTCATCGTCTGCGCCGATGATGAGCCACTTCGATGGGGATGCACATTCACATTGATGTTCAATGGTGGAATATTTGGGTGTTCAATTCGAGTCGGTGATGAAACCATCAGACGCGTATTATGCATCCGATTTAACGTACTAATCACTTCATGTGGCTCCTGATAGCCCGAGTCATTCTCATCGTGATACAATTCAGCATTTGTCGTATGCATATCTTCGTAATCAAAATCACTATAGCCATTGTTTTCAAAGGCCTGCCATTCGGACGAGAAGAACGGGAGAAAGAGACGGAAATTTGAAATTACATTTTCGGGACAAAGTTTAAATTGGAAGTTAACTCAATTTTCCAAAAAAAAAATTTACTTTCTACATAATTTCCAGAGAAATTTCATTTTTTAACATGATTTTCGTTTAAAAAAGAATTTTGCCTGAGTCCACAATTTCATGGTAGAGAGAACAGGTGGTAAAAAGTAAAACGTTTACAAAGTGCTTTACCTTAATTGGAACTTTTCGTGGTGTTCCATCACGCGTTCGCACAACCGGTCTGTTATGATAGTCGATGATTTCGTAGTGATCATCGTAGTTTGGATATCGTTCCACACTCCTCGCAGTAGTCACAAAATGCCGTGTTCCATGCGGTGTCAAGGTGGCCCACAGTAAACGTCCTTCTTTGTTAACATCTTGTTGTAGATTTTGTTCGTTGGACGGACACGATGGATACAGCATATTGCCCGACATATACGACTGTGATTTGTCCATTGAAACGTGCGGTTCGTGGCACATACTCTTCGGTGGTAAATGTTTTCGTCTTTTATTCCTATAAATTCGACGAAACAACAACGACAAGAACAAAAAAAGAACAGCACAATATTGTAGTAAAATGTTTATGAACACGAACACGCATAAAAATACCAAATTAACCAGATGTAATCAAATTGGGTAAGTAAATGACAACATACTCTCGACATTTGATGAACGTAAATGTGACTACGGTAATGAGCAAAATCACACCAACTATTGAGGCTATGACAACAAAAAGCCACGCATCATTCAGACCATGGCCAGGCAATTCGATAAATTCAATTCCAGACTGTATTCGGGGTCCCGGCAACGTTTCGCACATATACGATGCATAACACAATTTCGAATCATTTTGAGCGAATGGAATCAACGGATGTTTCGGTACTAAAAATGCTGGCAACGGTGGCGGTGGCATCGTCTATTGCAATAATAATAAAAAAAAAGAAAAAAAAAGAAAAAAAAGTTTTAATGAACTTGCTTGTTAACGCACTAGAGAGAAACGCGAGAGAGAGAAAAAAAAACAAAGGACGGTAACGCAAAATTTTATATATTTTATGTTTACCAGAATTGTGTCTGGCGGTGGACCGATTTCAATACACTGAACACACATGTTGGCTCGCTTTCAGCTTCTCTCTCTCACACTCGCCTTCTACACACCACTGAAAACCCACAATCAAGTTAATTGAATTTAGAAAAACCAGAACGCTGCATAAAATTTTATTCGTCAAAGTTTTCGCTGCTCTTTGCTATTTATTTCTTTTTTTCGCAATTTAAAATAAATCTGCAGGAATTGCAATTAAATTAAATTGAAACAGAGGGAAGCGAGTTATCGATTTTTCATTAAAATGACCTGTTTCCACTGAATGAGTTTACGCTTGCTTTGTACAAATTGCACTTGTTTTCCCGTTCGTTTTTTTTTCTTTCAATTTTCCTCCTTCAATCTCGGCAATTCCATCACTTTTCGTTCACCATTTCTTATTCACTAAAATTGAGTCAATTGATCACAGAATTTCATGTTTGAATGGTTTGTTTTATTTTTTATCTTCTTATTTTTCGCAACAAATTTTCTATCGTACAATTTGTTGTTTATAAAATAAAAAGAAGGAATCACAATAGACAAAAGGATTTCTTTCGATGAAGGAAAATCTCTTGGTATTTTACGGTGATGATGGTGGTGCGTGCGTACGTTCGACTACTGATTCACCGTGTTTGATGTTTGTTGTGTGGAAAAATAGCCAAATAGGGGGCCACTTCTATATCAATTGCCAATACACACATGCATTCACTGGCTGAAGCATGCGCAACGCACCAATCCATTGCCAACCAACCAACTCTATACAGTTGTTTGTGTACGTATCGAACGTATCAAACAAAAAAATGCGAATGACAACACACACTTGACGATATACATATACTACATACTATTTTATCTTCCCCCAAAAAAACGTATCGCTCACTGGTGGTAGCACCATATTCATCCGTTCTCGGTGCCTGTGTGCTTTGGTATGCGTTCGCATACATGCAACCATGGCGTTTCGTGTGTACGAATTTATTAGGGGTAATTTTATCGATTGTTTTTTTCGCATGTAACTTGATGATGATGATGGTGTAGCAGAGCATCGTGTTTGTGTGCTAAGACTCGCTGGCGGTGTATGAATATTGAATGCCGTTGTATGGCACCGTTGCCATTATTATCATTGGATTGGTGCGATGTTTACAAACTCATTCATCGTCTGGAATAAATCACATTTCTTTTTTTTCCGTTCGTTTATTCGTTCTTTCTCTCTCTTGGCTCGCAATTGCATTTAGAAGTCGAAGTCTTAAATCAAATCAAAATTCGTTGTGTATGAATAATAATGGACGATTTCTGGGAAATCTCTTTAGATATTTTTCCGTTATATTCCTTTTTTACGCTCCTCTTCCGGCGTATCGTAGAGTGGCGAAAAACCTGGCGACAACGGCAAAATTATTTCAGATTCATTTAAAAATGTATACAATGTTGTCATCAAAGCATGGCATTTCGTCGAAACATGTTTGATGTTTTTTGTCATAAACATTTTTCCGAACATGATGCGGCTTTCTGTCGTGGCAGATGAAATTTGCAACTCGGCGGTATGTGTGTGTGTGTGTGTGTTTGTCGTTCATCACATGGTGTCTTCATTTTTTCATCGCATTATATGAATAAAACGCTCATGCGACGCTACGCAACATTGTATCTTTGATTTTGTTCCATTCATAGAAGAGACTTGTTGCTAACAAGCAAAAGCATTCTTAAAGTATTTATGCGATGTGTGGTATAAATTTCATGTTGTTTTGCTCTCATAACAGAACCCTCATCACGAACCGCTCAATCTGATTTTCAGCATGTAGCAAGACAAAAAAAAACACACACACAAAAACGACGTAATATCGAAACACTTCGGGACTTAATCCACTTTGAAAGCAGATTCAATTGATTCTGAACAGCAAACCATTTCGACGAGAATGTTTAATGATGTCGACGAATCCAATCATGCATTCACCAGCGAAATGCCATTTAACCTGTTTACATTTTCGTCTCTCGTTGTCTTCTCCTTCTTCTCTTTTGCTAATTCAATGTGATTTTAGCTCGCGGATGTATACCGAAACCGCCAGAGAAAATCCCAGAGAATGAATGCCCAAACAACGGCGGAAAAGTAAACAAAACAAGAGTATTTTGTGCATAAATCATCTCTCGTTATTTTTTCTTCTTCTTTGGAATGAGAGTGTTAGTGCAAGTGTGAGAAAGAGATGGGGGGGGGGTAATTCGGCAGTAGAAACGGGAGAACTCTGTCAATGTATGAAATATTCACACGCAGCTGCGCGCATTAAACATAAATCCGTTCAATTGTTCGCGATCCATGTCATTTCTCTTGCTCGTTCCCCGCAAGCATAGGGCCGATGACTATCAAACATCTCTATATCCATCGATATGTGTGTAGTATATAGCTGTAGGTACTGCGTTGATGAAATAGTATGAAAAATTGCTCGCTTTGCAAGGAGTAAAAATGCGATGCATGCCGAACGAATGAACGAACGAACGAATGGAGTGAGCGAGTAAGTGAGTGAGTGAGCGAGAGTCCTTTGCTTGGATGATGGCCGCTTACTTGCCATTTCTGTACTGTTTATGCGTTTCGGAATCAGAAGAGAGAGAGAGAGAGAGAGAGAGAGAAAGAAAAAGTGGCAGCACAGCACTACTGACATTCCGACCAACGAACACATCCAATTCCATACACCAATTTTAATCGCTTGCTATAATTCGGCGAGTGCAAACACACATTCAACACCCTATCCTATGTTCATCGCACCGTAAATTGACACAGAGAACGACAAGACAGAGACTGTGGGCTGTTTGTGTATTTCTTTTTTTTTCTTCATTCGCATATTCGCAGGTGACATTTCATTAGACATCGTGTACTGCGTGTTGTGTCGGTGTTCGACTGTATTCTGTTGTTGGTGATATTGTTTTTTTCTTCACTCTGCTTTTCTGTGTTTTGGCTTGTGAACAAGATATTTGCATTTTCATTGACATCATTTTCGAGTTTTTCACAGTGAAACAAACCAGTGTTCTTCGGGTACATTAAGAGGGAGGGAGATTATGTGTGTACTGTGTATGCTAAGTGACAAGTTTCGTGTTCTTGTGGAAAGTTTTCTTTAATGTGTTCATAAAAGCAATGGGGTGTTCCCACGCTCATTGCTCCGAATGTTGAACAACTCATTATTTAACCGAATAAACAAAAGTGAACAAAAGCGATATATTTCGTGTGTGTCCGGGCGCGAACAAACGAGCAAGCAAACGAGAGAGAGAGAGAGAGAGAGAGAGAGAGAGAGAGAGAGAGAGAGAGAGAGAGAGAGAGAGGAAAAAAAACCTGAAGGGATATACCGAACGTGCAACTTGCTAAAAGGTAATTACATCCACAAAACCGCTCAGGTGTCTATAAATTCCAGCTCGAGAATATGTTTTACACGACATCTGAAACCAACCAAACAAATCATGAAAAAGCTGCCGCTCCTGTTCATGCCGTTGTTTGTGCTGCCGTTGCCGTTGCCATTGTCACTGCACTGAGAAACTGACCCTTAAGCACCGATGCGCTGAAAGCAGTGAACGCTTGAAGTGGACAATTTAGAACGATGACGCAATTTGAAACAAAAGCTTATTGTTCGTAATCGAATGTGTGTCTCCGGAGCGTATGACATTGTGTCTACATGCACAACATATAAGGTATACGTGCGCTGCTTTTGCTTTGAAATGACATTCGAACTACGGGTAGAATCGATGAGTCTCAGGTTTTACCAAAGAATAGACACAGAAAAAAAGAGGCAAATCTAACACACGTACCAAAAGCGATTTGTAAAATGAGAATTGGCGCCGTATGCTTTGTCATGTTCCATGCCTTTCATGACATGGGTACCAGATAGACAAGCCTGATGTATATTTCAAATGTTTCAATCAACTTTCCCAAAATGCGAAATGAGTTTTTCATGTTCCGAAAAGCCAACGTGATTTCGAGATAATTTATTCATTGCAAAGCGTTGCGTCACTTTCGTAGCACAATTTACTAAATTTCAAATTCGTCAAATTGATTGTTCGATCCAAAATAGAAATCGGCTGGTATTCCATTTCGATTACCTTGCCAAGATCCTCCTTCAATCATCTCGAATTTCAAGTGCAAGCAACACGGCGCGGTCTACCGTATTTCAAATGATGTGAAATAATTTCTCGGAATGTGTGGCATACGATGTTCATTTCGATGTTGTTTTACATGTTCCCAAATTGCAAGTAAATCACCTAAATTTAGTCCTTCATTCCATCGGTTTTTCCGACAAACCCGTGCACGAAACACACACACAACATTAATCCTTTAAACAAAACGTTTCGATAACATGCTTAATTTTCGGTGTAGACGTCAAGCTTCGCATAAAGCCAGACCTGTATTGGAGCACACAACCTCAACGTGAGAGAAATTGATTCAACAACAGCTTTTATCGTTTATTTTGTGTTTCTCTCTCTGCTGCTGTGTGTTTATTTTTCTTCTTCGAATTTTTTCCGTATGCCGCTACATTAAGTAAAATAATAATAATAAGAAGAAGTTTGTGGGCGCCAAATAAAATGGCATTATTTTGTTTGGGAGAATTCATGTTTGGCAAAGAAGCTTCATACCAGGCATACGTATGTACAATTGTTATGATAGCACACCCACGAAGCGCTTTATGTCGTGCAACGATTGAGAGGGTACGTGATTCCGTGATTTTTCTACCATATCCTTCGTCGGCTCATAAACATTTTCGGGCGTTCTGATCTTCGGTTTGTTGCCTGCTTTTCCCCAATTTTTCTCTTTTTCTTTCTTTCCTTTTTTTTGTCGCACATAAACACACAATGTGAAAGTCGCATTTCCATGTTTCGTGTATGAGAGTCAGGCTTTTTTTAAATTTGCCACTGAAACACTTGCTTACGTCATGTTCATGTTGTTTTGAAGCACAAGGGAGGCAAAACCGCACGTTCTCTTTTCCTCGCTGGCACACACCAAAATATGTCAATGGTTGAATGGTAACAAAAATGGAAATGAACAACAAACGATGAGTGACGCGGGCTTAAACTTTTCGCTTCTGTGACAGCTAAATATATTATTCTCCCATTATTATATGACGGCAAAATATACTTCTCGACTTTCGAGGGAGGGTTTATTTGTATTTTGGATTTTTTATTTCATGCATAATTTATGGTGGCAATTATTGAATATCGTTCCCCTAATTGGCTTCCATAAAAATTATTTATAAAGCGCTTTAACATTGGAGTCCTTCATTTGAACTGAACAAATAACACTGGCAAGCAGACGGGCTGCATACAAATCGTGCATCATTTTGATTTACAGGTACATGAAAACCGATGCCATTGCCGTTGCTGACCTTTTCCCTTCCAAATGAATCACAATTTAGTCTGCGGACCATCTACATTTATATTGACTGCTCATCGTGATTATTATTCCATCGGCAGATTAATTTCAGTTTTTTTCCTATCATATTATGAGAGATCCGCTATCCAAGTTCCCCGATTCAAGCGCCGCCGTCCGTTTATTATTATTTGCCTTTTCCATCATCTCATTGACACGCTTGCAATTTGTATAATTTCAATTAAATTTGATTTTAATTGTTTTCAGACTGGCCCACGCTTAATTTCAAATTAAATTAAACGAAAAAAAAAACAGAAGAGAGAAGCAAAACTTAACGATGTTGTTGGGCGCATGGCCAATCGGAGGTGTCAAGCACAGCAGTCAACCCAATCCGAATGATAAGAGTGGAAAATGCCGTTTTATCAGTCTGTGCGGAAGTTATGCATTGTTTTTAATCATTGGAGCCGCTATATTCTCTGCCATCGAAGGACCACGAGTCGATAAATATGAACGAGAGCTGATTGAAGCGATAGACAAATTTTCCCAAAGCTACCCCTGCATAAATCGTAAGCAAATACACACTATTTTTGTTCTCAATTACGTGATTCAATCACGCTTGACATCTTGATGTTGTGTTGTTTATATTTAAACTCTGCAATTCAAATAAATTAAGCGGTGAGATAGACGAGGTGGGTAGCTCATTATCCATATGAACAACAGAAGTTGAAAATATTATACCAGATTAAACCAGTTTATTCCGACCATTGCTCACTTCGACATAATGATTTTGTTTATCAATACAATTAATTGAATTCACTGTTTGTATTGGTCACTTGAACGAAATGAACGCAATTCTTGAAATAAAAGTAGATAAAGGAACGTAATATATTGTTGGGTAAACTAAAAAAAAGGGTCCGTTTTCAGCGTCAAAAACAGTCTTTCTTATGGATGTGAATGATTTTGGGTACATCAAACATACACACAGAGACCTGTTCAAACACATCAAATCAGAATATTGCGTCTTCGTGCTTCGAAACAATCGATGTGAATTAATAATCACGTGTAAGTACCCATTCGTGCGTTCGGTCACAATTAACGAATGAGTAATCCGAAAAGAAAGCCGCCTCAAGTAGCCCACTGTATTCAGTGTGGAACACACTTGAAACTGAAATCGTATGTTTTTGTGTCGATCACATTTATCAAAATGTACTCTTTCTGTTCCCATTTGTCAATCTATCCCTCTTTCGTTCAATATGTATGATAATCGAACATTAAATGCCGTTGATGTAGCTGCTGTGGCTGTTGTTACTCTGTTTGTATGCCTCAAAGTGCATTTTGGTCGATTTGAAAAATGGAACTGCCCTGGAAAAAAAATCAAATGAGAGAAGATTTACATACATTTCGAGCTGGAAAGAACATTTTTTGTTTACAAGTGCTCATATCCTTCAATGTTTGCCCAGTTACTTTTCTTATCATTTATCTCCAATACATACACACACACCATACACGAACGGTACATAAAAAAACCATAGATAGATTGAACTATTGCATATTTCGGGCTCATCTTATCACCGTTTGTCTGTGTTTGGATTTTTTTTCCTTTCGTTCCGTTCAAATACACATCTTATCTGATATTATTATTGAATTGAAGATACGTGATATACTTCGTCCAACAACAAATTTTGATATAAATAAGAAAGTAAAATGTCGATTGAATTTCGTTGAAATATATCATTTATTAGTTTTCAATTGAACCAAAGTCACATCATTGTCGTCAGTTTCTGTACATTGTCACAATTTGACATCGAACATCGTTTGACAGTTCTGTGTGTTGCGAATTTTACTTCTGGCTATACTCGATTTTATCACAAGATTTCTTTCTTCGGAAATTTATGTTGATTACGAAAAAAAAGAATAATACTGACAAACAAAGTTCTAACAAGTGGATTGCAAAAGTTTCTGTCGTTTCGCTGTGGGTGTTTTATTTATGTGAGATTGTACGAAGTTCAGTGTCTTGGGTGGTATTTATATTTTCCCTGTTGGTGTATCGCTCACAATCAATCACCATCACAATAGGACTACCTTTTTTCGGAATCATCGCATAAGCCAATTAAGACATTCTACGCAAGAAAAAAACAACACAAGAGACTTTTTTGTGTCACAACTTGTCGGACTTGAAAAGAAATAACAAACACCAATTGCCCACGATATACTTATACGAGAACAACGACAACAGTGTGTTGAAATCAATCGACAAAAATAATCCATTATCAGTTTGGCAGTTAGGAAATTACTCCAAGTAAAGTGTAGTGACTCAATAAAAAGACGTTCAGGGGGATATTTTTGTGAAATAGTTCATTTCCTCAATTCACTCACATTGAACTTAACAGTGACGAAAAGAGCAACGAGTTTTTTTTCCATTCTCTTTCTTAGCCGCGTCATAAAGTAATACCAAATCAAATCTAAGCAGTTTCTTCTCAGTTCTCAGCAACACACAAACGCACGCTGTGCGAAAAGAGAGACAGAGAAAGATTGTCATAAGGTCAGTGTTATCACCGAAAGAGGTTAACACATCACCGAGGGAGACAGAGAGGTAGAGAGAGCAAGAGATTTGCCTTTGACGAAAGAACATTGTTATTATTATTCATTTTCCCAACATCGTGCCGTACTGAATTTGAGATGATTCCACACATACGAAAACATTCAACATGATAGCGATTCCATTGCACAAAAAGCATAATAAAATTAGTTGACAATTACTGTCTTTGGTGTGCGGATTTTTGGCTCACTGAATCGTAGACGAAATTCAATCAAGTATCTTATATTTGTGGTTCGGCATTTGGCAGTAATTTTGACGACAACGGTGACGACGGAGTAGGAGAGAGAAGAAAAGAGATAGCAATCTATATTGTTGATTTGTAGCACAAAGTGACCGGACGAAAGGAGACAGCGAGCGAGCGAGCGAGCGAGCGAAATTCAATTACACAACACAAAAACCTAAATTTGACGCAAAGGAGAAGAAAAAAAAACGAACATTGAAGACCAAGAACAGAGCCAATAAACGACGCAATTTCCCCGCAACAAAAGGACGCGAACGAATCGAGCGTATATTTTTTTTCGATTGTAGAATGACCGAAGAGTTTCCCGACTACGACAGTTTTTTTATTTTCCCAAAAAACCATAGAAATCAACAACCAGAAAATGTAATTATCAAAACGAAACAAACACCATCCGAACATCCAACCAGCGTGGGTCGTATAAATGTTTACGATCAAAGGCAATTCGAAACAGAGCGATTCACGCAGAAGAGTCTACCGAATCTGAAACCATCGTACGGAAGTATTTACCCACCAACGAAACCATTTCCATCGGAAAGTGAACCGTTGCTCAATCAAAATTATCGCTACACGAGCGGACATTTGTACGGCGAACCAATCTATCTGCCACGCTATCGTCGAACGCAAATTTTTCTCTTCTTTTATATTGTTTTCTATGTTGGCTATCTCATTATCGGCAGTATTTGCTTTCAAAAATTGGAACACAACGTGGAACAATCGATTCGTGAAGAGTTTCGCGAAGTACGACGCAAGTTTCTCGATAAAAATCCAAGTGTCAAAGGTTAATTGTTGTTTAAACTGTTCTTTTTTTTATTTTGAGTTTATGACAGTAATTGGAAAATTTAATCAATGTTGCTATATTGTTTGTCCAAGTAAATGTATGTGAATAAAAAGGTGCTGCTAATCTACTTGCAGATGATGAACTGGAAAAATTCATCGGTGAGGTGCTAAAGGCCAGCAGTCGAGGTATATCGGCATTGAGGAATGCAACCAGTGAACCCAATTGGACATTTGGCCAAGCACTGTTCTTCTCCACCACGGTGGTTACCACAATCGGTAATGTTTACATTGACTTTTTTTTATATACACGCATAATGTGTTGTTGATGATGTTAATCGCTTTTCAAACAGGCTATGGGCATGTGACACCGCTCAGTCAAACTGGTAAACTGTTTTGTTTACTGTATGCAATGATTGGCATTCCATTGACTTTGGTACTTCTGTCGGCTGCCGTCGAACGCTTGATGACACCCGTGAACTGGCTACTTGGCTCTTTGAACTCTAGACTTGGCCATTTGTATCAACCGTTTAATATTCGCATTTTACATTTGATCATCGTCATTATCATCGTTCTAATTTTGTTCTTTGGTATACCCGTCGCTATTTTCACTCACATGGAAGACGATTGGACCGCTTTGGACGCTTTTTATTATTGCTTTATTTCGTTGACTACCATTGGGCTAGGCGATTATATACCTGGAGATGATCCGGATATTGACTATCGATCCATTTACAAGATTGGAACCACATGCTACCTAATTTTGGGTAAAAAATGACTTCCCTTTTACCTTGTTTTGTGTTCAAAATGTTTTTATATCATTAAATTTTATAATTCTATTGAAACCACGAGAAATATTTGTTAAATCATGATCATTGTGTACATTTTCAGGTCTCATAGCCATCATGCTATCGCTGAACGTATTCTATGACATTCCACAGTTGAATTTGGGTCAACTGTTCACCGAATCACGTGCAGCAAACTTTGGCGAATCCGAAAAATTGCGATCCACACACAATCCATGCTATTCCGGCCCAACGGGACTGTATATGCCGCAACGTGATGAAGAAATCCGTGCCATAGTTCGAATACGGCCACACGCCAATGACGATTCACCCAGTCCCGAAGATCCCACACCAATGCACGCTAAAGACATTCGCATCCCCTAGACACACACACACACACACACTTAAATCGAAATTATTCTATTTTTCTAAATAATAACAATAATTAGCGACAATTTTACATATCTGTATCCAAATGTTTGAACAACAACAACAAGAACAAAAAAATGGAATTTATTTTTCTGGCCATGATATGATGATAATGATAATGATATATTATATATGAAAACAAAAAAATATTTATGTGAACAAAGCACCAATAAATGCAGATATTTACTAAGGCAATATACTTATGAACAACAAACGTGTCATGACTCAACTTGACAAATATATACATACACACACCACATATGACATGATATAAATGTATTTACAGAATAGTTTCCACTTCAGTCTATCTAAATAGTGTGTCATGAGCATGAAAAAAATCATTCAAACTATCAAGCAATTACAGCAACAACAACAAAAACATATACACTTCAAGAGCTTCTATCCACAATCAAATCAAATCAGATTTTATCGTACTATAATATTCAATGTGTCCGACCATTCAAAATATTTATCAATCTATTTGTAGAGAGAGTAAAATGAGGAGCCTAAATGAGAATAAAACTGCGTTTTATTTATTCCAAGCAGGTGGTTTGGTTTTAATTTATCCATAGATCAGCCCACACACTTAATGTGAACACAGTGCAGCCCACATTCCGATCCGATGGGTAAGTCAATGCGTCTATATCATGGCATTAATTCATCTGAATGAGATTGAAACTGGCGTAGGTCAAGCATGGGTCGAGACCACAACACCGCAAACAGAAACCTGATTCCCTTTGAAGTGTGGTAATATTGTTTGTCTAATGCATGAATTGACTAGGGCCATTGAGTCAGGCACACAACATGATTACGTTGTCCTAATGTCTTTAAATGGCATTAACCATGGCTTCCATTGAAAATATTCAAAATCACAATATAATTGGTCGAAATCAGCCGATCCATCATAATGCTGTCATTATTCATGGTAACATCATTCGTGTTCCAACAATGAAGAGAGCAAACAATGTGAATTTTATATTCATGTTTTCCTCCCTCGTCGAATAAGAAACAAAACCAAAGCTTAGACAGCTTAAGTATGTTGACAAACAAATCTAAAAGCTTCATAGAAAGAAAAAAAAAAACAGAAAAAGAACCCATTTTGACAACAAAAAGAAAATTTTCATAAATAGCCATTCTCCAAAAAAAAAGACATCCCCAAGTGAATCATAGTCTAAGTGAATCATACGTTGGCTTCATTCAACATCATCATACCTCGCAAAAAAAAACAGATTTCTGTGAATACAATGTATTCAATACATGTTGTTGTTTTTTACCAAGAACTTTTCTGTTTATTGAATTATTTGAATGAAAAATTAAAAGTAAATGTTGTTTTATTGACTCAGTACGCTTGAATTTTGATTGGGCAAACAACTCATTTCCATCGAGTATTTTCAAAAAAATTAAACGATTTAAACTATGAAAAATAAGGAATATCAGAGAAAAAAAGTTCAGGTAAACAGATCTGCTTTCATTATACCCAGTTCATGATGTATATGTGCCGGCTCCATATGCCCCATAAAATAATTTGTCAGTCATTCAAAATCAATATACTCTCGTTATTTTCGACCGTTTTATCTCTTTGTATATATTGGACAGTTGAATTTTGCTTACAAAGTCAAGAACTCGAGCATGTTCACTGAACATGCTCGAGTTCACATTCCTTATTCTTATTTTGATGTGTCTGATTCATCACAAAACAGTGTGATAGACAAAACAAAACCGAATGAACGAACATTATTGTATATTCGGATGATGCAGAGCTATGCAAACACACTATGTGTAGTATGCATGCAGTTAACACCGCACAGTAAACGTGCGGCATGCTTATATTTTTGGTGTGCATGCAGTTTTTGGTGTTACATGAATTTCGATTCAACTGTCAAATATTGGCGGCTCGACCAAAATTCAAGCACGCACACAAAAATACAAGAGTTGTGTGCACCGCATATTTGAGGCTGTGAGAATGAAAATGGCAATACAGGAATGAACATTCTGAACCGCATCAAGAAAAAAAAATCGCAAAAGTGAATCATGAGTTCTGAATACGCAAAAGTGAACCATGAACCTTCCATGCTGCCCATGTAGATTTTTGTCTCACTTTTGCATATTCAGAACGCATGATTCATTTTTGCGAATTTTTTTTCTTGATGCGTTTCAGAATGTTTATTCCTGTATTGCCATTTTCATTCTCACAGCCTCATTTACTGTTGATGTTTTGTTAGCTACATGCACACACACACAGTGTTTTTCCAGATTTGTCCGTATCTTTGATGGAATCGGTGCGCCTGGAACTTTCGAATATCTTTTGTCAACACTTTTCGTTATACTTTCAAGGAACGCAGTCAAGGCTAAAATTTTAGTCGCATCTTGACGTGAAAAGACCATCAACGAGGAAAAAAGGCGAGAAATCAGCAGCAAACATGGCAGACAACAAACACGCAAATGAAGATGGCAAGAAAGATGACAGCCGTAAAGCAGCACCAAAGAAAAAGGACTTCAAACGTTGTGATTCAGCTTTCACATGCTCAAACGAAGAGTGCAAGAAACGAAACAACGGTGTAGCATACGATTACTTTTCGTGCACCTACAGTCCAGAATATCAACGCAGATGTCCAAAATGCGGAACCATGAATGAGCGCCATTCCGGTACGTAAATCTTTGTTATTAAGAAACCAAATAATGTGTTATAAGAATATTTTGGAACAAAACACTCTCCATTTAAGATCTCAATATAAAAATAATGATGAATTGATCTTATTTTCGTCACTTTCAGGTGGAACGTGTTTGGTGGATTAGACCAAAAAATACTAAACTCAGAAAATACGGAATCACTGCAATACGACCTCACCAAATGGTCAACAAATCAAATCGAAAATTCATTGTTTTGTCAAATATTATTGAATAAAGCGTCCAATTATTATTTTGGCAAAACGTGCATGTGTTTTTGTGTTTTTTTACCCCAGTGTTTTACTTAGATACAAATTTTCAGATAGATAGTGCCGTTTTTTTAATTTTAGTTTTGATCAAGTAATGCAACTGATTAACCGGTCCATCATAATGAAGAGAGCAAATAATGTGACTTAATATTTTTCATTGTCGAATAAGAACCAAAACCAAAGCTTAGCTTAAGTATACAAGCATACAAAAGAGTTTTAAATTATCATGTATACAAAAAGAAAAAAAAAACAGAAAAAGAACCCATTTCGACAACAAAAATAACATTTTCATAACCACACATCCAAAAAAGACATTCCAAAGGCTTCGTACCTTGAATCATGCGTTGGCTTCAATCACCATCATACCTCGCGAATAAAACAGATTTACTATGAATACATCTTGTTGTTTTTTTTTGTCAAAGAATTTTTCTGTTTATTGAATAATTTGAATGAAAAATTAAAAGTACATAAACATTGAATCAAGACTGAGCTGTGTTTGTGAGAGAGGGTGGGGGAGGGTTTTGTCGGTAATGAGAAGTTGTGTGTATAATATATCATTTTTATATGCGTATGAATGTGAGTGAATTGAATTATTGTTTATAGAAAAGGCTTTGCGCTAATGCCTATTTTTCTTCTTCTCATCTTGCCTGTTTAAAAAAATCATAAACACTTATTTTGCATTTCATTATTTGGTGATTACTGCGTTTGCTATTCATGTGTTAAAAATTAGTGTAACATAGGTCAATTCATATGTAAAACTCAAATGTTTATTACAAGCATAGAAAATATGTTTTTTTTAAAAAGAAATGAAAACAAAACAAATACAATTCGGTTAAAATGCTATTTCATGCGATTTATTCGCCTTTCCTCTCCTTTTCAATCCAAACTTTATCAAAATAAGGATTTAATTATTCTTTTCTTTTTTTGAAACCGCTTTTGAAAAATGCAAAAATTTTGAACGAAAAAAATAAAATCTTTCGAAATATCAAATTTTCTTTGTATTCGGCCAAAATTGTGTGCCGTGCGTTACGATCAAGCGCACATACAGAGTTCTTATTGTATTTTCGACAATGCACATTTTAATACAATTCTTTCTTTTTTTTGCTCTCGAATCAACGGGATATGTTTTTTTTTAAATACAATTTCCTTGCTATCGCATCACAAGCAATTGAATAAAAAAATCATAAAAAAACTTCGAAATTTGGTCAACAAATGCTATATAATAAAAAAAAATTACTGTGACTTTTTACTCTTTTACCCGGCAAATATTCATATGTGAATAACGCGTTTTTTTCTCTGTGTTGGTGAAATTCGATAAAATAAAACAAACGATCTATTGCATGCAGTTTCTGTTTGTGTCCATCGAAAAGAAAACAAGAGATGTTAGTCACTATGAGTGATATATATCGTTAAATGTGTGTGTGTGTGTTGCTGTTGTTGCAATCTGAGCCTGGGCGGGTAAAAATCAAATATGTAATCGTAAAACCTAGCCTAACTCTCTAATATATATATTTTTTAATGCAAGTGATGAAAATTGTTTTCTGTTCTTTTCTTTATTTTTCTCTCTCTGTGTGTTTGTGTGTAAATTCTCAATAAACGTGTGCATATGTCATTTTTATTTGTTTCTTTTTTTGTCTCTGAAGTTAAATTCCAAACATTGTTAATAATATTTTTTTTTCCATTTGTTCTATATCTATAGAGCTCTGTTCTTTGATTAATTCATTTTTAAATGTCTAAATTCTCTGCGTTTCTTCTTACTCTTGGTTTTACGTTTTTTTTTGTCCTTAATTTTTCCTAAACAGTTTATTGATTTCTCTTTCTTTCAAAAACCAAAAAAATGTAAACAATTTCATGTAAACAATTATCCAAAATGTCATTTGTAAATCCGTTCTTTTTGCGTCCTATTTCCGAATAACTGTCTCGGTCTATGTTAATTTTTTTTACTTCCTTTTTCGTTTAGTCATTTTGAGCTTGAAAACATTCTTATGTTTGATATCGTTCCACAGTGTATTGTTGCTGTTTTTTATTTGTTTGTTTTGATACTCTGTTAAGTGTTTTGAGTCGAAAATATAAGTTTCCCTGGTCGAAACTTTGATTTTTGCTTTGTTTTTCACTTCTGTTGTAATTCTACTTGGTGACATTGCAAATTCATCCGTTTTCAACTTAGTTTTTGCTACGTCTTGTGGCTCGACCCGATTGCGCTACTGATTCAGCAGCCGATTCCTTCTCACTAGGCTGCTTTGGTGAATCGCCGTCGATTTTTGAAACCTTTGTCTCTGATTCACCATCTTTGGATACTTCCGCGTCTGAAATTGGAATCGCGGTATTCGGTTAATGTCACTTTTTATTTTCAAATCTTTGAGGATTGAATGATTATTTAATCTCTATATTGTGGCCAATCAAAATGATTATGCAACAGTCGTAATTGTTATCATCCAAAAGATTTGTCTGATTACTCCCTTTCAAAGCGATTCATCTGAATTGTTCAACAATTACCTGTCTTTGAATCGTCCTTATTTTGCACTTCATTTGTCTCGTCGACTAATCTACGCTGTGTTACCAGTCTTTTGGTGCTAGGCGTTGATTGGTTTTCATCGGCTGTCTCACTGATTTTTGCATCGTCCTTTTCCGCTGGCAATTTCTATAGAAAATTCAAATTGAGTTATGTTAATGGAATTTGAATTTATTGCTCATTTATAAAGTTCATTTTCTATGCAATTAAACTCATATTTGCCGAAGTTTTTGTGTACCTTAGCAGATTTAGCGGCAGAATCGGCCTTGGTTTTAGCGGGTGGTTTTGCTGAGTCACTTTTTCGTTTCTTTGCAGCCGGTGCTGTTTTCTTTGCACTGTCGGCAATTGCGCTGGCTTTGCGTTTGCCAGAAGTTTTCTTACTCTCAATTTGCGATTCATTTTTGTATAAGGAAAGATCCACTGCGAATGAAATAACAACAAATCAAATCATATGCCGACTCAATAGCAATTTACACGATTCAATTCAATGACAACAAGTGTCAAAATTGTATGCCCACTCACATCCGTCTGGGTTCTCTTCGGTAACATCTGGCCGTTCAACAATTCCCTTTTCAACATCGAGCGCCTTTTTCAAAATGCTCTCAATGCGATCTTGTTCGCTTTTGGTCAGTTGGAATTTCGCTTTAGCCATTTTATTCAGCGAAACACTGGTCAAAACGCACTCAATATCGGTGGAATCATAAAAATCTAAGCAATAAATGTTTTTGCTCGTTGCCTCCTCGGACAGCCAACGAATTCGAATTTTTGGTGATGATTTGTACACATTGTTCATTGCCTGACAAAGGAAAAAGCCACCGTCTGCATTTCGCACCGCCAAAAACTCATTCCTGAAATGAAAAAACGGCATTTTTATTAGTATTACACCGTACATTTTTTTTTCGAATGGTGATTTTAGCTTCCAAAGCCAATTTTACTTACTTGTAAAACAATGTCAATTTATCGTCTTCCTTTTCAATTTTTGCCTTCTTTTTGTGCGCATTGATCGCCTCGGCCGCACTTATTTTGCTAACTAGTTCGATTTCGGGCGTTGGACTCTGATAAGGAATGGTCTTGAAGCGATTCCTTTTCGCTCGAACATCGACTGAGCCGGACAGAACCGGTGTTGTTGGTGTTGTTGCCCGTTTTAACGAGGCGTTTGCTAATTTTGCAACGGGCGTCTTAGTTGTTTGATCTGTCGATGATTTTGCGACTGTCGCTTCTTTAATTTTATCTTTTGTTGCTTTTGCTTCACTTTGATTTGTGTTGCTTTGTGTGATTGTGGCGCTTTGTGATTCCGTTTGTTTGCTTTTTGATTCTGCTGGTTTGATCTGCTGTGGCGTTTTTGGTGCCGATGCTGCACTGTTTGATGCAGCCAATGGTTTCTCAGTTTTTATCGTGTCCATAACTATCTTCTCTACTTTCACGTTTTCGGTCTTGATCGTTTCCACTTTTTCTGTTTTCTCAACCTTCACTTCGGCAACGCTCTTTGCATCTTCAACCTTGATGGGTTTGGCGTTGCTTGATGTGGGCGATGTCTCAATTTTTGGTGTTACAACATTTGGTTTGGCGTTAGCCGAATTCAAATTACTCAATGGCGTCAATTGGGGTGGTTTGGCGGTGGCCTGTGTTACTGGCGCCACCAAAGCCGGTACATTTGCTTTTGGTGGTGTCGGAGGCACCACATTTATGCTCGGTGGTTTTGCTACAGTTGCATTTGCGGGTGGAACAGTTGGTTTCACCGACGATGGGCTTATCGATACCGATGGCGCGGTCATTTCAACGTGAGGCACAGCTGATTGTGAAGACGTTTGTGTTGCTGGCGACAGAGACGTCGTTCGAATTGGATTCGTGTTTTTGCGCGGAGTTTGCTTGGTTCGTGGCGACGTTGGTGATAGTTTCTGTAAGCCAGGGACGTTTTGCGGCGAATTTGTCTGTGAATAGGAAGAAAAATTGAAACACTCTCCATTGGAATTTGGCACAAAAATTCGAAGCAATACCTTTAATGGAGTAATTGGAATCGCTTTGTTGGTCGGAGAAATGTGTGGTTTATTGGTCGGCGTAACAGTGACGGACGGTGGCTGTGATGCTTTCACTGAAAGTGGTACATTCCCGAGAGACATCGATATTGCTTCAGGTAGAAATGATTTGGGCATTGATGGTGACAACGCTGGTTTGTTGGGCAAAACATTGCTATTCTTCGCATACGATGTTGAACTTGATGGCGAACTGGTTTTTGTAATTGTCAAACTAGGCGTGATCTTCATGCTTGCCTGTGAATTGCTCAGGCTGGCCGCCAAAATGTCGGCATATCCTTTGGCCGAACTGGCCGCTGATGTCATCGCCGATGGCATTTGAGGTAGGGTCGACTTCACCGAACTGCTCGATATGTTCAGTGGAGCGGCAACGATTCCGGCCTGCATCTGTGGCACGGCCGATTTTGGGGCATTCGGAAAGCTCTTACGCGATTGCATTGGGCTGGAGCTCACATTCTGCGATAAATTCTTAGTTTGCACATTGGATCTCGGGTAATTGACGGGCGGCTTTTGCGTCGATTGCATATTTTGTCGTGCCACTGGTGTGATTGTGGTGTTTGTGGGCAATGGCACCGGCTGTTGCTGTTGGAATGATTTCTGCTGATGTACCACCTTTTGATATTGCAACATATTATTCAGAGCCTGTAAATGCACGATTTGTTGCAATTGCGTTTGTTGCGCCACATTGGTTGCGCCATTCTTGTCAATCATCATCTCACTCACTATCCGATTCAAAGCTAAAACAGATTCCATAACATGAATATCAGTAGTTATGAAGTGGTTAAATGGACATGTTTGCACAAACTAACCTTGAGTTTGGTTGGACTGCTGTTGAAATTTCACCTGCTGATTCTGTTGCGGTGGCGGTTGCTGCTGGTATGGCTGACCTTGCATCAACAGTTGACGTTGCAACAATAATTGTTGTTGAAAGATTTTCTGATCTATCACAGACATTTGCGATCCACTCGAATTTGCCAAATGATTGCCAGGTACTGGAGAAAAAAACGGGATTGATATGTTAGAAAAGGATACCAAAATTGATATTCAGAAGAATTTTGACAAAATTGAAAGGAACACATTAAAAAAAATATAATGAAATTCACTGTTTAAATTGCTGAAATTAAATCGAGGGATCAATCGCCACGTATGTTTTCCACAATAATCGATATTATCGATTTGATGGAAAAACAACGTTTCAAAACGGCTAATTTCGTTCAATAATGTCACCCTCTCATGTGTGTCACAACGAACGTCACGTAACAAATGGTATGTGTTGTGCTTTAATTGAGTTAGTTCTTACTTGATGCAGCATTGTTAATCATTGGTATGTTTGGAATACCACTGGCCCCAATATTCGCATTATTCGGTTGACCCCCTTGTTGTTGTTGTTGTTGTTGTTGTTGTTGCTGATTTTGGTTCGACATGCCACCCGTAAACGGAGGTCTTGAGGTGTAGCTCATGTTATCAAATCACCCTAAACAGAATTTTGAAGAAAAAGAAAAACAAACACACACAAGTCGATCAAAATCCGCGGTTAAAAACGAAAGACTTCCTTTTACTTGTCAAATTGGCACACACACACACAGAAATTTAACCACAAAACAACTCATTCATTGCATTTGATTTGAACAAATTAAACCCACCAATTGTACAAAACGTTTCGGTGGATTTTATTACGTTTGCTCGATGATTGGATTTTTGAAAATTCGAAAATTTCCAACCGAAAGGATCAAACTCATGCAAAAATTAAGTGGAACAATTCGACACAAATGGAAAAAAAACCACCATTTTTGATTCTCATAGTGTTCGCATAGACGAACAAGCACGCACACCAAAGTGGCATGGGAAATATCACACCTCAATGAACAAGTACACAGAGAGTTCTCATGCATCTCACGCATACCAAAGCATCTGAATCACGATTAGAACATTACGTATGTATACATAATTTTTTTTTTCTCAATTCGCAAAACATGACACTCTCTTCCTTTCTCTCTCTCTCTCGCACTCACAAAACGCAAACTTACTTGAAAAAAAACTTCCACACGAACACCACACAAATGCACGATATAATTGAATGTCGTGATTGTTAAATGGTTTGCGTTATTTAATTATTCTCGCTTTTTTTCTTCTCTCTCTCTCTCTCTCTCTCTCTCTTTCTCTATAACTTCAACAATTAAAATATATAATTTAATGACACACAATTTTTCATTCTATTCATTTCTTTTTACACTCACTACCATCTACATGCACCAATTCACACTTTCCGTTCGCACAGCACTCAAAAGTCGGAAGAATTTTTTTTTTCGTACACTGAACTGAACAGAAAAAAAATTATACGATTTTCGAAATGAACACACACAATCTCTCTCAACAGGATACAAAATGTGACGATGATGGAAATATACCGAAAATCGTTGAGAATTCGCCAACTTCCGGACACGATCGACAAAAAAAATATACAACAATTGGACAAAATCAACAAACTAAACAACAGATCGTTCGCGAATTCAATATTATCTGTGTTTTACTTGTATATTTACAAAATATACGTGGAACGATGTGAAACTTGTTTTCAATACCATAAAATTTCTCTAATTATAATGGCGTTCAATGCGTACGCATGCTCAAAAATTCGCTCATTTATTCGCCTGAAGTTGATGTTTTTATTTTTCTACTTCGCAATAGCACAATGCAATTGTATGGGTGCGTATGGTGTGTTTGTGTATGGTTTTTGGCATTGGCGTGCACACGCGCCTATGTATGTGTATGAGTGCGAACACACCAGTGTCGACGGTCTCGTGTTTACCCGTTGCTTTTGCGGTCTAACGGCACGATACGATGTTGTGGCATGTAACATGCGTCAATGTGTGTGCGTGCATCAAGTGTGCTATGTCTATCATGAGATAGATTGGTGTGTCAATCGTCGTTATGTCGCTGTGTATGTGTATGAATGATTTTGAAGTATACAGTGTCTGTATGTTCGAACTTGCAGCGGTAAAAAACAACCAAATGTCAAACTAGTTTCAAGAGAATTTTTCACTCCTGTTCGAAATCAACTTCATGTAGAAATCAACTGTCGACCGAATCGTTCGGATAACAACGGACTTTGACTTTTTTCTTTTAAACATTTTTTTTTCGACTGATTAGAATGATGACTTCGTTCATGGACCTCGGAAACATTTTTCAAACGAATAACCTTTTCCATGCACACAAAATGTGTGAATATGATTGTGTGATGGAATTCTTGAAAGGATGTTTTCGAATTTGAATCGGTCGATTGTGAATTTTTTTCATGACTTTTTGTTTGTTAACAATACTTTGATTTAAAGTGGACAGTTGACACTTTGATAGAAAATGGAACTATTGTATAAAATCATTTTCAAAACAATAAATATGTTTAACCAAAAAATATGAAGCCAATCCCATGCTTAACGTACAGCCCATACTAGATTTCATGATGAATTCGCTGTTTTTTTGTACTTAATTCAAATAGGAAAAGTGTTCTGTTGAGCCAAGTACTTACGGTCTTGGGGAATGGACTATTTGTTTCATATTGAGTATTTTCCTTGTTTTAAACTTGTTTTCCGAAATTCGGATTTATTTTTTGTATAGAGTAAAATTCAAACAATTTCCATATTATATATATAAAGCTGCAATATCGAAGAATCGAATGGAAGACGATGCATGACTTTTGTCTTTGGTAAACCCGTGGTTTAATTTTGTGCATGCCAATGTGGGAATATAGCATTTGGTACGATTGCAATAGCAACTGCAATTGGTCCGAGAGCCGGTTGTGTGGTGGAATTTCACCACCATCAAAAACCGGCATTCCGTCATCATTGCAATGTGTACATCATATGGATGCAAAAAGAGCAAATATTTCCAATAAAATCTGGGTTTTCTTTGAGTGGTTCAAGAAAGAAACCCATCGATACACCATCACCGAGCATAATAATTGCACAGTCGAATCCCAAAATTGGATCCACATTTCGAAGGCATGAATCAAAAACAAATATCCTGAAGCGACTTCATATCACCTGCAGCACCTTAACGACTATTTAGTCGACACACAGCATTATGAGGTATGGCACAGGATATTTTCGTTTCAATGTTCCGTTCCGTTCCGTTTGTATGCAAACAATTCCCGCTCGCTTTGCAGCCCTTCACATTTTGTATTCGAACGTATAATGCGATTATCATCGTCCATTAGTTGATCAAACATATGGAGCACATTTCATCGGGACTCTTTCCTTTCCAAAATTCCTATGAATCATCGAAATGCCATGATGTGGTATAGTACTTTTTCTTTTTTTTATCGGGCTTGATGTGTTGCACACCTTTAATGCCTTTTGTTTAATGGTTTTGATCTGATTTCAATCCAATGACCGAGGCATATGCGTATAAGTGCGTTACGACCACAAATATGTGCCAGTTTCACTTGGCGAATGAATTATAAAGCAAGAGATAGTGTTCATCGACTTGTGCGAATCGACATTAAATTGATAACTGCAGTAAACAAGCAAGATTTTCAGAGTAATTTACCTTGACCGTAGCACTGAGACTAAAATGCATATCTCCACCACAAATTCCAGCACATCTATTCGAAATTCAGCCCTGAAAACAATTCAGTGAATTGAATTCACGATATATGCTCCCAAATGCCAATAAATTGATTAGCAAACAATGATCTTTTGTTCAAATTTGGAGCAATTTGTGAATACTTTATTGTCATAATATGTTCTTAGTATTTTAAATCGTATGTATCCATTCATTGGACTGATGAATTATACTTGGAGAGCATTCAATGCTTAATATTCGTTTGAATCTAAGATTTTGATTCCGAATAACAGTTTATCGTTACTATTCTAGTTTTAGTAAATTTCACTGTTTTCCAAAAGTTGGAATGTTGGTTGCCTTTTGAGATGTAATACGGGTTTAAGTAGATAACGAAATGTAATGAAAATGAAATGGGAATGATGAAAGTATGGTCCTACGAATAGGATAGGAAGAGCTGCGTTTCTGGGTCATCTTTTGGCATGGCAATGCAAACGACGGCACATCCATCACCACCCGTTTCATCTAAGCTCTCGGCTACTTCGTTCGTTGCAATGTTTGACCCTGTGGACAACAAGATCGACAATATGTTATTCGGTTCCTAGTTTTTGGAATTCGTTTGATGTTCATACCGTCTGCTCGAGCGATGACTGCTTCGGCTACGATTTCGCCAATTTCCATTACGTCTTCTACTTTGCTCAAAATACCTTCGACGATTTCGTCGATTGGATCTGTGGCCGGTACTTCGGATTCAATGAGTGTTCCAGTTTCAACGGTTGCCTTCAATCCGATGGATGCCTTAGTTTCAATGGCTGTCTTAGTTTCGATGGGTGCCTCATTTTCGGTGGGTATTTCCGATCCAATCGTTGCTACATCTTGCGATGCGTTTGCAATGTCAACTTCTGTTGTCTCCGTGGCGTGTGACTTTGGCGATTCAACCTGTTCGATTTTCGGCTCATCGTGTACTTCAGATGTTTCCACTACCATTTCTGTGCCAGGCTCTTCTGTCAACGTTTCTTCGCCGTGTGGCTCATCAATTTTTGTACCAGGCAAGTGCATCTTCGACTCGTGTACGTCCAGACTGTCGAAACCGCGAAAACCTTGCGACAATGTTCTAAAAAAATAGAAAATACGCGACAGAATAAGTGGGTTATGGTCTATTAAAAAAAACTATAGTTGATAAAATATGACTGAGCGGTGCAAACTGGCCGCAAACATACGTTTCTACGAAAATAAAAAGAAGCCTCAACTCAAATAAATAACTTACAATGGCTCTTCCGAATCCTCTTCTTTGAAAACGATTGGCAGCTCATCGATGTTAACGCATGGCTCCGCCAAATTGGCATCGGTCGTTGGTTCCGTTATTGCGGTTGTTTCGGGTGTGCTCGTCATAGCCAATTCTTCCAAAATACTGTCGTCCACCTGCATTTCTTCGATAGCCTTTTCGTCTATTGACAGATCGATTGAACTCTTGTTCACCACATCAACTTCAACAATTTCCAATGTGAATCCTTCTGCGGAATCATCGATTGCATCTTTGCTCTGTGATGAATCCACCGCATCGGTATCCGAGCAATTGAGATGTGGTTCGTCACCGATATGCATGGTTGAGTTCAAATCGTCGTCATTCGTTTGATCGAAAATCAATGAACTGTCGTCCAGCATCGAAATGTGGCTGCTATCGCCAACATTGTTTTCCATCGATGGCACCGAAACATTCACGTTTTGATCGACATCCGTTGCATGATTGGGCAGAAGTTTTGACACAATGTTGGAAATTTTTGTCACGTCAGCCTTCATTTGACCCATGTCTTCGTTCAATTTGCCTAGGCTTTGTTTCATACATCGAAATTCTTCGGCATCAATCGGATCAGACAAACGTTTACGAATAAACTGTATCGGATTCTCTGGCTTTGGGTCAGCTGTGTGCAACTGCAAAAAAAAAAAACATTTTCACCACATTTTATTTTCGCTTAGTATATACAATCTAACACATTGAATTTTCGATGACACACACCAATGACAATGTTTCGGCAAGCGCTTGGAAAGTCTTTGTGTCAATTAAGTACTGTTTGAACAGCTTCACCTTTTTCACAAAAACAATACGAAAAAAAATTAAAAATCCCGCACCATGCCAAAAAAAACAATATTTCTTCGATGTACTGCGAATAAAAAGGACGAAATTAATTTACCTTGTTTGGATCCGCCATTTTAGATCGACACTTATCGCACCAAATAAACAAAATACGAGAATGATTTCACAACGAGTTGAATAAATTACGTCGCATCACATGGATATTTGACAGCAGAATGCCAAGCACGACAATGTGTCAAGTGAATGTGCTCGTGCTATGTCGTCTGCTCTCACTCTCGCCCATTCACAAAGTCGACACAACGAAAAACTCAAATACATGCCAATCAAGCGACACAGTTGGGTGAATTTTTGCAAATGCAATCGTCTCACACTCACAAAGATGTGTTTGAAATAGCGATTTGTTTTACGAAAGAAGCATCTCATTTGCCGATCTGAAAGAAGATATTGTTGTGTATACAATCGACGTTTGTGTGTGCACTGGAGAAGGCAAATTTTTTGAAGAAATAAAGTCGTTTGGTATATTCGATTGGTTTGGAGAATGCAGATCAATTCTTGGAATAACAAACAAAAGTGTTTAACGGTTTTTATGCAAAACCTGACAATCGGTTGTCATTGTTCAATTTATTTTCATGCTTCAATCTGAGTGGTTTCAATCTTGCTTTCTTGTTAATTCTACAATCAGTTTCTCATGGAAAACTTATTTTTGTTAACAATTTTGGCTTTTGTTTCAATATTTTAACAGGTTTTTTTTATCTATTGGAACAATATTCAATAAGAAAATATTCAAATTACGTTCGGAACATTCAAATCAAACGTAATTTTTCGTTATATGTGCTTCTGAGCATACATTATGATTTTACTTCATGACATGCAATTGGTCTTTGAACACACGGTTCAGTTGTACTTCATGATCGATTCGGTGTATGTGTGATTTTCCTTGCATCCAGCGATCAATGCTTGCCAATGTTTGTCGTGTGATAACAAATCCGCTTTTCCGATTACGATACACATCACACTGAAATTGAGGCCAATTTGATATGAAAAATGTTATACATATTTATTAAGGCGATTTATGATGAAATTACCGTGCACGTGACGTAGCCACATTTATGCGATTTGGACATTTAACAAAGCCCAATCGTCTGTTGACATCGACAGCAGTTTCGGTAGAGCATGTTCGAACGGTCGATATCAGTATGACTTTTCGTTCCAATCCTTCATACACACAGAGAGAGAGAGAGAAAGAGAGAGAAACCCGACGTTCAAAATCACATATGAAAAATGGAGGAAAAAAATTTATGAATTCAAAATGTGTTTCGTCAATGCATTCTGATATTGTGAATGTTGTTTAAAAACAAGTGAATTTACCTTGAAAATCTTCGATCGTACCAATTTTCATGTTCGGCTTAGGGAATTGTTTGTTATGGTACTTTTTCAGGGCTCGCAATTGAACTGAGTACGGTGTGATGATGCCGATATCTTCTTCACTTAACCCGGATTGGATTAGCTCCTCCACGAGTTTAACGGACTATTTCAATTAGAATTGGAATTTGTTCATTGTTTGATGTTTTAATTGTGGGTTTCAACACCACTTACCACATGAACTTCGGAAATGTTGTACCACGATGTTTTCCATTTTTGATTGCGGCTATCATCGACATTCACGAAATGGATGCCGTATGTGCCTGGTTTTTCCATATCTTGGAAAATTCCATGCAAATGCTTCAGTAGTTTGGCTTCGCGACTGGTTTCGGCATCGATCATTGGAATTAATTCAGATCTGTAGAAATTCTGGCTGGTGTATGCCAAAAGCGATGGCAATGAACGGTAGCTGTGAACCAAATTCGAAATCAAACGTGGACCAAAATATTTCTTATGTCCCGCATCCTGAGAACCGAGAAAACAAAACGATTATTACATCTAAATGGTTTAAGATTGGGGCTTTTGTATGTATGTAAATGAGCAGTGTTCTTACGTCATTGTTGAAATTAGAGTAGCATTCGATGAGACGGTCAAGCATTGACACAGCTAGGCCTCGGGTGTTTGCATGCCAATTTATTACTAACGGCGGCATTTGCATCGGATCACCAGCCATGATGGTTTGACCTCCTTTACCAACCAACACCATTGGTACAAGTGCATCAGTTTCAGTGCACTGACCCGCTTCGTCGATTACTGAATGAGTAAAGTGATTGCGAAGCGAAGCTGCTTCAAGCAACTTTGAAACGGCCGAAAATGTTCCAATGACAACACGGTATTTCTTCACGAGTTCGAGTCGTTCGAAGAAAGTCATCTTTTTTTGTTCTATTTCTTCCAAATCTTTAATGGTTTTGCTGTACATTGCGACATCGTCTGGAATGAATTCGGTTCGACTCGAGTAATTGTGAGATATCAAGCGTAGCAAACTGTCCGAATGGAGTTGTTTCGATTGAATCAAACGTTGTGTGATGAGATTCGATGCGCTATTACTTTGGGTGGTGATTAAAATTTTCGACTTTTTGTTCGATGCCAATAGCTGCAGAATGATTTCAACAAGCGTCGTCGTTTTACCAGTTCCTAGGATACGAAAATTCAATTTAAAAAGTTAATTTCAAGAGACATTTTCAATTCACAATAAACTTTTTACAACTTTGATTAAATGTTCAAGAATTTTTCTATCAAGTGATTCAAGTGGAAAAACATTTACCGGGCGGTCCAAAGATCAAATATGGATTTAACAAATCGCTTCTCATGATTTGTGTGACGGCTTGCTTTTGTTGCTTGTTCAAATTGTCATTGAACCATGGCTGCTGTTTTCCATTTCTGCGCTGTATCATTCCGTTATTTCCCTTCATACGCATATCCAACAGCGGAACACCGCGCAAACTTATTTCCTTTGGCATAAGAATGTCCATGCCATACAATTCTACTGCCAAATCAATGGCGAAATGTTGGCGCAAGAAATATGAGCGTGAAAAAGCAAATTCAATTGAATATGCTGAATGGTCGAATGTTGCAACGAAATCATCATTGAATTTGATCACAATTATATCGACATCTTTGACATCGATGATAAAACCTTCGTAGCTAACACCTAGCTCAGAATGCTTTCTTACGGTCAATTTATCACCTGTTAATCGTTAAAATCGAAATATTTTATTTTTCCATTGTACAATGTACATGATAGAAACAAGTGTTGAATCGGGCAATCGAACAAAACGAAATAATCATAACTCACCCACTTGAAGTGATGGTCGTGTTTCGTCGTTGAGTTCATTTACTTGTAAATCGTAAATTCCATGTGCGTAGTTTTGCTTAACTTCTTGGTCGTCTTTCTTAAAACGTTCTGTGTCACCAAAGTACGATTCGAATTTTTTGTACTTGTCATTGTACACTTCTTTGATTTCCTTGCGCAATCCTTCTTCCTCCAAATACAACAAACGATGAAAATGTTCTGGGTAGTTTTCCTCGATCGAAAGCAACCAGCTATCGAGAAAACCAAGCATTTTCGATTTTGCCATTCGTTTGTCGGCGTAAATCATGTGAATTAAATCTTCTGGTATATCATACAGTTCCCTCTGGATGACGGGCCCCCTTTCGCGATAGAAGATGGAAATCGACCGTCGAACCACTGTCATACGCTTGAAATGAAAGGCAACTCTGGCCACACCAACGAATCTATCCGGTACATAGACCGCATCGAGAATGAGCAACTTTTCGCCTCTTGGCTCGATGATCGCTTCGCAACTGCCACCACGTACCGTAACTGTCAGTATATCGATGTGAATGGCTTCTAAATGGATCGGCTTCCAAGTGTTATTTCGAATCAGAATTTCACAAGATTTATCACATTGATCGCGATCAAATCGGATGGATAATTTATCATCGACATCGAGTGCTGGTGGATGCTCTTTATGAAATTCCTTTATGCACAAATCTTCTTTCGGCAAATCAACGTAAAGCAATCCTCTCGTGGGCTTTGGCACTTCCACTTTTTTCACCTTATTTTTGCTTTCGCTTTTCACTTCATCGTTTGCAGCAACTTTAAGATCTCTTTCCTTAGCTTCGGCCTTAACACGCTTTTTGGACTCCTTTTTACCATCCATTTTGACATCTTTCTTGACTTCCTTCTTTTCATTCTCCTTGACCGATTCGTTCATACTTTTCAAAGCGGTGTCATTTTCACGTTTGATCGCTTTCGATTTGTCGACCAGTTTGAATGTTCGGGTCACATGCTTTCGACTGTTGAAATTGAATCGCAATGTTCCTTCGGTCGATTTGTTTGCCAGCAATTCTGCTTCAAATAAATATTCTTTTTGTTCACCAGCCTCAATGATGGCATGCTCTTTATCAAAATTAACTACGGCTACTGATCGACTATAGCTACGAACTTGATTAATTTTTACTCTACGCTTACCTTTGTTCTTTAGAGTGACTTTGAATAGTTTTTTTGTGTGCGATTTATCGAATGTAAGCTCTAAGTCGTCTGTGACTTCGATATCAGTTGCGAGCGGCATTTTTTTTTTCTATCGCAAATTAGTTTCGTTCAATGCAAACAGAAAAAAAAATGAAATTACCAATGCAAAATCTTAATCGGGCTAAACCAATCTGACTGTTTGTCGAATGCGAGGCACAATCACACGATGTGAACAGGTTCAAGTCTTTCGATAAAAAGAACGATACAAACTCATGTCGCTGTTAACAGAGTGTTGTGGCCGCTAGAGCGGCCGGTGTTCTCACCAATACAAATTCATGTCAAAACCTGTATAAAAATTCGTGTGAAATACAGTACACCTAGCAATGAGTTGCGTTAGAGCGGCACCGTTCAACAGGAGCTGTTTGTTTACTACACCAGCTTCTATGCCAATACATTTTACACATTCTCAATGTTGTACACTATGAAAGGTTTGCATCTCTCGCTCTATCCTGTGGCTAAGCCTTTGAATCAAATACAGCTAGAGGCGGCTGTGCTCACTTCTCGGAATGTTTCAAGACCATTACACGCTTGGCTTTCGTGAATACACATTCACAGTTGCGAACAAATCACTCGCGCCAAAAAATAATCCCTTCTCGTTTATGCTTCATCGGTCTGTGTTTAGTTTGGGCGATGTATTTGAATGTTGACCAATACGAAGTGTGCTGATGCCTATTTTCAGAAATGCTCTCGCAATGAAATTTCAGCACAAGCAAATCAACAACGTCCAAACCGACTGGAATGAGAGATAAGCGCTCGTTTCGATTAGTGGATATGATGCTGTGTAATATTATTTGATTTTGGCGCTTAAAAAGTTCCTTGCAAATCCATTAATTGAATAATCAAAATATACCCATAACAATATTGGCCAATCAATTTAAAATTAATTTACTGATCGATTTTAAAATGTTGTTTGACTAAGCAAACAATTTTCAGTAATTTGTTGTTTCAATATGGTTGTAGCTAAAACCGATTTTTCATAAAAATGAGTTCGTTCGACGGATGTTTTTTTCATGCTGAACATGTTCATAAACGAATTTCAATAGAATCGACTATGTTCTGAAAATAAAAGTATTCCTTTCAAAGCATTTTTAATCTTTTTAGTTTGGTTGTTGTTGCTCGAGTGTAATTCACATATCTTTTGTTGTGCTTGTGGCATGCTCTTGCACGAATCGATTGTTTACTGCTTTCAATACTTTTTTCTTGTACATTTTTCAATCCGATAAAATTGCAAAATTACTCTGATTCTCCGAATTTCATTTTTCTCTCGCCGTGATCGCATTTAGAGCGAGTGTTTAATGTTGGTAGGAATGGTTGCTTTTTCTTTTCATTCAACATTTTTATCAATTCTCTTTCTCTGGATCTTTTGTGCTGAGCTCCATTACAATCAATGTTTGCCGAACAAGTAAATTAAAGAATAGCACGTTTTCCACAAATCCTCGCATCTCTGATTTGCATATGTAAACTGCATTTCCATGTCCATATACCGTACCGCACGTACAAATATCAAATGGCGTCGGATTTTTTTTTCGTCCACTTTTTTCTTCTCTGAAATGAGGCAAATAAAAGAAATTCGTTGCAATGAATGAAATCGTGGTATTTAAATCATGCTAACATTTTTCTAGGAGCACAGATGGGATTTTACAATGAAGCCTGATACACTTTTCAAGCTATCCTGCTCACGCTAAACTCAGCAAATACACTCTCGTTGCAATGAGTTGAGGGATAATTCCTACACAAACGATTTCATCCCGCAAACTTTGAACGAAAAACAAACGTGTTAATGGTTTTATGCGCTGGGTTTAATTTTGATGAAGAAAAAAAAAACATTTAAATAAACATATTCAATTTGGCCATACTTATTTTAATTGGATCATTGAATTAAAGTTGCACATGGAAGTACTTTGAATGTGCTGAAATTGATAAATTCACCGATGGTGATGATAAATAATCAATAATATCCGTATTCCTTATGCACGTAAAATGTACCATAGAAACGCACTCTTTCGCGCCAATTTTGCCATTTGCTCATTGTGTAAAAAAAAACTGAAATTAGACTAACTCAAATCAACCTAATGATGATGAAAAAATGTAGAGCGTTCCATTTTGTACGTGTAGCTTCAACAAACTGTTGATGAAGACTGAATTTAAAATACGAATACCAATGCAGTTGCCTGAGTAGAGCGACATATTTTCCCATTCAAATACCTTTGTGACTATCAATGTTCTAATGAGTTTATCCAAATTATTATAGAAATTGGCGATTTCGAAGAACAATTCAATAAATTTGTTTTAATAATGGTTCATAACAAATAGACTATTCGAATCCGATTTAAAACAAGAAGGAAAATACCATAAATTATACCACTTTATTTCCACTGAAGCACAATTCGATTGGAGAACAGTGCTGTAATCTTTGGCAATATTAGCATGGCTTTAAAAATCGAAGTCGTTGTTTACTTTCGATTCAACGAAAATACTGAGTGCAAATAGGGAGCGTCGTGCAAAACCATCGTACTCGAAAGTTGTTTACAATATTCCAAACGCATATTGCCATCATTGTTCAAACGGTCGTGCATTATATTTCAAAGGTCAGCCGCCGGTGAACGAGAATCGTGAGCCCAACCGAAATCTGGGCGAATGCAATAAGTTAATTTAATTGTATAATGTGTCGAGTTTTGGCGCGAGTTTTTTTTCCCCCGTTCCATAGATACCACAGAAAATTTGCATTTAAATCGTAGCGGTCGTGAGGAGGTTTTTTGCCATGCATCAAATGCAGAGCCAACAATGGATGGAATAATGGAATAAAGTGAGCGTTGGTAATATGGTTAATGAAATGAGCATTTTTCACGCAAATTATCTTTCGATTTGAACAAATTCAATTTAATCCATTGAATTTTAATAATTCTTTTTTGTTTGCATTTCAGTTCAATTTGCCCACGAATCCACAATTCGGTTTGTCGATCCTGATTGAATATTCCGATTCCGTAGTAATTTAATCAAAATACGCAAATACAAAATGTGTACATTTTTTTGTCTCATTTGGTTCGGTCGTTGTGTCGTTGTACCGCTGTTCGTCTGCCGTCCGAATTCATATGCAATTATTTCTATGGTTTTTCGCTTCCTTTTTATTCAATAGTGTCATTTTTTATTGCGTGAGCCAGAGAAAAAAGATCTGATATTTATTATTTATTAATTTTTGGCAGTGAACGTAGAAAAAAAAAGATTGAATTTATTGGACATTGTACAAGTGGATGTCGCTTTGTTAAACCTGATTAACAAAAATGTTCGTTGTCATTTTGTGTTGTTGTTGCAGAGCAAAAAAAATGAAGAAGAGCGATGTATGCAGTGTCGATGCATAAATGTAGTATGTATGTCATCATGCAGCACGCATACACAAATGAAATTAAATTTATTTACAGATGATAGCATCAAAACCCGCATGCGGATCGTGCACATATAATTTTCCAGCAAACAAATGAAGATGATGCATGTATGCAATTGTGTTATTCCTTGCCATTTGTGCTCTCATCGTTTGCATTTTGTGTGTGTGTGTGTGTGTTTGTATTCTACTCGTCGTTTGGTTTAATTTCACTTTACTTTAGATGAAGCTGTGTTCTGGTTGATTTTTTCGTCATTATTCGCATGTGTGTGTGTATGTGTGGGTCTGTTGTTGCTGGCGTTGCATTTGTTCTCGTTGCACGTGATAACGTTTGTCGGTGTCTATTTTTCAGTTTTTAACTATGTCGTTGTCACTTTTTCCACACGCCGTTGCTCTCTTCGACGACGACGACTACGACGAACACTCCATCCAAACGTACACGGCAATATTGTAAGTGTTCAAACATTCTCTCGCTACCCAAGCTCAAGATGTGTAATGGAAACGCGCGCACCACATACAAACACGATTCGGCTGAATGCCGACGAATGCAGAAATAACAATTTTATCACAGCAACGAAATCAAGTTTTATGATGCAAAAGTCCAATTTGAAAACGAGCACGTACAACAAAAGCATTTTCCCATTTTTCTCCATTTCGTTTCGTTCGGTTCTATTTTTCGGCATTGTTGTTTTTGTCATTTGGTCGACGATATTTTGCGTATTTGCTGTTTATTTTACTTTCTTTTGCTTCCTTTCTCTGTAGAGAATTCCCTCTGCGCTCTCGTCGATGCAGTAGATTTTCACTCTTTCACAAATAGTACTAGATGTGTCAGCTAACAAATATATTAGTTGGCTTCGTGTGAATCGTGTGCATTGCACAATGCACATTCAAATGATTTTTGCTGCCTCATTTCACGTCCAATTGCACTCAAAACAATGGTCCAAGATGCGATGAGCCAATGTCATTTTTATGCAAACAAAAATCTGCACAAATTTTATCTCAGTTTTTTCTTCATCAAGATTGAGATTTAAGCATGAACATTCGCTATCTTCAATCCTGGAAAAATGGCAGTCAAAAAATCAAACCCGCACCAAATCCGGAACGAAGAAGTACAGTAATTCATTCTGACTCGAGTCGTACAGTTTTTTTATGCGCTTGTTCCAGAAATTATACACATTTTTCTGCTGACGAAAGAAGAATTTTTCGGGAAATTTTTTATCTCTTTTTCTGTGTGTCACTTCTCTTGTTATTGTTTCTTCTTCCGTCTTTTTCAATTAAATTGTGTGCAATTTGGTAGACTGGGGACACAATCACAGATTTTGGACGATGATGTAAACGAGACCATGCAAATACGTGCACTCAAATTTGCCGAAGAAAAACTTCTTACATCGACTAAAGAAAGAAGAAATAAAGAGTGTACCAAACAACATTCAACCAGCATAATTTAGCTGTGTCCTTGTGTGCTGGAATTGCTGTGTGTAGTAGCCAACGAAGAAAAATACGATCGAGATATCGAACATGAAAATTTGATAAATGAAAATGTTTTGAAAATTCAAGTTTTACGAAGTTTCGATGTTATTTTGCTGAGCAAAATTTGCTCAACCGTTTTTTTATGTGCTCTGTATTTTTCGGTTGTTTATTTCCGGTGACCTCGAGGCATGAATCTGTTTTGAAAAATGTCGTTTTTATTCAGATATGCTCATTCTTGTCTTATTATTACCGTTTTTGCTACATTCGACAGAGGAACATAACTGCGAAATGCTGCTGCAGCTGCTGCTTGCTGCAAAAGACCGAGAGCGAAAAAGATTTCAAGTGCTCACACATTAGATTCCATGTCATTCGGAATACTTTGAATAAATTCTCGGTTTCATTGGCATGTTCGTTTTTTCTTCGCTTGTGCATGGGATGGCAATTTTTCGGACATGCTTTTTATGCTCAACATATTAAATTTACATGTTCGAGCGGTTATCCAGGTTGCAGCCAAAATGACTTGATGAGATAACGAATTTGCATGTTTCTTGTTGAGTACGATTTTAAGCTTATCAAATTTTCGTATTTGCAATAGAAAGAAATGTTTTGAGGGAAATGAAATGTCTTCGCATTCTCTTGAGCAGGTAAATTGATTCGATTAACGAGTCAATTGGAAAGAGCATCTGATGCCGTACATCAAGAATGTGTACCTGAAATATGTTTGCATTGAAAAGTGAGTGAAACGATGGCCGATATGAATTTGGTGAAGAGAAATGGTCAGGCAGTGTGGTGTGTGGCTTTTGCCATAACCGATCAAGTCAAAAGTGATAATCTGCAAGGCGAATGGAGCAGATGCCTTGCAGAAGAATTACGTGTGGCACGTTGTACGTGCATTGAGACAAATTCAAAGTGATTATGTATTTCAAAGTTGTGCTAGCATAGCGGTTTCACATTAAATTTATCAAGTTACTGAACATAAGATCAAAATGTTGGGCTACACGACATCCACGGCGCACACTTTTCTCAGAATATGGTGAACGTGAACGCAGTATAATTATGATTGGGGGCTATTTTTCGGCCGAACAACCGCATCTATTTCGGTTCGGATTTTTTTTCGTTGTTGTTTTTTCGAGCATTTTACCATATACTTTTTTCACGACCACAGTTAAGCACAACATTTTTCGTCTATTTTAAACAGGTTTTTTTTTGTTCTAGGCACGACGCACACGCACACACACATACTTTGTTGTTGAATCGACAACTTAATGCAAAGAGCAAGAAAACGATTACAAGTGGGTACACTGTAATGTCAGGTAAAATAAAGGTCGAGCGAATTGGAAGAAGTACCGATAAATAAGCTACCATCGCCACCACTGCTCCGCTCCTTCTTCAACTTCTTCTGCTGCCGCCGTGCTGCTCTGTGTAACAAAGTTTTCCTCTTTATAAACATCGACGTCGACATCGACATACGAGCACATTACATTTGAACGGAGCGTAAAGTTTTTCGCTCAAGTTTGCCCATAAACGACCATTTAGTAGCATTCACGTAGCATAAGCATTGAATACCTAACGACAATGTTTCGTTACGACATTGTGATGTACCAATTTCAAAACGTATGCCTCAGAAGTGGCAGATAAATTTATATATTTTCGCTCTCTTTTTCTTCTTTCCTTGCTTTCGTACTCTCGGCATCGCTCTATTTCTTTCGTTCTCTCTCTGTGTCTCTCTTGCTATAAACGATAGATAAAATGGCATCAGTTGGACTCTTGTCATCATTCTCCTGCTCTCACTTTTCTTCTTCTTCTTCTTCTTCTTCTTCTTCTTCTTCTTCTCTTGTCTTTTTCTTTTCTCTTGCATGACGAATAACTCCTCGAAAAATTGTCTGGCATCGTAAAAGAATTTATATATTCTTGGCACATGTTAACTTTTTTTTTTCTTCCACAAACCGTTCTGTGTGTATGCCTTGTAAACACGTAAGAATTTTTCCGGTGGAGAAGAATCAAATTAATATGGCTGATGATGATAACGGTTGCATTAGCGCAAGAAGAACAAGTCATCCCATGTGTATGTGTGTGTGTGTGTGTATGTAAGTGGGTTATTTGTAAGAACTCAATTCGAATGTCAGAAACGAACATTTCACTCTCTCTCTCCCTTTCTCGCTTGCAGCCTTTTTGCCTGTCTGTTCGTATCCTTTTCCAAAAGCTCATTTGATGTATTCAAATTTATAGCAGTTAAATGCACATCAAACGAACGCATTTGTGAACACTTACCATCCAGTGTGCTTACTATGCACAAAAGACACAGATTTTCGAAATGCAAAAACTTTTTCTTTTCACCCTCCTGTCTGCTTCCTCCCTTTTCCAACAGCAATGGGATTGCTCACATGCACTTGGTCGGAATGCATCGAAAAATACTTTCGAAAAGGTACTTACCATTCGACTTTTTTTTCCATCTGTCTCCCTCTCGTTTTTTTTCTTCTTCTTTCTCTGCCGTTATATGTGTGGAATTGCATATAGGTACCAAAAATTCGTTTTGCATTCAGTTCGTTGCAATGACAAACCAAAAGAGGGAAAAAACTGCACATTCGCCACATTTTCAAAAACGTAGAGGACCCTCATCATTACAAGAGCATATGGTATAATTAAAAGAAATTGAAGACTTTAAATGAAAATACTTGATAACCCTCAGCTATTTCGGGTAAACTGCACCCATTTGCAATGTCACTGTACTCGTTGAACCCGAAGTTTATTTATATCGCTGGAATACATTGGTTATGCGATGGTCATTAACGTGGTAAAATGCAGAAAATATTTACCTAAGCCACTTCAAACGAAATCGACAGAGAAAATTGATGGAAATATCGGACATGAACACGAAGAAAATGTTCAACAAATAAATTGAGTTGAAAATAGAATAATTAGACAAAAATGAATATAAAAAAATCGTCTGTGTGAAAATCGGAATTTTCTTCCCATTCCATGCACTCACATGAGCATATCCAATGCATATAAGCTATCAAATGAATAAAAAACACTCACCATAAAATACATTTCGAGTGTTAAAACAAGTATGAAACGTGTAAAAACCCCAAAATCTGATTGTATTACAAAGATATTAAATGGCAATTAAAACGGTGGTAAATGAACCAAAATCGATTTAAATAAATTCCATTTGGTGGCCACCACGAGAAACCATTCGCAAACATTACGACAGTGTGAAAAAATATATATTGTATTTAACGAGAATATTTATTTGTAAAGAAACTAATTTGTGAAAAATAAAAACTGAAAAAAGCATCACGGGCGGACAAAAAAGAGGGCGTGGGGGGTGGATGGATCGGGAATTGATCAATTTCAGATAAAAAGGCCTAATGAAATGTTTATACTATATTTCGAGATTTCGAGAGTGGTGTATATTTGTTGATGCACCAAGATACGATCACATAGCTCAAATTGATGCCATTAACTGAATGACGGTAGAAGTGGTGTGATGTCTGTCGAAAGCGGTGAAAAAAAACCGAGCGGATCTCAATAAATAAATCCCCGTGGATAGCAATTTCGATGGACGCAGTCATCTAGTAAAATAGTATAGTCGCATGCACTTTTCTCTGTTTCTCTTTTTCGCGCCCGTCCAAATGTTGCATACAAACCCGATTATTCGAAGTGCAGCAGAAAGAAAGAGAGAGAATGCACTGTATGCGAATGATGTTTAATTTGATAAAAAAATCGATTTCAGAGATGCGAATTACTTCGCTTCGCTTCGCTTCGATAACACAATTAAAATGACTAAATAAAAACACAGTATGCGGTATACACTTTTGAAAATATGTACATTCATGTTTTATTTGCATCTCTGGTCAAATTTTTTCCCCTCTGACTCTATTAAGTGAGTTTGTGAGTGTGAGTGTGTTTGTGTATGGGTGAGTGATTGAGATCGTATCTCATTTTTCTGATAAGTGTATTTGCATTTCGTTCATCAATTTATTCGTTCATTCGTTAATTCGTTCATTGTCTGACAATAGAGTGTTTGCCATTTTTTTCCATCAATTATTATACTCGCAGCCACTTGAAACAATCTACGTTAGTAATTTTACAAATACCTACAATATAATTTTTCATCTCTTTTTTCTGTTCCTTTTTTTGTTGTTATGTACAATTTTGATTTCCTTTGATTTAAACTTTTTTTCTCTTTCTTACATCATATAATATAGATATTTATTTAATTTTTTTGGTTTTTATTGTAATTTATATTTAAAACGTTAAGTTTATCTGCTTTTAAAAAAATTATTCAATTAACTAGGCAAAACTTGAAATAAATGGCTTTTTTTTTGAACGACAAATAAAAAACAATGGATATTTAAAATTAAACGAATTCCTTAGAAAAATTTTCCTCTCTTAAATCTATAATCATACCTATAGGTATTGTAATTGTGATTGATTATTATATAACATTTTTGATGGTTTTGACTTGTTTTGCGTCGCACTACAACATACACAAAATTCAATGGGATTGTGTGTAGCCTCACTTTATGTAGTTTGAGGCGGTTATTTTACAGTATACCATATGGGAGCATATGGTCAGAATAACGAGTATACAAGTGTGTTTATTTTGTGTTTGTGTGTGGGAGGGAGAGTGAGAAATGCATCATGTATTTCACACAAATTCCAATAATATTTCTGGATTCGAATCATTTGATTTATAACGGATATACTATATCAAAAGTGAAATGTGCCATCTCTTTATATATAAAGAAATTCCAAGCTCAAATTTCCACTTTCAAAGAAAAGCTCAAACTTCCGTGTTCTTTCTTGTGTGTGTGTGTGTGTGTGTATCCATGGAAGCGCCTCTTTGACTTCTCAACTTTATTCATTTCCAATTCAATTCGATTTGAATTTGTTCTAAACCGGAAATTTGACTCACTTTTCTCCACTAAAAATTTATTTTTCCCGTTTTTTGGAGTAGACGAACAAAAAAATTTGCCTATACGATATGAATGGTTGACCATTTTTTAATGGTGTTCTATCTCTCTCAAATAAAATGGTTTAAATAAAATTCATCGTTTATATGTTTAGGTTTAATTATTTGTTGTTGTTCTTTTATCATCTATATATGGGCAATAAATTACTCATCATTATACATCATTTTTTTTTGGATTGGTTGGTTCAAGGATGTGTTCCCTCTCTAATTGTAATTATTTGGTAAATTAGCTTCAATTTAATTTTGATTTGCATCATATTGTTTGTTTGTTTATTTACGCGTTGTGTGTGTGTGTGTGCTGCGTCCAAACACAACCATTTGGTGAGCCGGAATTTATTGGATTTATACAGAATTTATTATTATTTTGTTGTTGTTGTTGTCGAGCCTTCAATAAAATAATGCCCTAGCCACTGCACAATGCACATACAAAAGGTGCTGAGAGGTCAGACGCAACATTTTTGAAACTTTTGAAAACTCTCTCGCACTCTCTCACCCATTCGTTCGTTCATTCTCACCCATTTTCCATTCGACGCTTTCAATTTGGTGAGAGAGCAAGCACAAACAATTGCGTACCCTATTTTAATATCCTATACATTAATAATATCATTATTTTACATGTAAATTAATGTTTTTAATTAACCAATTGGTTAAAAACCTGGTTGAAAAATGGCTCCCCATTCGTTATCATTAGCTGTGTGTGTGAATGTTTTTTTATTGTTTATATTGAGTTCGGCTTTTGTGAGTGTGTAACTGTGTATGCTATTGAAGTAAATGCAGTTAAGTTGATTTTAATTATTTATGGCTGGTATACACTGTTCGCTGGCATCATAATCGAAATATTATTATGTTCATTGAATGCGAGCGACCGCGGCCGACACGATGTGTGTGTGTGTGTGTGTGTGTGTGTGAGTGGAAGTGAGAGAATGAACGCAGTTTTTTGTCTCCTTCTACGAATGCGTTTAATTGGCAAAATTGTTCAACAATTTAATATCTATTGCATTATGTATGAAGCATTGTGCTTCGTGTGGGTTTCGAAAATCGCAAAATATTCCGTAATAGATGTAAACATTAAAAATTCAATTTTAATCAATTATTTTTCCACTTGCACATCTGCGCCACACATATTCACACAAGTGTGAACTGCACACGCAAAAGCCTCAACGTCAATGTGATTTGTGATTTTCGTATGGAATTTTCAAATATTAAATCGTGCCGGAAAAAAAAAATGGAGATGAATTTGGTGGTAACACGGAATTCACCTGCACTGCCCGAATCAAAGTGGTTAATAAATTGAAAATACCATGGAAATTATGATGTTTCAGATCAAGTCTATGCCGGTGTATACGCAAGAAAGTGGTTAGATACTCTATCTGTGTGTGTCTCTCACTGATTTTCAATAGCATGGCAAATCAGATAGGTCCGATGTTTAAAGCGGATTATAATGATTATTCGTTTTTTTTACCTGTCGCTTTTATTCCGGGCCAGAGCCATTTTGAATGGGAATTGGAGGAAGGGAATCACCGGACCGTTTACATTAGGGTGACAGCTGTGACGCGCTAATCATCATCAATTTTGATTTTATCTTGTGTCACCATCGGTGCCTTTCTCTCGGTGATACATTCGCCAGTTGTTACTGGGTATTGTTCCGATCGGACGCCGGCATGTTTGTAATGTCGTGTAGGCTTTGCAATATTCGATATCTTTTGATAACCATCATCCCAAAAGCGTGTAAAAAGTTTTCCACACCCAGACGAACAACAGAATAGAACCGAACACAGGCAGGGAATAAAAATCCAAGAGCTGTTTAAACAATATTGTCTTGTTGTTGAACTTGTTGTTTATCAGGACATCAATTTCTCTTTTTTTCCCTCATTCTTTTTTTTTGCATTCGTTTCGGTTTTTCTTCGTGTATTTGTTTGAGCAAACTTCCACCACGTCGTTTTGGGCTTAAGGTGAATGTGTATCGATGTCATGATGAAACTCTCACTGAATGTTTATGTAAAGTGATTATAAAGTTGCTCTTCGGAATTCGAATAAAGTTTGGTTTTGTTCCTCGAAATAGAAATATCAATAGAAATGGACAAGGAAAACGAAGCGAATGGACTATTTATTTTTAGACACAATTTTTTGTTCGCCAATATTCAAATAGATTTCACTCACGTCGTCATCTGCCCACGGATCCGGGTAATTAGAATATGTAGATTGTTGTAGTCAAACAATCGCATTATTTATCCATGAGAAAAGAAAAAAGAAAAAACAACAACGAAGGAAACAAGCCGACGAAAACGATACCTAACTACAGCAAAGCAATATATGCAAATGAATCGGTGATGTGAAATGAGCTGTGTATAATTGTCGTATCTATGCATGTTAGCAAGCGATGTTTGTTGTGCCGATCACCGTGCCCGATATACAATTTGGTGGCGGCGGCGGCGGATGCATCAGGTGCTGATTGCAATTGTCGCGTGCATCACAATCGGTATACGGTATCGTTGTGAATTGCCGATACGATGTGTTGTTGTAATCGGGTGGCGGCGGCAACAATTGTGTCTGATTTAGTTCAGGATGATTTAGATGCTGATAATTTAGCTGTTCGGCTTGGTTAAGTTGCTGTTCACGACGTTTTGCATTTTCAAGTCGTCGCTTTTTCAATTTCAACCAGCCCAGTATCGATACAATGATAATGAATACAAAGATACCAAGACAACAGCCAACGATAAGACCAAGACGTCTGGTGAGTAACGAGTGTAACAGTCCGCCGTCGGTTAATCGGTTTTCTTCGGTGATTTGAACGGGTTCCGCAACTAATGTTTGTGCTTCAATGCACCGTGAAATCGGTGTATCAATTTTCGATTTCATTAGACCATGCCTAAACTCCCAGTAAATTGCCTCCGTTTTATTTTCAATGGTATGTAGCATATTTTCCGAATCATCCACGTCAAATCCAGCAGCAAATGGTTCGTCGATGGCCGATACCAGTTTATCACTAAATTGATTTACCAAATTATTATCGGCCACCATATTTGAGACGTAGTACATTGTCATGGCCGACGATAGGCGATTTCCTAGTCCAATTACACAGATGCGATATACTGTGCCCGGCGATAGAACATTCAATTTGGCCGAACGTTCGAATGCGTTGACGTGCATTGGCAGTAGCTCAGCCTGTGTTAAAATTGAAGTAAAAGAGAGGCAGAGAAGAAGAGAAATAGATTGGAATTTAAAAAAATTCTAAACCGATTAAGACAACACACTCGAAACTATGTGTGACACAAAAATGGATAGACAGTTGAATACTCACATCATCAACACCACCGCCCTCGACGGCTTGATAGAATATTTCGAAGCCACTAAGTCCGTCATGCTCTCGATGTTGCCACGACACATTCATTGAATACCGTTGAATGTCATCGATTGTCACTTCAGTGATTAACGGGCAAAATTCTTCGGGTGTAACGGTGGCAAACGGCCGATGTTTCAAGGATATCGGACTATCGCATTTGATAAATCGCTCTGTCGAATGCATAATTTTCTGATGATCTTTAATCCAATCCCAGTGTGTCTGCGATTCACAGGAGCAATTATACGGATTATCTGCAAAATTGGAATGGCCATTAGAATTTCGAAACTTTTTTTTCTATTTCACACTCATACACAAACGCAAACAGAAGCTGACGGAAAATCCATAAAGTAAGGCCCAATAACAACAACAACAAAAAAACCAATCTGAACAGAGACGAAAAACAAAAATGTCACAACTTACGTTCCAATTGCAATGTTTGCAAATGAGTCTCCAGAAAATTGAGCACCTCCAATGGTAGCTGTTGGAATTGATTCTCTCGCATGTCCAACAATGTTAAACTGTTGAGAAAGCGAAAACTGTCAACGATAACCGATGCAATACGATTGCCGGCCAGTCGCAATTCACGTAGCTCGTGCAAGTTTTGAAGTGTATTCCGATCGATGCGCTCCAATTGATTGTATGAAATATCTAATGATTCTAAATATGCTAATTCAATGGTAAATTCGTCCAACACATGAAGACGATTCGTTGATAGATTCAAGCGCCTCAGCTGCACCAAACCGTGCAAACATTCTCTTGGCAAGCGCTCCAATTCGTTTACGCTAATGTCTAATGTTAAAAGATTATGCAATTTTTTGAATGCATACGATGCGATGCGCTGCAAACGATTCTGCATCAAATGGAGATGCTGTAATGTGAAATAGCCATCGAAATCGGAGCTACTGATCGCCGTTAGATTTGTATGGCTGATGTGTAGCTCATTCAAATGTGGTATGATGTAACGTGTTGTTGTCGACGGTGTTTCCAGATTTTCTGCATCATGAATACTGCTGGCAAACGGATTACCTGTTGTTGTTGTGTGTGTGTGTGTGTGTGTTTTTTGTGTTTGGGGTGGGTCGATTGGTAGGTAGGTAAATGTGTGAATGTGAATGAGCGCGCAGCAATCCATGTGATGACGGGTTTGTTGAAATTCAAATGCGAGGTAAAACGAAAAATAGAAACAAAAACGAAGACAGCACACCAACCGAGAGATGTGGTAAAAAAGACAGGAACCAGAGAGGAAAAGAGAAAGAGAGAAAGTGAGAGAAAAATCGAGATGAAATCGAGTTGTTAAAATCAATGAGAGCGAAATAAGCGAGTTTTGCTGGAATTTATGGTTGAACGCATGAATATGAAAGAGGAAACGTGTGCAAACTGGAAACACACAACTATCGATGATGTTAGAATAACAACGATAACACGATGTTTTTATTGTGTTAAAAGTAGCAAACGAACTCACTTTCGAGTGCACACATTTGTTTTGCCATTCAGTGTTCGGCTCCCGAGTGTAAGTGAATTTATGTGTTTAATGAATAGTTCGTTGCACCACATGACGACGACGTAGATAGAGAGAGAGAGCGAGCGACGAGTGTGTGATGGAGTGAAGTGGCCGCGGGGAAGAATGGGGCTGCTGGTTGGGTTGAAAGCTCTCGAACACTTGAATATATATATGATATTTGTGGTTTATGATAGGTGCAACGGTTTGAATATAGTGTTTCAACAGAACTCGAATGCATGTTTTATGGTGAAATAATAAATGCCTTCTCGCGACCGACCATACCGACAGCGTAACATGCAAATCAAAATAAGCACAAAAACCGCCTGCCATAGACATTGGACGAATGCTGTGAAAATGTGCGAGAACATACACACACGCACACATTTTGCATATATTCGGGAGAAATTAGCTAGGTGAAGAGATGTATAATGAAGTTTTGGCACTAAATGAAATTCGCTAAATAATCACGTCTCATCAAATTCAAGCAAAACTCATGCTGTCACATCACCAGCACTTGCTGTGCACGCTACGGTACGGCACGGCAAGCGAACGCGGGGCTGATGAGTGCAAAAGCAAAACGCTTAAATACACCACAAGAAACTTCTCTGAAAACCGAAACTGACGATTGTCAATTCACAATATTCAGAGTATAGAAATAGGAAAATGGTTTGACATTTTCTATTTGAATATTCGTTCCAACGTGTAAAATGTTTTACCTGATAAATTCAGCCAATTCAATTGTGATAGTACATCGTCCATAGAACCACCGCCGCTAATGCTGCTGACACTCGAACTGCCAATGAATGGTATATGCGGAAATCGATTCGATGCTAAATCAATGCGCTCCAGTGCAATTGAATTTTGCAAAAAGTTTTTCGGTAAATCCATTAGAATGTTTCCACTCAGATCGACCGATATCAATCGGCTTAAATTAACGGCACCAAAGCCACCCACCGACGATAGCACATTATCGTTCGCACTTAAATGCCGTAAATTTGGTAAACCTTAAAGCAAGAAATAGAGAAAAAAGAAACATGGAATCAATTGAATATAAATGTTTCAAGCTGTATACATATATATGTGTGTGGGTTAATACAAACCGTTGAGCTTAAGAAAGTCGAGCGTTGTCAAAATATTATGCGACAACGACAACGTTTCCAGTGTGGATATGTTGTGTAAGGCAGCGTACGGTAAATCACTAAATAGATTTCGCCTGAAATGTAATTCTTTGAAATTGTTCAGGCCATAGAATGTGGTCGGTTCGAATGTCTTGAGCATATTGTAGCTAACATCCAATCGCACTAAATTCAAATTATGCCGGAAAATCATTTCGGGCAGGTGTTGAAAATGACAATTTTCCATTAAAAGCGTTTCAAGCATTGGCATCTTATCGAACACCATATCCGTGGCAATGGTGAAATTGTTGTGTGACAAACGAAGCGTACGCACGCTGGGCACATCCAATTGCCGTACGATGTCAAGCGTTAAATTATTATTTTCCAAATTCAATTCGATCAAATTATGCAAGCCATTAAAAGTGCCCGCATTGATTTGTGTCAACGAGCAATTCTGTAGATTCAAGTATGCAATGTCAGCGGCGAATGTGTTGCGTGTCAATGTTACTATTGGATTATTCGACAAATCCAAGCGATTCAATTTTTTTAAATTGACAAACGCTTTCGTTTGTATTTCGGTGATTTCGTTTGCAGCCAAATTCAACTCTTCCAGTGATTTCAAATTTTGCCAAATGCCACGTTTAACGCTCTGCAGCCGATTCGCATGCATATCAATGTAACGAAGATTTTCCATTTCATTCCATGTGTTCACCGCAATGTTTGCAATGCGATTGTTATACAAGTGTAGTCGCTCCAATTGTGGCATATCTTTGAATAGGCTACGGTCCAATTTGGTGAGTTGATTATGATTCAACCACAAAACGTACACATTCGCCATGGCCTGAAACGTTTCATTGTGAATGTCAACAATGTAATTTTTATCAATTTCAAGGGACAGCAACGAGGTCGAGTCAGCCGGAAATATTCGTGGTAACGTTGTTAATTGATTTTGCTGTAAACTTATGTGTTGCAGCTTTTTCAAACTGTCAAATGCATCCTCCTCAATCGTTGTAATCGAATTATTCTGCAGCTGCAATTCAATCAGTTCGGGTAACGAGTAAAATACCTGCCTGCGTATGGTGCGAATTTTATTGTAGCGCAAATGAATTTCGCGTAAGCCTTTTGTTACATCAAACAGGCCGGGCTTAAGATCACGTATGTTGTTACGGTCGAGGCTCAACGAAATTAGCTTTTCCGTTTGGTTGAACAGCGATTGCGGTATGTGCGTAATGAAATTTGAGCCCAAATACAGTTGCTCTAAATTGACCAACGTACTGAATACGCTCTCGTCGACACGGCGAATTGCGTTGTTTTCCAAATAAATCATTTTAATATTCGTGGAATTGGTGAATGTATCGACGGGCAGGTCGAGTATATTATTATCGGATATGAAAATATCTTGAATTTCGGGCAAACCGACAAACAGACCGGCAATCGAATGCAAATGATTGTTGCTCAAATCGCATGAGTGCAATGCAAGGTTCGATTTAAATAGGTTTTTGTCCAAATGCCTGATATTATTGCGGCTTAAATCGAGCGATTTCAATGCCACCAATGAATCAAATGCATTGTCGGCTATGTGCATAATGCCATTGTTGAACAGCGACAATGTGGATATGTTTGGGAACATGGCAAATGCATCGGATTCAATTTCGGTGAAACGGTTGAGATCGAGAAATAGGTACATCAACGATGGCATCAGTATCGATCGATTACCCTTGAACATGGTCGACATTTCGTTGGATGTGAGCCGCAACGAGCGCAGCCGATTCAATTTTCGAAGTGACCGCAACGGAAACGCTTTTATTTTATTCTCGGATAAATCGATTTCCGTGAGTGATTCTTCAAGACCGGCAAATGCATATTCCGGTATGTTTTCCAGTGCATTAGCTTTCATATTTAATTTGACCAAGCGAAGCCCATAAAAACTATTTGAAGAGTTGGCAGGAGGGGAGAGAAATGTTCGAAATTGAGATTCATTAGAGAGACAAATTTCAGTGTCCAAAAAATATGTATAAAATATGTACTTACAGATAATCGTGGATGCTCGTAATGCGGTTCGATTCGAAGTCTAGCTCCATTAATTTTTCCATGCCAGACAGCGCATTCCTTGGTATCTGCACACAACGAACGTTCCGAATCGATTGTATCGCCGTCGAAATATCGAAAAAGCGAAGTTTGGGATTTTCGCGTCGATGAATGCAAACCAATAAAAATTGGTGAATGGGAAGAAAGAGAGAAAAGAAGGAAGAAAAGAAAAATGAGGATAAATGTGCGAAATGTCCGTTCACCAAGAAATCCATTGATAACAACGACGGCGGCGGTGGTGGCTGTAGCGTTTTATGCTATCATCATTGAACGTTGAGGTTTTTCGATAGAGAGAATTTTGAAGCGAACGAAGGAAAGAGAAATAGAGCAAAGTTCGGCGCGATTATCATGCCAAACTGTCGAAAATGGATTTTAATAATCGGAATTCATCGAGGGAATCCAAAAACGGTTTTGAATTACCAAATAGTTTAGTGAATATTTGATGATGAAAAGCACAGCGCATGGGTGCGCGTGCATTCATAAAAGGCTACAGCCATATCTCGCGTCCGTAGTTCCGAGTATTTGTTTAGCATGTACCACAGCAGCAGCCGTGTACTCACCTGATTTAATTTACTGTTAGTTATGGCAAGCGTTTCCAGCATTGTACGTAAATACTGCAAACTATTGTCCTTCAGCATGCTCAGTTGAGTGTTGGAAAATTTCAAATTGCGTATATGGATGCCATTCACGAACATATCCGACGATATTGATGTGGCCGTTCGATCGAAATCGTACAACGATAGCGTTTGAATGGGTGATTTAACGATTTGAAGAGTTGTACGTAATGCCGTCTCCGTTGTTCGCGGGCATTCAAGCTGAAGACCTATTAAATGATTAGCACATTAAATGAAAATGAAAATATGATGTGAGAGAAAAGGGAGTGAGTGAATGGCTGAAACTGGGGGAATGGGGAAATGATCATAAATGAAAATGTAGGAATCACGAGAGAAAGCACTCTCTTACTCATTCATTCATCGGCCGTCTATAGTTCCATAGAAGAGAGAGTTTCGTTTTTTTTTCTACTCAGCACACAATGTGTTTATTGTTTTTCACCCGCATTATACAACCGAAACGAAAATGAGCATTCCTCTCACTCTTTTGGGTCTATGTGTGTGGTAATCTTTGTGCGAAGTCATTGAACTTTTACAATAGCACCTAATGTTCATTACTCTCTCACTCCATCGCTTCGGTCGATGATGATTCAACGCGCACCAACTATTCATTTTTAATCAATTTTTCGCACACACACAGCAAATACACCGTTTGCTTCAGTGAACAGTACACAAATATTGACAAAAGGACATTGTCGATGGAAAGGATGGGCGCAAAAATGTGCCCATCTAAATTGAGACCCATTTCGCATGAAATCGGTTGCGTCGCCATTTGATGTGTAATAGATGCAAGTTTGCGTTTCATATCAAAATATTTGCTGTGCACATTGCACAATCGTAACGATAAAAACTTATTTAAATAGATTCGAAATATTTTTCATTCTGTTTGAATTAAAACAAAATACACGAACAAAATTCCAATTTCAATGTGCAGCAGCAGCAGGAGCAGCATCAACAACGACGCAAAACACGAAAATCGTTGTGCATTCTAAATGAGCATTCAATCGGGTGTAGTTCATCGGATCGAAAGTCAAAATGAAAAATGTTTTGAATTTGTAATTATTTTGCGCAAACAAATGGCCTGATTGCTCTCTCGCCACTAAAATAAATTTTAAATAAATAAATAGTTTATTTTCCGAATTTTAAGCGCATTTTCCGTGCAATTTGCTAATGTACAGCACAAATTTCGATCGATTTCTCATTTCATCTAACAAATGACCGAATGTAGTTTCTTTTTATTTGCGATTGCTATGGTTTTTGTGTGTGTTGAAGAGCGTTCGTGTGGCTGCAGTACACTATAAATTCTTCGCTTGATTGCAGCATTTTGTCGGAATGGAATAAATTAATTCGCGAACGTGGGGAATAGAATTGGGTGGTGTGTGCGTGCGTTCAAGCAATAGCACTGGGAATCGTGTATGCGTACACAAAACGGTGACGATGGCGATGACGATTAATTAACCAAATTCCTGTGTGAAAACATCAATCGAAATCTATTAAGAATGCGGTGTCAAAGCCACATTAACATAACTGTCGAACAAGGACAGTCGCTCACTTGGCGAGCTGTTGCTCGTAAAACGCAAACACAACGGCGAGAAAGAGAGCGAGCGACAGAAAAAAAGAGCAACAAAGAAGAAAAGTAGCAATAAGTAAATGTGTGCGAATGTAAAACGTGAAATGTTCCAGAACATAAACGATTAATTATCCGGTTCTCGCTTTAACACTTTGCTTGAAGTGCTATTAAATAACAGCGATGCGATAAGTAAATTACGGTTAATGGTGGTTTTTCCTTTTGTTCGTTTTTCGTCTTTTTCGCCCAACAACACCAGCGTCATCATCGTCATTATCGTCGTCATCGTATCATTTCATCGGTGTGAAAAACACAAGCGCGCGCGATTTCTCTCCGCGTCGAGTGTGAGTGGTTTGGAAAGCATTAGCTTAACTTTCAGTAAGTCAATTCTCTTAGTGTAATTGTGTTTTGGTTACGTATATAGCTAATACCTTTGGCTTTGACAATGGAATGACCAGTGCAAGGACATGACGATTGAATTGATGAAAATGGATGCGATTGTGCCGGTTGTTCACTCGTTAAGAATCACACAAATGTACACCATATAAGTACACACATACGTCACCAACCCCATCGTCGTTGGATCCCTTCGTTTCACTTCTTCTGTCTTACGAGGTAATTTTTATTTTTCGCACGATGCCCGAACATCAAGAACTGATAGTAAATTCATGAAAAGAGTCGAAAAGGGATTTAATGGTCATTCGTTTGGGTTTCTCACCCGCCTATTCGCATCAAAGTAAATACACGCAATTGAACTGCGTTTGACCCCAAAACGGGAAAAATGGAATAAAGCTGTATTTTCCATGTGTCAACTATTTTCGCATTCGAGTGGGGACGCTTTCTCTTTTTCTCCTTTCTTTTTTTTAGTTTTGTTTTCGGTGTACCTCACAAAGTCACGGTTCGTTCACCAGTTTTTCTTTCACCCGTTCCTCTGCTGTGTTGGTACGGTGTGATGTGTTGTGTGCGTTTTTTTCTTGCCATTTCGATTTTGATATTGCACACGATCCGTGCAATATATAAATATGGCAGAATGAACCGGTGTCGCAGTAAACGGTGAAGAGATTTGTCTCTTGACTTTTGTACTTTGCCATAATCGTATATTATCCGGAAAGAGAAAGAAAGAGAGGGAGAGAAAAGAATAAAACAACCGCAACAAGTCACACAGCGCACATGATAAGGGAAACGGTTGTGAAGTGAGAAACATCTGCAGAAAGCCCGAATGAAGGCAAAGGGTTTGGGTTTTTCAGTTATATTGGATGGTGAGAGATTGTCAGTGTATATGCAACGTGAGTGTGTTTTTTTCGGGGTGCGATGTGTATGTGTGTGAGCGACGGTGTTATATATTGTGTCTATTCGACTTTTTTCTTTCCATCTTTGCTATCCTTTTACTTTTAAGCACATTCCATTCGTTTAGCCTCATTTGTAATGTTTTGAAAGCCAGTTACCCAAGACGTATAGAGAGAAAACACCGATGATTTTATCTGTACGTGATCGTGTGTATTTTATTCATGCATGGCTATGTTATGTCGTCTGTATTCGCCTTTTCTCACGATGCCGTGCGTCTGTCTGTGTGCGCTTCTCCCACATTCATTTCATTTTGCTTTGTTTCACTAAATTCCAAAGCAATGAACTGAATGGTAAAATATCGCATCGTAATAGATGTATGAAGAGGTTAAAACCAAACACATACATGTATATATAACGGGACAATATGTATGGGTTCTTGCATTGTGGTGCTCGTTTTATTCTCATAACGAGCAGGCAAAAAACAAATCGAATGTGTGACACACAAAACAGCGAGAAACAACGCGAGCAAAAGAGCAAGGGAAAAAAGTGATGGTGCTGCTGCTAGTAGCTTGCTACCGCTACTGGGGCTGATGCGGTGAGATGTGTCTCCTGTCGATGAGCGACGATGGCACAAGCAAACGAAAGAGACAAAGAGAGAGAATGAAAGAGATATGGCTATGGCGTGTATATGTGCACGCGTTGGCCATTAGTGTTCTCTTCGCATGTTTGATTAAATATGTATGTATTACCATATGCAGAGCACACACCGAGCCACACCAAACCATGTACTTGATGCGGCTTTTGCCATGCAATTACACTTATGTGTGCACGTCGTAATCAAATATTACACACATCACTCCCGTGCTCCCCGCTTCTCTTCGCCTCTCACTCGCTATCTCTTGCTGTTTGGTGTAATCGAAAATGAAAAACCAACAACACGACATCGGGTCGCTTCTTTGCATTCCTGTAAAAGGGCTGATTAAATTTGTCATACACACACAACCCAACCACATTTACAATTGGTAAAAACATACACATGGAAAAAGAATCACAAGAAATCATGAGCTGCCGGCAAATATATCACATATAAACTAAAATACTGTATTCAAATCGTAGAACATTTTTCCAAAAACAAACTATGTCCAAGTGCTAATGATTTCATGAAAGTGTTCAAACATATATTCTCTACATATGCCGGTCAACGTTATGCGAACAGATTCATGTGTGCAGATTGACAAAATGGTTTGTGGTACTTGATGATCAGCAGATACTTTTAAATGCATGAAATTGAATATGAAAATGCCGTTCATAACATGTAGCCGCTTATATGATAAAGGCACATCAAGTATGAGTAAAATCGTGTGTTTATATGCGAATTTTCACATACATCAGATGCTATCTGAGCATAGGCAGACACCCAAAATAATCTAACATCAAAATTATTTACATTCAAAATGACGCCGAGATTTACTTTTAAAAACTGTCTGCTGTCCGTTCGTCCAAAAGTGGTCTCTCGTCACTCAGAGAGATTTTTCCGGGAGAAGGAATGAGAGTGTGTGAGGAAGTGAGCAAAAAATACAAAGCGAAAGAGACACAAAAAGAGAATGTTTTATGTGATTCATGACTCCAGTTACAACAAGCCATAAAACATAAACTATGCAATTTAGATAAGCATCCTTAGATCTAATCTACGTAAATTTTGACACTTACACTCACACACACACACACACACAAAACGCAAATAAAATGAGCAGTGGTAAATAACCGCATGCATACACATACATGCTCATATTACATGGGATTGTGTGACTGTTGGTCAGTCGAATGGAACTGTGCTAAAATGCGCCAGCCAGCCAGACATACACACACCAATTTTTTACTTACCATCTTCAAATTTATAGCACGGGCAAGCGGAATTTAAGTGAAAACTGGGACACTGAATCCGATCTGCATCGAAAAAATTGGATGGCCACGTTGATGCGGCGGCCGTTGGTAGCATTTTCGATGGTGGCGATCCAACGGCAGCGCCATTGTTCGCATCGACATAGGGCGGTGCTCGGCTAATTTCACTTATGATTATTGCATATAAAATTAAGCGCCAACAATGTGATAACTTTAATGCAATCACATGCATACGCAGCCATTTGACATGCCAAGTTTGATGGGCTGCTGCTGCTGTTCTGGCTGCCACTGCTTGTCTCGTAAATGATTTGGCGCTGGATGACGATGACAATGGCAACGATTTGTTCCGTTTTTGATTTGCTATTGTTGCTTTTGGCTGATCTAGCCGATTGCGGACATACCAAATCGTCATATTTGTGTTAACATTTCACTTAAAATTATCATATGATTTTGTTTTCTGCACTAAAATGCAAATGTGATTTCGGTGTCCGATGCAGCAATCGGCAATCTCATCAGCATTGGTTGTGTACACGACAGCGATATAGTCATTTGGTTTGATGAATATTTCATTTCAACATGGATTTTTCATTACACCAGCTATCGCCCAAAAACCAGATGTGTCGCAAGCCAACAACTGCGCGCTCGTGCTGTGGCCAGTCGAATTGAGTGTTGTTATGATTGTTAGATGATCCTATCCATTAGTGAAGAGTTTCTGTGTGGTGAAAAGAGAAAAAAGAACACAAAGAAAAATATGATTTGGTTAATACAGAGTATTCAAACGGCGGCGAAAATATTCTTGTTAAATTCGATGGGCAAGTGCATCTATCAATCCAAAATGATTTGAATACGCAGAAACATTTGCGAACTCATTTATGTGTGCTTTATTTGCACGGGCCTTTATTCACTCGTTTGTTCTCCCTCTATCTCTCTCTCTATCTCTCTTTACGAGATCCATCGGAATATAACGCAAAAAATACGAATAATAATGGACTGCTAGCGGCTTTCAATTGCAAATTCAGCGAGTTTAAGTAACGACCCACGCTGATTTACATAAATCCAATCGTCGCATTCAAAATAACCGAAAATGACAGAAAATAGAATTACGCCATAAATTTTAGCTCGCTCGTTCACTCTCTGTGGCATTTTTCGCATAGAATAAATGAGATACGTAGCAAGCAAACGAACCAGAGAGAGTTGAGAGAAAGAGAGAGAGAGAGAGAAAAACAAAGAGCAAAGGCAAAAGAACTTCATCAACATATGATACAAACACCGAAAATGGAAATAGACAATGGGCAACATTTTTGAGTTGGAAAACTTCATTTTCATCATCACGGAATATAATGCGATATGCTGAAATGATATTTACTATTGTAATAAATGGGCGCCAAAGCCAACGATGTTCGCCCATAAAGTAAACATAGTTTGAGCATTTTAGCAAGCTACATGCTAGATAGTAAGAACGCGCATTTAACCGCACAACCGCTTTTGATTAGCCGAATGTGTGTCTATATGTGTATGATGAATATTATGAGAATAAATGGGACAAAATCCACGCATGCCGAAACCGAACGATGAACATCCTCTTGATGGCCATGGATTATATGAAGCAAAACCCTTATTTGTCAAAACAATCATTCCATTCGTTTGAAGTGAACAGCAGTGCTCCTCATACACATAGTATTTTTTTTTGGTTCAAGGCAGAAATATTCGTAATTTTTGATGGAAACCAACCGCAAAAATTCAACAAAACTCCCATATACTTCCACATTTAATTGAGACAATTGTATTTGACAAAGCCCAAATAGTATCCTATCGTGTCGTATCGTATCGTATCGATAGATGTGCACGACTATATCAAATGAATAAAATTTATTTAATTTTCGGCATAAACTATTCATAAAATCGATTTGACTTGGGATGAGCCTTTTTCGATTACACCATTTGAATGTGGTGGCTGAACCGCCACTCGCTGCTGCTGCTTACGCCATCGCCATCTGTTCATGTTCACCACACACACACAAGTGAAACCACAAAACGAAGATAATCAAATAACGGGAATGACAAATTACATAAACATTTTATCGTGCACATAATTGACGGTGCGGTTGATGAAATACACTTTGGATTTGCCAAATTTTTGCCTCCGCTAAAAAACCCTCACCCGAATTTCGTATTCGAATTTCGAATTTTAACACTAAACATTCCACCAACGAGCCGAACCGAACCGAACAGTACATCATATTAAATATAAAATATATGCGAGTTTTCAAATGCGAGGAATTCAATGTGTGTTGAAGAGGCTATTATTTCATTAAACAAATCCTTTTGTTGAACTCCGGATATTTGTGCGAAAGCAATATATTTCCCATCAAATCAGACAAAGGGGATGAATTCGAGTTGCAGCCAAATCAAGTGGTTTTGATCCCGTCAAACACTCAACTGTAACCATTTGACTCGAACCCACATTCGTGCCAACGTTTTCGATTTGCTTGAATTGCGATTTATGTGTGTGTGTGTGTGTGAGAGAGAGAGAGAGAGAGAGAGAGGCACATGGAGTGTGAGTATTCATAAAATAAATCGAGGTAACGCGGCGAAAAATCTATTACTTTTCCGCAAACTTTGTTTGTTAAGCGAAAGTATTGGTTTTACTAGCCAAAATTTCATGACATCTCTTCTTTCGGACCACTATAACGTCGTGCCAAACTTCAAAAAGCACATATTTGTACACTAGGCAATGTAGATGAAAACAAATCCTATCGATCAAGACCTATCTGCCCCCAAAAATACTTTGTTTACTATGAAAAATGTGCAAAATTGCGATGTGCGTATGGTGTCGTTCGCGTTCACCGGATATCTCAAAAAGTTGGTGAAATAATTAAGATCTGTAAGAACTGAAAGTTTTGGCATGTCGAGACAAAGCTTCGGATTGATTTTGAGCCCATTCTGACCTACCAATTTCGTACCATAAGCCTCCGACTGAGGATATGAAAAACCTTGAAAAATGACACTTTTGTATGGGAAGTACCCGAAAAAAGCATTTTGCAGGGTTTTGGTCCAGGCAAACTTATGTTTTTTGCAAAAATAATGGGATTCTTTGAACAACTGAATAGCTATTTGCTCATAAATTTGGTCCAAAATCGACATTTCTTAATTACATTCGAAATTCTGTTCGAAAATGACACTTTTATATGGAAAATGGTCGAAATAGTTACTTTTCAAGTTCAAAAGTGCTATGAAAAAAGTTTTCATTGAAATTTTGGTTAAACATTAAGCGGGAGGTAAACTAAATTGCTGCAGAGAGGAAAAGTTTGGATTACGTATGTAATTCGTTTTATTTTTAACTGGAAAATAAATTAGATTCAATTCACTCTCTCAAATGAAATTCGTTTACACTATCAATTAGCGGAAACACTACGTCAGTGGATTTTATGTCCAAACATTTCCTCTCTGCCACAAGTTCATTTTGGCTTGCGCTCGTCTCATCCCGTTCTTTGCTGATTAGGAATCAATTAATCGAATCATATGCCAAAAATTCATTACACCATCAAACAATCACATGGCAATTAATTCGAAAGTAAACATAAGCGCAGCCAGTTTACTCAGTTCGCTCACTAAGCAGGAGGAAGTAAATATACTCACAGAGAGAGATAATGTTATAACTGACATTTATTAGTTTACAAAATTTAACACACCAAATCCGCTAAATGACTGAAATAATAGTGAAAATACATTTTATTTTATTGTTTGTGTTATAAAACTGTAAATAAAGCGGCATTTATTGAGGATAAATGTTTATCAGCTGCTCTTTTATAGCGGGATCAGTCAACATATGATCCTGAGTATGTAATGGAATAGATTTAATTTGAAAACGGCAATATCTACTTTGTATACCTCACAACCGAAAAAATTTCCAATTTAGACATTCTAAATGCTGCCCACAACGATGCTTTTGTGCTCGAATTATGCAGACAAAATATTTACAAATTATTCTCATAGGCAAACTTTTCATTTTCAACTATGTAAAATATTTGACAAAGATATAAACAGCTTTCAAAAGAATGTAGCATTTGTGATTGCAAACACAGATAATTTTCTCCAACGACATGGCTTACATATTTTAATGCTCTTGGACATTGTGAGTTCATGTCGAATTTATCAGAAAACACAAGATACTAGGGGCTAACCACGGTTTTAAAAATAACCAATAATGACCGACTTTAACATTTTTTATCATTTAAACAAATAAATTCCGATATGATCACATTTTGGTCGATTTTGCCCGATTTTTGCAGTAATTTTTTCGCTTTAACAAATGCATACTGTTCTAGAAGCGGGTTTTGGTGCATCCTCAGGATCGTTCAGAACTGCTCCCGATTCTGGAAGTTGATTTTGGTCGATCTTCAGGATGGACTAGACTGGGTTTGACAATGCCCTGGCCCATCCTGAGTTTATAGTCGATATTAAACGATAAAATTCAATATATACGGATTTTTTCAATTTTTCACGGATGTCATTAAAATTGGGCGATAAAAACAGATTTTGTCAATAAAAAATCCCCGTGGTTAGCCCCTAGACAAGATACAACCACCAGATATTCGTGATACCATTCGGTATTCACATGAAAATTGAAACAAAATGACAGCAAAATTAATTTCCATGTACAGATCAATTCCGACCATTTGGTATTTCTTGATTGGGTCAGTTGGGAACTGGATGGGTCAATTTAGATGGAACTTTATTCATTCTTGGAAAAATCAATTAAAAGTGTGATAAAAGCATTTGATGAGATTCTCAACTCTTAATGGGTGTCTGCATGTTCAGTGTTTTTGGCTCGATTTTCTTTCGAAACATTCCCAAAAAGAAGAAGAAGATTTCTTAGAATTCAGAAGTCCTACAGAAAACAAAATTGAGTTCATGAAACTGAAATACTGGATAAAATCATTTTTTTCTTGTTGTAAATAAATTTTCAAGCGTCTACTGTATTCAGATGAAATACATGGAACTGTCTTAATTAAGCCGTTTAGACAAAATGCGGTAAAGATTATGAAAATGTCGTTAGAATGCACCACATCCACACACACAGAGAGAAAGAGAGAGAGGATGAGGAAGAGAGAAAATGTCATCTGAAAATACAGTTTGAAACATTGAAATGCGGCGATAACGATATTGACACTAATTGCAAGGAAGTGTACAAGTAACATGTGCTTGTTATCGTAAACGATATCAATTGCATCGCTCGTAATTCGCATGTATACGCAAAGTGCCAGAGACATGGTGTGCAAGAGAGAGAGAGAGAGAGTGCAAATATTCTCATTCGTCTTGTTCCATAAGACGATTGATGGTAACAAACCATACTCGGTCACTTTTGTTTACAATATACAAATATGGAGACGCATGCAAACCAATTATACTTGAATTAATCTTGTGCCATCTATCACATGAATTGGTTACGATAAGAGAGAATGGATTCGATTGTAAATACATGCAGCAGAGGCAAACGAGAAGAAATGAGCTGAACAAATGGCATCGACTTGTCTCTCTCTCTGTGTGTGTATGTGTGTTTGTATTTTCCATGAAATTTCATATTTTGGCATCATTCAAAAACTATACGAAGACAGACGGAGAAGGGGATGGAGATGAAGATTGAGAGATGATATAATGGCTCTCATGAAAGTCGTATGCAAAGTTCATATGGAGTTCTTTGGTTCGCCA